CGAACACAATGCTTGCTGGTGAGCTGCCGTGTATGTTTCGTAGGTTATTCCTTTGCATGGTGCTGTAGGTGACTGCATCCTCCAAAGTCACCTTCTCATCCTCTTGCATCATCTTGTGCAGCTGATGCCTTCTTACGGCATGCAGCCTCTCCACTGTTCCCATTCTGTGGTGTGCTTCCTTTGGAACAAGTGTGAGAAGGATGTTTCTGTCATCGCACCATGTCTGAAACTCCTCTGACATGTGTGCTCCTGAGGAATCTGTTCTGATCTTCATTGGGTATCCTGCCCATGAGAACCACCTCTCTTCGAGAATCTTCGCTTCGTCTTTGAGGGCTTCGCTCTTTATAACAGCGTTCACCTCGAATCTTGAGAAGACATCGATGATGGCGAAGACCTTCTTCCGGTCACCCCTCCATCGGACATGGAATGTGTCCATCTCCAGTGTCTCGTTGAAATGACTTGCTTGTGGTAGGGATGCTGGCTTTGCTGGCTTCTTGTCCTTCTGTGATTTGCAGGATGCACATTCATATGTCCTTGCGCACTCGATGATCTTCTCATGCATCTTGGCATCTTTTAGGGCTGCCACCAGTTTGTCGTTGTGTGGGTGCCCTAGCTGCCTGTGTAGTTTTGCCACCACCTTTAGGGCTTCTGCCCCGTGGTCTTTGGCCATCTTCATCTCTTCTTCGGTGACCTTCTTCTTCTTGCCCTTGTCTTCTTCTTCCTTGACTTCATTGTCATTCATTTCTTCGGCCACCATAATTGCGCACATCTCGCGCTTCTGCCATTGTTTCTCCATCTCATTGTAGATGGCCTGGGCGAGGATCTTCACAAATCCTTCTTCATAGTTCTGCATCTCCTTGAGCTCCTTTCCTCTGCCCATCATCTGCACATGCTTTTCCTTGCAGAGGCATGGCAAATCCATGGCCTCTGCTACTCCTCTGCTCTTCGTTCTGATCTTTGTTGGCTTCTTCACCTTGCCTCTTCTGCCTTCATCATCCACTGCTTCTAGGCCTGTGCGACATCGGTGGCAGATTGCCTCATAGTATCCTTTCATTGTCTTCATGGTTTCTGTCTCCCATGAAGCTGCTAGTGCTGGGTGTTCCATCCCTGCTGGGATGTCTTCATGTCCACCGATGTCGAACACTTCCCTTACAAGCTTCAGATGGCTCTTCTCTTCTTGGTCTCTCTCATCCATCAGCTCCTTCTTCTGCCTTGAAGTTCGAGCATTCATCTGTTGGATCGGTGACCACTTTGTGCATGGAGGCGCCATGAAAACAAAATGTGGTCGTTCTTCCCGGACAAGCTTCAGGAACTCACTACGATCTCTTTCTCGAGTGAAGTCCCAGTCCGGTGTTGAGAAGGTGCTAACGACCACATCTGGGAAGTTGTGCCCAAGATGCTGTGACAAGTTGCCTCGATCCACATAGACCTCGAAGAACTTCAATTGCCTTTGCAACGTGGAATCCACGACCTTCATCACTTCCTCGTCGGCAGCTGTCATCTCTATCTCCTCTTTTCCGCTGCCTTCCTCGTCAAAGTTACATTCCACGTGCCATACATCTCTATCCTCCTCCAAGCAAACTTCCATGTCGCTCACCACATGGTAAATTGTCTCCTTCTTCTTCAGTAGTTTCAGTACATAGTGGCCCTTCTCTCCTCTTGTCGGCTCGAACCACTCTCCATCGGCAATCTTCATCTTGCCAGTTGCGAAGTCTTGCTTGACCTTCCACTCCTCTAGTGTTGGCCTTGCAATCAGGAATGGAGTCCTTCCTGGGACAACTGCAGCTTGGACTGTGAGCTCGCTTCCTTTCACTTTTGCACGGAAGATCACATCATACTGTGATCTGAGGACTTCACCGCCACCAAATCTGAAGTCTCTGGTGACCTTCTCGGTTTTGATGTCCTTGAGCTCCATGGGGAATTCTTTGAGCCACCGTCGCCATACTTCTTCGCCGACGATGGTTCTCGTAGCTCCAGAGTCCACTATTGCTTCACCTGCACATGCTGTGTTGAAGAAACACTCCTCTCTCACTGCTTCACTTGTTTCTTCTACCATTGATACCTGCTCCTCTGGCACCTCTTTGATGCCATTGCTTTGCAACCTGTACCTCTTAAACCTCGGGCCATGCTGTGCTGTAGACCCTGACAGTGTAGAGCGGTGCTCGCTCGTCGCCGTGTTGCTGCTTGTGCTTGCTGCTGTGCTGGCTGTGTCTCTCCTCAATCCTGACATAGGTCTTCTGTTCTGAAAACTTCTTCTCAGGGGAAATCCCTTTCCTTTTCCTTTGCCCTTTCCTGAGCTTTTTCCTTTTCCTTTGCCTTTGCTTCCTTTGCCTCCTTTGCTCTTTCCGCCACTCTTTCCTGCGGCTTCTGGTCCAAGGGTTACTATGGGATAAAATCCCCTTGAGAGCGCCAGCTCTCTCATCCTCCTCCTGCTTTCCATGTAGTTCACGAAGGCGTCCTCCGTTTCATCCAACGCTTCTTCCACTTCTTCAGGAATTTCTTCCTCATAGAAGGCTTCATCCTCATACTCTTCATGCTCATAGCCTTCTCCATACCATTCTCCATACATTTCTTCCTCATACCAGGCTTCTTCTTCTGCATCGACCTCATCCTCGAAATAATTTTCCTCACGACTAGATCGGGCAAGGTCTTTCGCATTGGGCTTGTGATCTCCTCCAAAGACCCGGAGAAGTGCTTTTGCTACTTTCTCATATTCTAGCTCGCCATTGCACATGGTCTTGATTTGCACGAACATCCATTTTGGGATGCCACTTCTGCTAAGCAAATGCCATCCTCCCAACAACTTTGGGACTTCGACTCCAACCTCCTTGAGCTTCTTCATGAGTGTTCTGTGGCGCATCAAGTACGCCTGCATCTCCTCAGACTTCTCACGGTAGAATTCTGCAAAGAATTCTTCACAGCGACTTGGGACCTCAATCAGGTCCTCTCGCTGGAATATTTGATCCAGCAACTCAAAAAGTGGGTTGAATGGGTTTTCGTCCAGCTCTATGTCGGTGAGATCCAATTGCTCTGCTGCTTCCCAGACTACGTCCTTCCAAAGTGACACCACCAAGAAGGCTCCTTCGATCTCTGCATCTCTTCCTCTTCTCTTGCACTGCATTGCAAAGAGCTCCAGCCTACGCCTGTAGCTTCGGTATCCTTTCTGTGTAAGGCCTTCAGCCTTTGGTGCTGCTTTTGCCAGTCCTGAGTCTAAACCTCTCGAACTACCTGCGTTGCCTTGTGCTGTGTCTTGTATGGCTGCGGCTGTTTGCTCACCTGATGCTGTGCCTGCATTTCCTCCACCACCATTACTTGCATTGCCTCTTCCTACACCTCCACCTGCCATGAAATGACTTTGATGCTGGTGTGTCCTCGAAGGCTATGCTGCGTCTTTTCTGGTAGTGGAACTGCTGTTGCCCCTGGAGCGTCTGTTGCCCCGCTACCAATGTTGATAGCAATCCAGCAGCGCACAAAGTCTGCTGTTGTTTCACTGAAGCAAGTACGGCGTGATTCGCCGATTTATGTTGCTATGCTAAGTCTCTCACGTTATTTGAAATGCCTAAGCAAATGTCGTGCCAGCCTGTGGTCTCAAGGGCCCTAATGCGGCGGCACGATCAGGAGAAATGGAAAAGGGTGCATGCAAATATCAATGTTGCATAAGCTACATTCACAACTCCATCATTTTTCAGGGGGGTAGGTCAACCACCAACCAGAAACATGACCCATTTTTCTGGGCCATGAGTACCAACTTGTAGGTCACCATGGCCAACAAACTGAGGTGGGTCTTCATCCGTTGATGCTGGGAGGTGGAACGTATGGTGGGCCTTGTTTTCCCTTGAAAGATGTCGATTTCGGATGTAGATTTCGGATGTCACTCCAAGAATCATGGGGTACAGGATGGGGCCCCCAAGATAGCTAAGTTGGTTTATAAGTGGCTTAACAATGGTTTATGGTAGATATAACTATAGTTAATGGGGTTTATAAACCAATAACTGGGGGGGGCCACATTGTAGGTCAACCTTAGATGGGTAGAAACTAATCCTGCTATGTCTTTTGGTATCAATGGGATTATCTACGTTCACCAGCCAATTTATTTTTTTTGCAGGGTATCTGGCTGATTGGCCATGTATTCAGCATAGCTAAGTTGGTCTATAAACCCCTGAATACTAGAGTTGATAGGTATCATAAGCCATAGTCATTGGAGATATACACCAATAATATTGTGATATGGGTTAGTCTGAAAATTTAGGGGAAGGAAAACAATTTCAATGGATTAGAACTTCATTTTCCCTATTCAAATGGCCATTTGGAAGTATTCCATATTTTCAGACCCCATATGGATGAACTAAAAGTCATTCCAGAATTCGAAGTTGATTGCCTTCAGGTTCCAGACACAGTTGGTACAACACTTTTGCTTTTCAGTGTTGAGACAGCGTTTAAAAACCGGGCCCCAGGGGCCCCAGGGCCCCCCAAATCATGGCAGGTTCATCAATTTCGGCACGACCTGCAAGATGTTTATATTCCTTTTGTGCAGAGCTCAGTGTCGGCAGCGCAAAGCACATATGGTCATAGTATGATGTTTGCACATGATTGTTGTTCGTCATAATTACTCTGCTACTTATTCTGAGCTTGATTGTGGAATCCCACTTTGCCTAGGTCCACAAATTCGTGTTTCCTGTTTGAAACCACGTTTGTGTGGTACAGCTGATTGCTTTTCCTGTTTGTTGGTTGCTCCCCGTTTTCGATTGGAAACAAACACCAATTTTTGTTGGTCAACTGCCAATTCTTGCTGCTCAAGACATATCAAAACTCAATTATTGAAGAGGTCAAAGCCCAATTTGATTTGGAAAATCAAGTTAATCCTGGTTTTGACCAATTTTTTCTGCCTAAATCCCACTTGGGTAATCAGGTTAATCTAATCCTGGTTTTCCAAAACCCCAGAGAGAAAATGCCCCTGCCCCGGCGTAATCAAGGCCAACTCACATCGTTGACAGTGGTCAATGGGAGGTGTGGCCTCGGTATTTCAAGCAGACATGGGGAGTCAACTAACTAATCCCATCCTCCATTCATATTAAACACCCCTATTGTATGGTCCAAATGATGTGGAATTTCCCTACACCTTGGTTTCTAGATGTTTCTAGGGGGTGTTTGATATTAGGGGAATGCGGCATGCGTTGTATTTTTTTTGGGGGGGAACTCAACTATAGGAGGCACTTTTTTCACGAATCTGTGCGCCCAATGCCGACAGCCCAGCAATGATTGCATCAAGGTGTTGATGATGTCTACCTGGAACTTGTCAGGAGAACTAGTTCGATGGGATCACATCCAACAAACATGGATCACGGGCCCTTCCTACGGGATCACATGGCAATTTTTCTATCTGCGGCTTTGTTGCTGACATCACCGTGGAGTCTAACTTGGAGGTGCTGTTAAAGTGAACTAAGTGGATTTATAACCATGCTTTTGGGGCCCCATATCCCAACTTATGGGGGTTTAATTTCCCATGATCATACACCATCATACACCCATAAAAAGTAGCCTCAGTCCTGCACCATGAAAAAGTGAAATGCCATGCATAAATCCCATTCAAACCTTTGAAAATTCCATGATTTTCTTGGTCAAATCATTATTTTTTCCATGGTCTTCCTATGAATCCCCTTGCGCCGCCAGGTCCCATTTGATCGTTGCTGGATCCGAGAGCGGCTCCCTTCTGGTGCCCCCGGGGAATGCGGTGGTGCGGAGTAGGCCCTACGAATGGATCCCCTAGGGAAAAGCTCTAAAAAGAGGTGGAAAAACCCACGGTTTCCCACGTTCCCGCAACGGGAAAAGGATCTACTTCTATGACTCCCACGGGCCGATGGGGAAAACCGGAAAACCCACCAAAATTGGGTGGCTTTTCCTCGAACTGTGAGTTTACAAGAGGCTAATCTGTTTTGTTTAGAATGGTGATATAACCAGCAGAAGAATGGATTTACTCAGCGAGAACGCAGGTCTACGATCTCCGCGCGCGCGCGAGAAGCCCTGCGGAACTCCTGGGGGACATGGAAGGCGTCCGAGCCCGTTAAGGGCTCCGACGTGGTGCCGTGGGTTTTTGTCACCATAAAATGGTGATTTTCAGCATAAAGAAATGTGGATTTAAAGAGTTTAAATGGATCTACAATGTGATCAACATATAAACCAAGTTTTTTTTGAATTATTCATAGATTAGAGCTCAGCAGGAGGATTTAAAGTAACACGTGGATTTACCTATCCCAAATGGTGAATTTATATAACCAATCTTACGCCCAACTTCCGAAGGATTTCGGCAGGAAAAAACTGCGGATTCGAGTGATTTAGGGGAGAACATCATTTATTTCATGGGTGTAGAATATGACATAAACTATTTAGTGGATATTAACACAATGGTTAATATTTATTGGAGTTATTTATATAAATTATATTTTTAGGGGATAACATATGGGTGTAGAATATGACATAATGGGTTAGAATATGTTCTTTCATGGTAATATCCATGATGTGCAAGTGTTTAAGATCATGTCAACCCTGGATTAATAAACCCCAAATGGTTGTTTAATTGGAAGGGTACCATAAAAAAAGTATCAAATTATGACTGTTTGGTGAATACCCCTCTAATTTTCATACACCATGCTGGTTGGTCGTTTGGAACATTTGGATTATTTTTCCATTCAGTTGGGAATCATAATCCCAATTGACGAACTCATATTTTTCAGAGGGGTTGACACCACCAACCAGACTAGTTCGATATATCATAAATCCTACTTAACCTAGTTACAGACCAACTTAGCTATTTGGAATAGCTCCCTAATTTTCAGAAACCATGGTTTATTACTCCGGGGTTGACAAACCATGGGGGGCAGCATCCACACCATGGATGAAAAAACATCGCTCGCAGGTTTACCTCCAAATCCTGACCCGGACGTGGATCACTTCCAGGCCAAGCCCAGCCGATTTCCACAGCAGATTGAGGGGAATGATATGAGAATGATACGGTGGATGGAAGAAATCCTGCACCAGCTGATAGGTGGTTTATCCCACTATTATAGGGTTTCAACCATCCTTTTGGTGGCGCAGGATTTGGCAACCATCCACAGTATGATGAATATGGAGGGGATAGATTCGGATAGATGGAGGGAATCAATCTTCTCATTACCCTCTGGTAAAACATAACTAATTTTACTCTGGAACATCACCATTTTTGATGGGTAAATCAACGAACTTCATCATGGTCATTTCCAACAGCTACGTTCAATTACCAGAGGGTATTGAGGGAAGATGGTCTGAAGATATTGTGACCTCAAACGATGGGTTCCAGGTGATGGTGGCCATCGCTACAAAAGAATACACGACCACCCTGGGATGGTTTATACGGTTTGTGGGGCCCGCGTTCGATAGCGTTCAGTTGGTGCAAATAGCTCCAATAACTATCAATAACTATGGTTGATGATACGCACATAACTATGGTATTCATGGGGTTTATAATTATAGGGGTTTATAAACCAGTTTATAACGTTTGGGGGCCCCACATGGTAGAACCCATTTCTTTCGAATTGGGGGGGCGGTAGACCCGGTAGATGATGGGATGATGTCAGTCACCTAAACCGTGTTTTTTTGCGGAAATTTTCACAAGCGGTGCCCCACTTTTTTCGGCACATGATGCAGGAAGTTCACATGGGGGATCATGGATACCCTCTGGTAATTTAACTTAGCTATTGAAAATGGCCATTTATAGTGGATTTACCCATTAATAATGGTGATTTTCTATAGCTACGTTAGTTTACCAGAGGATATCTGGATAAATATCTGCTATTCATATATGGGATAACCAGAGGAATAGCCATGTTAAATAACCAGAGGGATCATAGAATAATTTCTATCCAGATATTTACCCTCTGGTTATTTAACAGACATAGCGAACTGGAAGCCATGGCCCATAAAAAGAGATGATTTTCCCAGCTATAAACCTCCATTTATTGAATTTATAAGGGCAATTCCAGTTTGCTATGCTAATGAATTGTCACATCTCTTGATATGGAGGTGTCCGTTTCGTCATGGGAGTACCCCTAGTTCTCATCCATGTATAGATGGATTTTCCCTGAAATAAACCAACAAGCTATTGGGGATCACCCCCATGTCTATGGAAACCTCTTGATATAGCCATCTTGAAGATGCAGCCCGCCCAATGGAATACCATTTGTTATTCAAAATAATAAACCAACATTTCATATAAAAAATAAACATGTTAGTTCCACGTGATTTTTTTAAATTTCTATTAATAGAATAAATTCTTAATGATACTAAAAGACCTGGGGGACCGGGACGGCAGCTTGGAAGATCCACCTACCATCGGCAGCCATGCCGTGAAGCAAATGATGTTCTGCAAAACTGGCAGCCTCTGGCATAGCTTTAACTTGGCCAGCTAGAACATATCAAATTCATAGATTATATGTGATTATATACATAGATTATACATAATTACATAGATTAATTATGATTGTATACTAATATATGATCTGTTCCTAAGTCTATAATCCTATATTTCCTCGAAAATGGCGGCTCCCACCCAGATTTGCGGCAGCCGAGATTTTCATTTGCTTTCGGATGATCAACAGCCCATTTTAAGGCTGAATTGCTGATGAAGTCCTGACTTTTTCTGCTGAAACCATCCAAATTTTGCTGTGAAGAAAAAGGTATGTTTTTCTTGGTGCCAAATCTTGTTAATTTTCTCATCCAAATTTTCTGATCATCCATAAATTATCATTTTTTTGGTGTTTTTTCTGATCATCCATAAATTTGCCAATTTTGCCCAAACCTCCACGATTTTGCCAAACCCAGAAAGTCCATCCGATCGGTCAGGGTGCAGTTTGGTTGCCTTCCGCCTTCTCTACCGATGTCTTCGTGGGGTACTTGAGTTGTGAAGACAGGTCGGCAGGTCACGAAGAAACTACTCTGAATACATGGTGAAAATGGATCTGATCAATCGGTTTTTGAGTACATCTAGTCCAGACATATCTAGACTACACATCTGGTTGGTGGTTTGGAACGTGATTTTTTCCCATAATATATGGTAATATATGGGATGTCATCCTTCCCATTGACGAACTCCATCATTTTTCAAGATGGTTATTGCACCACCAACCAGCTATACTTTGATGTGTTCAACAGTTTCGTGATTCGTGTTCTCCGAATTGTTGGTTTTGATACATCATGATCCGAATCCCACACTGGGCGAATCGACATTTCACAGTGGGCACAGAGGCAAGAGGGGCAGATCGTGAAGTGAAGACTCTCCCCTAGAACTGGTGTTGGGCCAAAACCATGCTGAAATGGAGATTAGTGATACCTGGTGAGTGAAGGAACAACAATCTGCTGAAAGCAACAAGAACCATTATGTAACGCGTAAAAGTATAGATCCATATTATAAATATACATATATCATTCATGTATATATATATGTATACAAACGTATCAATTATCGATTTTTATGTGTATATGTATATATATATATACATACACACGATATGTGCATATGTAGCGTATATATTCCATAACACTGGCAAAAGGGGCTTGAAGCAGCTTGAAGCTTCCAAGCTCCTGAGTTGGTTCTCAATTGGGGCTTGGATGACTATCCCAAATGTAACCCCGAGTAGTCAAACATTCAAACATGGCAATATCTCTTCAACTGAATAGAAGTCTTTGAGTGGGACACTTATATATCTATCTGGTTGGTGGTTTCGAACATTTGGATTATTTTTCCATTTAGTTGGGAATAATCATCCCAACTGACTTTCACTCCATCATTTTTCAGAGGGGTAGAGCTCAACCACCAACCAGCTATAAATGGGGGATTTTCCATGTTTGCCAGCTATGGTTTCACGCTGAACCACCTACCAGGTTACCCAGCCTTTTTGATGGTTTTTGGAATGTTAAATCACGGTCAAACCCAAAAGTCACCCATTTGTTTCCTATCACTCTTGCGAAAAACACGAGCAGAATCACACTGCATTGCTTTTTTCTATGGGAATTTCAGGATCCTAAAATGGAGGTACTGTACCATATCAGGCCTTTTGTGGTGATATTCCCTGAAATTTAGGCCTAAGAAATAGGGCTTTTTTCTATGGAATCGGTACCTCCAATAAAATCAATAAATCGCTTCCTGATGCATGGCCATTGAAAAAGACTAAGGTTTTATAATCCCAATAAACCTCACTATAATCCCATTAAACCCTATTATCATCCCATTTTGCTGACATGGCCATGGATTTTTCTGAACATTTGCCGTACCAAGGTGTTGCCGTCTGGGCTGAAAGGGTTGGGATCCCCAAAAGCCGTGATGGATCTGCCTCCGGATCCCTGTGCGCTTGGAGGCGGACATGGATATATCATAGTTATAACATATTAAAAAAACACTTACCCTCTGGTTATGTCAAAACAGCTATTGAACATGGTCATTTATAGGGGATTTCCCCATTAAACATGGTGATTTTCCATAGTTATGTGGCTGTTTACCAGAGGGTATATCTTAGTTATAACATGTTATAACATGTTTCAAAAAACACTTACAATCTCAACTGCAGTTACTTAAGTCTATTGATATGTTGATATGTTGATATGATCTCAGTGACTTGTTGGGTGACTGATGTCCAGTACATAAGCTGTTTTTCTTTACCCCCGTGACAAAAAATCTATGATGCTATATGGCTATGAGTCAAAATTGGGGCTGGTCAGTGGATTCACAAATGGCTGGTCAGTGGTCAGCTGGGTCAGCTGGTCATTTTCCAGGATCTAGAAATATTCATTTTTTTTCGGGATTCAATATTTGAACAATCCAGAACTATGCTGTATACCCACTCACAGGGTGAGGCTGCAAAACGATAGCTAAGTTGATTTATAACTCGATGAACTAAATAGGCTTTATGAGGGATATAACTGTACCTAAGTTGATTTATAATCCCATAAGTCCTGATTATTTGAGTTATTTGCACCAGCTTAGCTATCGAATGGGGGCACTACCTTGTACTAGGGTTACAAACCAACTTATTCCAACTTATAACTAGGGAGCCTCACCTTCTTCACCCCTGGCTGGTGAGGCTTGATGATGACATCATGCAACGCGGCGAAAGAGATTGGTGAGTCAGTGGGTCAGTGAACCGGATATTACAACCATGTTATAAAAGTATTACATAATAACTGGATGATGTTTTTTTGATCTTTTGCAATACCCACAGGTATTATTGCGATTTAATGGTGATTCAGTGCTGATTTAATTGGATTTAATGATGTTAAATAGGATTTATCCACCAGTAAAGTAACATGACTATTTAAAGTAGTGACTTTTCAGTTTGCTACATATGTTAAGTTACCGGAGGGTATTTGTTTTGCGCAGATTGCCAGATGGTACAATAATCAGCATTGTTAAATTGTTGGATGAAAGATGCTGAAAGCAATGGGAACCATTGGGATGCCCGAATCATGGAGTCCATGAAGGACATCGTCAGTTTCCATCTGGGCAGAGATTGGGCAGTCTGCATCTCGGAGCAGACGGCAGAGCATTTGATCTCTGAGGCCCGCAAGTTCGGGAATGATGTGGATGCTGCCAAGTGGATTCCCAATGAGCAACGGAAGAATGATTACATCCAGCTTGTGAAAGACTGGGCGGCATATCATGGACCCAGTTTACCATCCCCACAGGCAAGGAGGAAGCGGAAACACGGGTGCTTCAATGAACAAGCCTGGGAAGCACTCTCAGCAGATGAGCAAGCACCTTGCCGGACATTTTTTTCATCTTTGCCAGGCCCGAACGGGTACCCAACAGAATGTAGACCCCCATTCCACATCCCTAAATTTTACATGGAATCCCAAACATGGCTTTTGGAAGATCATGCTGTTATTAGACATGGCTATGTTGTAATTATTTTGTTCTATTTTCGTACAGTTTTGGGTTCGATGCTGATCTTTTGGAATGTACATGATTCTTGGCCATCGTTGTTTGTAATTCCCTTGTGGCGATCCCTAGAGATTCTTGGGCCGCCTCCTAAAACGCACCAGTTCTTCTCGGTTTCATTCGGTTTCATGTGCTTGAAATCGAGACGCCACACACATATCAATGTGGTAAGCCCAATTTCAAAAACCATTGAATATCATTGGGTTTACCATGGGTTTACCATATATTTCATGATATCAAAAACCATTACGACCATAGCCATAAAATGCCATAAATATCAGGAATGGGTGGTGTAAAGCGTCCCCAAATGGGAGTTGTTTTTTCATGGCAGCCAGGGTTTACCATGCTTTGCCATGGAAATGTTCCAATTTTCACTAGTACATACTATAAATCTATAATAATTACAATGATCGATTCCATACTACAATAGTTATAGTATGTTATAGTCATTATGAACTATAGAGTATAGTCAGTATGATACTATAATTTTATGCCATACTATTACTATTACTACAGTCATAATTATGGTATCCATTGAACCAATGAAAGTTATCCATCGAAGCAAACAGAACCCCCGGCCCCTGAGGTCCGGAGCCATGGGTTTCTCCAAGGGTCTCGGGGACCGGCGGATGGCTTCGGATGGGTTCTGGGTGAAGCGTGGAAGTTTAACCCAACAATTATGGCTAGGTAACTTGATATAGGCATGGGTTAATACCTATAGATACCATTTTTAGGGGGATGAACATCCCATTAATGCCAAATTGCTGGGAAAATCCAACAATTACCCTCTGGTAAACTAACATAACTATATGGAAAGATCCACCGATGGGAAAATCCACTCTAAATCACCATTTTCAATAGCTATGTTAAATTACCAGAGGGTATGGCTAGGTAACTTGATATGGGTATGGGTCAATACCTATAGATACCATTTTTAGGGGGATGAACATCCATTTACCAGCTATTTTGATGTGAACTACAGGGGTACACGGTTTTGACACGCTGCCATATATGAAAATTCGGGATCCAACATGTGTTTGTATGGCCGTTTACGAATTACAAATGGTTATAACTGGTTATACATTGCATGACTGCTGGGTGGTCTGGAACATGAATTTGATTTATCCATGATGGAAGGTAACTTGATTCATGAAAATCCGGGATTTGGATTTGAATTTGGTTTATCGTTTGATTTATGATTTGGATTATGAAAATTCGGGATTTGGATTTGACAAAAATCATTTATCAAACCCCAAAGAACTTCATGATCTGGTTGGTGGTTTGGAACATGACTTTTATTTTTCCCTATATTGGGAATGTCATCATCCCAACTGACTCATATTTTTCAAAGGGGTAGGTATACCGCCAACCAGTGATGCACATGTTTGTTAAATACTAAAAAATGGGATCTCCAAGATCAAATGAGTTGATTTCTGTTGCCGGCAACTTGATTATCAACCATAAATATGAAGTTGAACCGTCAGAAATGCTGGCACACATTGGATGGGTACCTTAATGTACCCTCTGGTAATTGAACAGTTTGCTATTGAAACCATGGCCCATTTATAGATTATTTACCTATTGAGGTGATTTTCAATAGCTATATAAAAAATTACCAGAGGGTAACTTTGACACATATTTTTGCTATGTCCAATCAACCAAACATTAATCCCAATATGGGGGGATCCAGGATGGCAATGGGGGGCACTCAGATTTTGCAAGCCAACTTTGAGACCAACTCATTGCCATTGAACGATGGGATCATCTTAACCTAACGGCCTCAAGCATTGAACGTGTTTTTGTGGTACCTGAAATGAAGCTTGGTGGGATCTGAAGTGTTGGGAGGAAGATATGCCATTTTTTCAGGTGGTCTTTTACCACCTGAAACATCTAAAAACCAGATGACGACTCGGACTAACCAGATCGTTGTCTACACTTGATATCAAGCCAAGTCCTCACCTCCTTTCCAACAAGTCCTTGCATAAGCTATTTGGATCCTATTTCATCATTCTCAACATACAAAAAAATATGTCCAGAAATCGCTGGCAGATACCCAGTACAATGATGGGGAATCTATGACTCACCGGTACAACTGGATGTACCCAGTTGGTCGTGAAAGAACCATGGTCCAATGGTCCCTTCATCCAGGATTCTGAGGGGCATCACCACGAGGTGCTATCCAGTGCTGTGATGGGCCCAGAATTTTTAGTGATCTCACATCATTTTTGCAACGCAGTGTCACCACTCTTGTCATTCAAATCTTGTTTTTTTTTCCGGTTCAATGCCAATTGTTCAAAAGTATGCAGCCATTGGTCACTTTTCCAGGTTTGTTGGTGAACAACACACCGTTTCTTTAGTATTGATTAGTTTCGATCTCCACTTCTTTTGCTTGAGTCCCAACTTGTATACCTTCCGGTAGTCAACCATGGCAAATGGAAGTCCACCATTTATACACGATTTTCCCATTAAAACCTCCGTTTATGGGGGGTTTGATTACCAGAGGGTGTAGATGATTAAGACGCCATTTTGCTTGTATGGCAATTTTGTTCTTAGTTGGATTCCCTCATTGTAGGCAGGCTTCAACCTCGCATTCTTTTAGATTTTAGTTGATGGTATGGGTTCGTCTTGGCCATTTCGATAAAGAACATGCTGATGAGCCAGTGGATGTTGGGTTCCACTCCCATTTGACGCTTTTTGTTGTTACATACACATCTTTCGAAGGTGATATCACCTCTCTGGTGGGTTCAATCCCTATTCCGATTGCCTGGTTTAACCTCAAACTAACCTCATAGTCGATCATTTCTGGTCTCGAACCTGACTTGATCCATCACAGTTTGGCCCACCGAAATCGCTTCAGGGAGACCAGGGTGACGTGACTTGTGAGTGGAAAATCCACCAAACATGTGGAACAATTAACACATTGGGAACCTTAAGAGAATCGAAAAATGGTGCCACCCTTCAAACTGGTGATTTTCCCACAGAACCATGGGACAAATTTTATACCACTAGGAGTCGATGCCCCCGAAAGAACGGAAATCTGAATGAACCCTGGAATTTTGCAATATTTGAATCGATTTTCATTCAATCAGAGATTTCAATTCATTTTATATGAATGGAAATCCCAGATGTATTTCAATCGTAGAAACCAAATCTGTTTTTTTCACATCTCCAACCACTCTAAGTCCGATGTTTGGGCAGGAAATCATGGCAGATAATAAAATCAAATCACCAAATCATCATAAATTTCCATGAAATCACCATGAAATCACCACACACTCCCAGAAACATTCGATGGAACCTCTGCCGCCAGATCTGCTGTGTGCGCAGCTCGGATGCCGGCGCCGGAGGAGACGCCTTGATCTTCGTGGCTCGGTTTTCAAACTCAGTGGTGGTTTTTTGGGTCTTTCAATAGGAAAACCATAGGAAAACCATAGGAAAACCAGATGGTATCAGATATCATCAATTTATAGATATACTGGAAAATCATCTATCAAGATCCAACTGGGAGCTTCCAACTGGTGGGTTTAGTTCAAAAATCGATGGGATTTTTGGAATGGGATTTTCGGAATGGGGTCTTTGCAAATGGGATTTCAATGGGATTTTGAATGGGAATTGATGGATTCAGAATGGGATTCAAAATGGGATTTATTGGGATTAGACGTATTAAAATTAATGAGATTCATGTGTGCAAATGAGTGTAATCCACAAGCAGGGTGGTGGAGCAATTGGGGACTATTGGATGATACATCCTCTTGTTGTCATTGATCGATGGGGAAACTGATGTTTTAAAACCATGGGATTTTAAGGTATTCAGACGGACTCACGTCCGGGAAAATACAGGGATATGGAGGTTTCCTGAAATGGGGGTACCCCTAGTTAGAATATGTTAGAATAGGATTTCCCATTATAAACCAACAATTTTGGGGATCCCCCATTGTAGGAAAGCCCCATGTATGACCAGCAGTTACGAAAAAGAAAAAGGCCGGACATTGGTGAAATTACTGAGACGCATCCGCAACCTGAGTGATCCCCTAGTCTGATACCATTGAACATTAGGATCCGGTTTTTTCAATGGCCATGCAACAGGAATCGATAAACATTGGAGGTACCTACCATATATAAGGCCTATTTTTTAGGCCTAAATTTCAGGGAATATCCCCACAAAATATGGCCAAACATATGGTACCAACGTACCTCCATGTATTGGATCCTGGAGATCTCCCATTGAAAAATCTCAGATCATCCTTGTGGTGTCTGATATCGTTACCTGAGTCGCGTTGACGTTGGGGCACATTTTCGCAGGTATTTTCTACACATAGATGTCCTTTTCCCATTGGTTGGTTGATTAAGAGAGGGGTTTGTTTACCCCTTTACTGTAACAACAGCTAAATGATGATAGATGGTAGCTCCCGGCCCCTCTATTTTTATCAAAAGGACATTATTGCTTCCATGTTTTGACACGATTTCCTTGACGAGGATTTGCAAACAATTGGTGCTCTTGGTTAACTCATCTTGGAGATTCGAAATCCACTAGAGGCTCTCCAGCATGTTCCAGCCTGTGTAAATTGCAAGTGGCGTTCGGCGAATTGGCATGGAAGGATATGGTTTTTCCGTGTTTTTCCTTGAATTTGGAGGGGAACAACCACCACAGGAACAAGAACACGATTAATAATATCAATTAGATCTTTAACAATGAAACAATACAATCCTGAGCTTTCGGTTTCAAGCCATGCTCCTGTTTGATGTCCTTAAAGTACCATATTTTCCCTGTCCCCGTCCAAGCCTGGCTTGGCTCTGGTATCCCATGGGCCGATAGAGTGGACATCTCCGAGCATCATTTTTTGGGCTTGTTGTATTCAGATAGACCCTTTGAAGCCACAATTTAAAGCCACAATGTGGCCACTTTGGATATGCAAATTCTGTTTCTTTGCAAACGGTCATTTTCTATATATCATATACATTGTCAATACATATATAATATAGTACATGTATGCACACACACATGTATATATGTATATATACACAATATTATACAATCACATACATATATAGTCAGTTTCCAAAGTGAATCACCATAACTGTCTCATTTTCGAAGTGTCAAACCACGTCGCTTTGAAGCGTCGCTTTTCCGGTGGGCCGTGGCATCGCCGGCATCTCCATGACGGTCGTTACGTCGGTGGATGGGCGATGGAGGCTCGGCGGCATGGTCCCTGGTGCGCGGCCATTGTTTTTGGTAATTACCCGGCCTGGTAAACATACAAAAAGCTATAGAAGCCATGGCCCAGTCGAAATAGTGGGATTTACCCATGAAAAATGCATGGTGATTTTCCCATCAGTTAAACGTAAACGTTTGCTGAAAATGGCCCAGTCGAAATAGTGAGTTTTCCCATTAAAAATGGTGATTTTCCATAATGTAAACATTTACCAGGCCTGGTAACTATCTTGGGGATTTGACCAGCCAAGATTCGAACGGTTTATTGCGCCAAGAAAGTATGGGATACCCTCTGGTAATTTAACAGAAAACTATGGAAAGATCCACCATTTTTCATGGGAAAATAACCACTATTTCTATGGTGATTTTCAATAGCTATGTTAAATTACCAGAGAGTATATAGATGGATATAGATGGATAATAGATGGATATATATATATATATACATACGTAGTTTGCTTTACAACTAGAATATCTAGGATTTATGGTGGACGTATCATAGCTAGATGATACAGGTTTTAAGAAACTTATACCCGGGTGGGTTTCTGTAATGTTGTAAATGTTGTAAGCCAAATTGAGTAAGCCTGATCATGAAGCGAATCCATGTTACGTTCTTTGTCCACTTTGTAGGAGCTGAAATGGGATGATCGCTTTTGTGTCAGTACAATAAACGTGAGTAAAATTGATGTATGACTGGCATTTGCTGAATTGAGCTTGTCAAAATGAATGCTGTAGATTGGCTCAAACTTGCCTTGCAGGCAATAATGATTGACTTTATTGGTGGTGTGGAACATGAATGGATTATTTTTCCATAGATTGGGAATTTCATCATCCCAACTGACTTTCATATTTTTCAGAGGGATGGCTCAACCACCAACCAGTTGACTTTATTGGGTTGGTCAGCAAAGTGAGCCTAATAACTAACCCCTTTTTTTTTGCCCTCTGAAGCCCATCCCATTACAAGACGACTGAGATAGAAAAAGTCATCATGCAACCGAGAAAACGATGTTTTTGGCACGTTAGGTTCACTAACTGCAGTTCTGCCGTGTGTCTTCCACTTTTGGTGCTTGGTAGGTTTTAAAAGTTTCAAGCCAGTTTGGAATGACAGACTGAAACACTGGCAACTGTGACTATAAGTGACTTACTAAGTACTACTGTCGTAAGGACATTTAAAGATACTTTGGTCACTTTATCCAAGTCCCTGCGAGTCCCCCTGGGCTGAAGCATCAAGCAGTCTGCTGCTCTGATGGGAGTTTTTGCTGGCAGCAGCCATTTGCAGGGAGTCCGACAACACGAAATCTCACCACTTATGCATGATTTCAAAAGCATAACAGTAACAAAGCCAAAATATCCAACATCGTTTGGTCTCAAATCATGATTTGCTTCATAACCATGACACCAACTTTCTCCACGTTTTGAACATGTGTTTCCATGTATTTGATTTTAGGCTATAGGATTCTATATTATGGAAACTCCAGGTGGGCTTGTCTGAACATAGGCTTAAATATTGATGTACCCTCTGGTAATTTAACATAGCTATGGCAAATCACCATTTTTAATGGGAAAATCCACTATAAATGGTCATTTTCAATAGCTATGTTAAATTACCAGAGGGTAATTGGACTTTAATTAATGGGATTTAATTGGAATTTAATGGGATCTAATTTGGGATTATAATCCACTTAATGGAATATACCCTCTGGTAATGACTAACAGTTTGCGAACTGGAAGATGGGTGATTTAGTTCGTTGGTGTACCGTAATATAACATGGTTATTTTCCAGTTCGCTATGGCAGTTTACCAGGGGAGAACCAGAGTTCAACCCTGGACGCCCAGGCTGTCACGGGAAAGCGTGGAACGTGTGGAACGCGTGGAAGTGGCGGGAGGCGCAAGGTCAGCTGAGTGTCTTGAGATCCTGGGACAATGTGGATTCAGTTGATGATTATAGTATATACATATATATAATTTATATAGATATATAATTAGATTCAAATGGAATTTAAGCATCAACTTGTTTTTTAAAGGTTTCACCATGGTCAGTTTGTTGTTGGGAGTTGTACTGAAGTAATTTATTGGGGATTATGATAGCCAACAACCAGTGGGATGTTGGCATTTTCTATTGCTCACTTTGTGGTTCGTCAAGATGCAACCAGCCAAATGGTGAGCCACACATGATGATGTCCCCCAGTGATGTGAACGTTGGTTTATAAACCCCACTACGATAGTTGCCCTCTGGTAAACGTTTACATAACTATGGAAAATCACCATGCTATCAATGGGTAAATCCACCATTTCTATGGCCATGGCTTCAATAGCAAACTGTTAGTCATTACCAGAGGGTATATTCCATTAAGTGGATTATAATCCCATTAAAACCCATTAAATCCCATTAAATCCCATTACCAGAGGGTATCCCACTACAAATCCCCCCTGTAAACCCCACTACGATAGTTATCTAGTTCGTTATATTTACCATAAACCAGGGAATTCAGCCACTGATATGCTTGTCATGATGACGTCCTGAAAAAGGTCATGAGGTTTTAACGGAATAGCCTAAATGGTGATACAATAGCAGCTATTGAAAATGGCCATAGAAATACCCTCTGGTAAACTAACATAACCATAGAAAATCACCATTTTTTATGGGAAAACTCACTATTTCTATGGCAATTTTCCATAGCTATGTAAACGTTTACCAGAGGGTATGAGGTAAAACTTGGCACTGCTTACAAGCAGCACTTATTACCCAATAGGGCTGACATGGAGACTCATTGCGGAGGCATGTAAAGCAGCAATCGCAATTGTTGGAAGGAAAATATGGGAGGAGGTGGTACGCGGTTTTAATCAATGGAGAAATGACAACCCAATATAGAGATCGGATATCATTCGACCCGCCTAAAGATATGACTGACGCTCCTTCAGGGGTTCATCAACAATTTTCAGGGCTACCCTCAGCACAGAATGTGCTGTACATAGTGGTGTTTGGTATCTTCTATTCCCGCGAAATGATTGCTTACACGGCTCATTTTTTTCCCACCCCAAAATCCTTGACACCCTTGGAACTTGTATAAATGATAAATTTGTGTTCCAATGTTTTGTTCAAGTGTATATGCTTTAGCTACTTGTCATGGTCATCTTGGATTTCCTTTCAGTTTCAGAAACCTCTTTATTGATTGTTGCCCAAGATCTCTGGGATCATAAGCCAATCACTCGGGGGGTTTTCCAATAGATTGGGGGAAGGTGCTCCATTATGATCCAACAAGACACCAACATGAAAAAATAACCTACAAATCCAATGCTGCAATGGTGTATCACCATTTTCGCGAATTCCCCCATATTTCTTCCACATTCTCGCCATTTTGTCGCAACATTTTCCATGTCTCACCTAAGGACAGAGGAGCCAAGAAGCAAGTCTTATTGCAATCAATCGCGCGCTTAGCTATATTACCAAGACGCTCGGCGAAAAGTAGCCAGAAGGCCCTGCAAAAGTCACATCTATGGGCCATTGCCCTCGCAGAAATATTGGGGTGATAATGGGAATATTGGAGATGTAATGGTGATTTTCTGAAATTTGCAATTGGTTTTCCCACATCATTGGGAACATAATGGGAATATCATGGCAGTATTGGGGATATATTCTAATGGGAAAATCATGGACAATCATCTATAAATGGAGATAGACATGTAATTATATATATATATATTGTATATAACCATCTTAATATGTACTGTATAATTATATATATATATTACATTATATACATGGTTTATATATGTCCCATGGTCACAAGAATAAACAGCCATAAATGGTGAAATATCTTGATTGTCCCAATTCACCCCACCTGAAAATTCATATTGTAAGTGTCAACCAGACTTAGTGACATGGTTGAGGAGATGCCCCTGTAGAGTTCCCGTCCGAGTCCTAGATTTTCCCACAGGGCCCCCAAGTATTTTTGTTGGTCTATTACTCCATCCAATGATCGATATATCCACCATAAATCCAATCCCTAGTGAAATACTCCAACTTAACCTCTCATAAATCACCTATCCCATTTTTGCTGGCATCCCTCAAGTTTTCGCTCAAGTTTTCGCTCATTGTTGGTGAAATCGAGCGTGAAATCCAGGCTCCCGACCTGTCGCGAGACCTGGCGCCTCTCCACTGCCACGCTCAGCTCGCTGCGCAGCCACGCGCTGCGGCCGGACGTGGTCTCGGAGACGATCTCTCTGACGGCATGCCATCGAGGTGACCCGGCTGCACCGTGGATGATGTCTCTCCATGGTTTTTTCTGAAATGGGACATCCCAAGGTTTTTTCCGGCTTGAGCGCCACGAAATGATCCAAACTTGGGATTTCACGAATTGAATCATCTCTTTTCATGAATATTTTCTGCTAGATTCTGAGTGATTTCAAGGACACCCAACCCCCAAACTTGACTCCAACTCTCATTTGCTGTCCGAAAAGTTCTATAACATTCTATAACACCTTTATCTTATGATGTTTTGATGATTATATATATGTATATATATATATATTTGGAGTCCAAGACTCCCAACTTCCACATCCATAAATCGCCCAACTTTCCCAGGCAGTGCCTGGTCCTTTGCCCTTCAACTGGGCTTCCTTTGCCGCGGTGACGCCATCTACGCCTTGGAAGTCCTGCGTTCGGCGACGTGGCGGACCTGGCGGCGAGCTGCAAAAGTGCTGGAGAGGATGGAGGCCCTAGTAGGACGGTTGACCCCCATATTTCCATTAGTAATGGTCAATGGTTAAATTAATAGGACATATGGGTATATGGCTATACAAAAATTTGTATTGGTTAATAGTAATTTTCCAGTAGTATTTAAAACTCAGTAATCCATTAGTAGTAAATTATGGGTACATGGGGGAAAAAATGTTTGTAATGGTTAATGGTTAAAGTACTAATTTAATTATAACCATTAGCAATCTATAACTGGGGTTCACTTATTACCATTAAATTAGTACTTTAACCATTAACCATTACTAACAATTATACCATTAACCATTAGCAATCTATAACTGGGGTTCATTTATTACTAATATTGCCATCATATAAACTAGTACACAAAGGGACTCCAGTTGTAAGTAATCAATCTTATCACTGGATTATATGGGGTTTCCATCAATTTTGGGTACCCCTAAGCTCGCTGGATGGTTCGTTTCTCCAGGAAAATCCGAAAATCACATGGATGACTTGGGTGTACCCTCTGGTAAACTAACATAACTATGGAAAATCACCATTTTTAATGGGTAAATCCACTATAAATGGCCATTTTCAATAGCTATTTTGACATAACCAGAGGGTACCCCCATTTTAGGACACCCCCCTTATGGACCTTCGAGTGCATGCGAGAGTTGAGTAAGATGGACCGGATTCCTATGAAATGGGATGGATGACCATGGGATTCCCATGCTAGCCATGTTTTGACCATGGCACTAATACGGCTTTGCATGGGATCTATAGTGGGTATACTGGGAATCTAGTGGAACTCCGTCTGAGGATGATGATATGAACAAACCTCCAGTTGATGAATACGTCGATGCCAATTTTCACAGTCAGTGATTTAGAACACCATTTTTTGGGGGTAGCCTCTGGTTATTTTTAACGTGGCTGGCAAATCCCCTATAAATGGAGTATACACCATATATTGGTAAGTCCACCATTCTCGAACAAACCCAAATCTCATTTTTTCTTTTAATTATCCCAGGATATGTCATGAAATAGCCGCAGCAAAAATCGGAAATGTCCCTGTAAAATTTAGGTTAATCTTATAGATTAACATTGGAATATCCTATATGTATAATTTATGTGATCCCAGGATGTTTACCCTCTGGTAATTTAACATAGCTATTGAAAATGGCCCATTCATAGTGAGTTTTCCCATTAAAAATAGTGATTTTTTATAGTTATGTGGCTGTTTGCCAGAGGGTAACAGTTGATCCCGCAGGATGATGGCCTTCGTTTGGACGCCAAGCATGGCGCCGTGCTGGCGGCCGCCTTGAGCTGGTGCAGCTGGTGCCGAGCGCAGGCGATGGAATTCCATGGAGTTTATGGTGTGTATATATATATATATTGGATTATAGTGGTTTATAAATGGATTATAGTGGTTTATAATGGAATATAAACCATTATACCATATATGGCGGAAATCCATTGTATGGATTATAAACCATTATACCATATATAGAATTTATAATGGATTATAGTGGTTCATAGGGGTTTATAATGTTTTATATAGTTTTTATACATAGATATAACATGATGTAACTAGAATTATTGGGGTTTATCATGGTTTATAACTATCGTAATATGGTGATATGGTAATATATATAGATAAACTATAGGCCATGGCAATATGGTAGATGTAACATGATATAAATATAACTACAGATAACTATCGTATTCATGGGGTTTATAATGGTTTATAACTCCAATAACTATGGTTTATAGGTGATATATCCATAGTATTCATGGGGTTTATAAACCAACTGATAACTGGGGAAATCTACATCCTGCATGAAGAAACACTTGTTTTTTTTGAGAAATCTATGTCCTGCAGAATTTCACTGGTTGGTTGATGAGAAATGGCACATTGAGTTCGTTGATTTACCTATTAAACATGGTGAGTTTCCATAGCAAACTGTTAGTTTACTAGAGGCTAACAGCCTAATTTTTCACATTTTTTTCCACCATTTTTTTCGTGGGTAAATGATGACATTCAGTTGCACTCCCTGGGCGATCTTTGAGGTCCAATTCCCCAAGAGCAATAGAAATGAGTTATGATTAATTCTGATTAAGTAATACAGATAATATACAGATATTTACATAGTTAGTTAATTAATGAACAGAAATGGTCATAATCAATCTTAATACATCTAAAATATACAGAAATGTCATGTTCATGAACAGAACTTTTACACAGCGAATAGAGATGGCCAAGGCCGTGAACATCCATTCGCTGCCTAAATTGGAAGTGGCGCCGTTGAATCAGAAACGCTCCGGTTCCGTCATCATCGACGATTCCCCTCATTGGTTGCAGTCCTCGTCCAGTAATAGCGGTATACCCCTTGAGATTGTTCTTTTATTTAATGCTGGTTGGTGGTTTGGAACATTTTTTTTATTTTTCCATAATGTATGGGATAATCCTTCCCAACTGACTAATATTTTTCAAGATGGTTAAAACCACCAACCAGAAGATGTTCAGATACCCTCTGGTAAACGTTTACATAGCTATTGAAAATGGCCCAGTCGAAATAGTGGATGTACCGTAATTTACCCATTAAAACTGGTGATTTTCCATTGGTTTAAGGACACACATACTGGTTTAACAGCCATATTTCGGTGAATTTCGATGGTTTCCGGTTTCGATTTTCCCACCAATCCATTGATTTATTGCCGGTGAGAAAGGTGAGAACCTGAGAGAAAGGACGGCCCACTGTCCAGATTGCCGTCCAAGTAGTAGCCCAAGTATTGTTGACTTTTCTTTATATATTATTATTTATAATAATATATATGTATATATACATGTATATAATAATATATATATGTATATATATTATATTTATTTATATTATATATATATATTTATGTAGCCATATATCCCATTCTATTCTTGTCAATTGCATCTCCCACTCGAATCAAATCTCTATTCTTGTTTATCAAATCTACATGATTGCTGGTCATTCTTGCTGCTTGAATTTCTTCTTTAGCTGGCTAAATCAGCATTTTTGTTGTTTGTCATTCTTGGATATTCTTTATTTTGACCCCTAAGTTTTGTGATTCAATCAATTGCATCAATTTAAATCATCTTGAATCCTACTGATTCCCATTTATCCAGTACAAGCAAACCATGTTTGTTGTTTTCAAGGCATTCTAAAGTACTAAGTATCCATTTTTGGTATAGTAATAACAATATAAATACAAACATAAATACATGAACAAATATAAAATTATAAATAAATAGATAAAGAAATAAATAGATATATAAAAGTCACACATACATATATATATATAACAATATCCATTTTTGGTATAGTAAATACCATTTTTGTTGAAGCCACGATGTTCTGATCCTCCTCAAGGCCTTCCTGTCACAGCTACACGTCTCCATGCTGCGCTGCGACAATGTGCTGCTTGCGCTCGCGTCTATGGCTTCCCCATGGAGCAGCAGCAGCGCTGTGCTGCAGGTGCTGTGGCTACAACGACCTCACTGTTCTCCCTCACTGGGAATCATGGTTTATGTTAGGGAAATCATCCCCAAATGGCCGAACTATTCAGGTTGGTGAAATATTATAATTTACCCATATATATATATTATGATGGAATATGTATACATATATATATATAATCTTATATATATATGTCAATTTATTGTGAGATTTGGATATGTATGAAAATGGCGGGATACGTCTATTGCGGAACATGATTATTAACGATCAAGCTTTTGGGTACCCGATTTTCAGACAAACCCACATTAGCAGCCGCCAAAACCCCCCAAGTGAAAATTTGAAGGGACGTCAAAGTAACATGCTTCCGCGAAAAATTGTTCTCGGGAAAGCTCCGCGACAGGAAAAACACATGAAAGTACAATCCGCGAAAGCTCCGAGAAAGTAGTTTTCAGATGCTGCCAAAGAAAAAACTCACACCGCGAAAGTTTCGCAAAAAGAAATGGCGAAGGAGAAGAGCGAATAGAACAAGAAACTGGTCGGTGGTTTGGAACATTCTTTATTTTTCCATATATATATATATGGGAATAATAATACCAACTGACTAATATTTTTCAGATGGGTTGAAACCAATAGAACAAAAAAGGTGTTCGAATCCATAGATGTCCTTTTCCCACTGGTGGTTGGTTAATAGAGGGTTGCCCCCATTCAACAACCAATAGGTAGATAATAAATCATATGTCAAGCCGGCTCGCTATTTTTCCTACAAGGACAATATTGTTGAAACCCGCTGGCATGGTGCAGAATGTCGAATAGATTTGAACAATAAACAGATTCTACCGATAAAATTGTCGATGAATTTCCTCTCTGACAAAGACATAATCTGACTTTTCCCTCTACCAGGTCAGATTGTCTTATTGCAACATTAGGTCAGTGGGTTCCTACAACTAAAAGCAGTTACCCACTGTAAACGTTTACATATAGATGTAGAAAACCAATGGTTTCCCGTGCGAAAAATGATCTACTGTACAAATGGTAAGTTTTTTACAGCAGGGCACCCCATATTTGGATGAGAGTTCTATGTCAACTATACTATGACTATGACAATTGTGTAAAAATCACATGATACCCTCTGGTTATTTAACAGTTTGCCATTGAAAATCACCATTTTTAATAGGTAAACCATCTATTTCTATGGGCCATGGCTTCCATGGCTATGTTAGTCATAACCAGAGGGTAACCACAATGTTTCGTCCTGACTTTGTCCCAAAATCCAATGATTTGCATTTGAAAAAACCAGAAAAATATCCTACACACATGCCATCACTTGGAGTTTAGAACTGTTACAAAACCTCATCAGTAGCATGGGATTTTGAACCGCAATCATTCGGCTAGAAACCTCACTAAAATCATCTAAAATCATCTAAAATCACCGTCATCCAATACAACCCATGATATCCCTCAAAAATCCAATTATAGATCGTATTTGGTTGGTTGTATCCCAATATATCCCAATATTTTGTTAAGTTAATCCATAGATCAACCCTTACATTGAATGTAGTTATGCACTTATAGTTAGAATTATGATTAGAATTATCCCGTCGTTGGATCAACCATTACATTGGTTGGTTATATTTATATACCCGGCCTGGTAAACAGCCACATAACTATGGAAAATCACCATGTTTAATGGGGGAAACTCACTATTTCTATGGCCATTTTCAATCGCTATGTAAACGTTTACCAGAGGGTACATATCCTGATATTTTCTTGGTTGTGTTCCACTATTTTGCTGGTTTCGTGCCATGCATAGATATGCATAGTCACCCTGAGAAGATGCCAATGGTTTTTTTTTAAAGCATGCTTACCAAAATGGGCATATGATATTCTATCTACTTCAGCTTGATTTGTAATACATACCTAGACCCTCCAAAAATCCGAGAGCATGGGAAAGGTATCTGTAAAAGTACGAAAATGATCTAAAATGGTTCCGTAAGACAGCGTTCTTATGGGTACAAACGGAGGTATCCTGGATACCCATAGATCAACCAATACCCTCTGGTAGACTAACAGTTTGCTTTGGACAATCACCATGTTTTACTAATAGGTAAATCAACGAACTCAATGGTCCATTTTCAATACATAGCTATGCTAAATCAGAGGAGAAGTAAAAAGGGAACCCCCTCTAATTCCATGGTTTCCGCTTTCGATTTTCCCAAAACCAATCATAACCAATCCATTGAAATAGATACCCTCCGGTAATTTAACAGTTTGCTATTGAAATTTACCATTGAGTTCGTTGATTTACCCATTAATAATGGTGATTTTCAATAGCTATGTAAACGTTTACCAGAGGGTATCAATATGATTATCTATTGGTATTATGATGGTAATTCATTATCATATTGGTGCTACTGTATATGATAGTTGATATATCATTGAAATAGAGTTAACCTTCATTTTCCTATGGTTTCCCTATGGTTATACCACTATAATCCCAGTTTACCAGAGGATACCACCAACCAGTTTGAAATAGATACCCTCCGGTAATTTAACAGATTTTAACAGTTTGCTATTGAAAATGGCCCAGTCGAAATAGTTGATTTACCCAACACCAATCATAACCAATCCATTGAAATAGAATGAAAACCTCCATTTTCCTATGGTTTTCCTATGGTTATACCACTATATACCACCAAAAAATCCCAGTTTTCCTATGGTTTTCCTATGGTTATACCATTTTCCTATGGTTTTCCTAGGATACTTCACCATCCCCATCTCGATCCGAGGAGCTGCGCCGCCGCGGTCTCCGCCGCGACTCTCTGAGTTTCCACGTGGCCATGGCGTCCCGCTGGCGTCGCGCGGCCGAGCTGCTGATGGAGATGCGAAGGCTGCAGATGCGACTGGAGGTGGTGTCCTATACCCTGGCAGGAGCTTGGAAAGGTGGTGTTTTTTTGGGGAAAACCTACTATAGATATGTGGTAGATATATGTAGATATATGTAGATATATCCATAGATACAGGATGGTGCCCCCCAGTGATGTTAGTTGGTTTATAAACCCCATGAATACTAGTTCGTTATATCTGCCATAAACCATAGTGAAATGGGAGTTATTTGCACCAACTTAGCTAACGAACTGGGGCACCACCTTGTTGGAAAGATGGTGTTTTTTTGGGGCAAACCTGGTGGATGAGCTATGAAAGAAGTTGTGAGCAATTAAAGCTTGGTTGAGTGATTCAATGGGAATTTATCCATCAAGAGTGTGGATATACTTGGTAAGTGGGAACATGAGGATATAGGTTAAAAACATGGGATGATGTTGAGAAAGGTCCGAAAACACTTGCCTTTGGCATGCTTTTTCGTTATTATTTTTTGCCGTAGTGCCTGCGTCTCTTTGAAATCACCACAGAAGAAAAGCGATGATAAATATTCCGGAAGCCGTGTCTTGATGGGCTCTATTTTTCCAAGACTTGGACGGTGTGATAGAAAATATAGACAACAAAACTTGAGCCCAAACGCACAGGCTGGAGACCGCGATTCGGGCCCCTGAATAATCAAGTGATTGAGGATGATTGCCTTTCGCTTTCTGGGTGTAGGGGGTTCTTTAAATGTCGAGCCTGAGGAATTGCTCAGAGACTAGCGCCTTTCAACAGGGTTCTTTTTACACTAGCCAAGCTTGTGTTCGAACACCCACGGGGTGCCACTATACCTAGGATCCTACTACTACTGTGACGTAGAAACCGTCCACGCCCCGCGTTGACGTGATGTTTATGGCACGGAAGACACTACGCACTTGTCGAAGAGACACACAACACCAGAGAGCTCCTATGAAGGTCAGGACTTGCTTTACCCCAACACAAATTGATTGCCAGCGGGGTTGAGATTGGCGCCTTTCCCGGCATTCCAAGCACGAAGGCATTCCGACAGTTGCAACGACTCACTCGCTTTGTTTTGACTTTTGACGAAGGTTCTGAAAAAAGTTGTGGCTCAATGGTGTTTTCCTTTGTCGTGGTAAAGCTTGTGGTCTTGAAGGATGAACCGGCGGTGTTGTTTAGGTGTACTTGTGTGATAGTTGCGTCTTTTGGATGTGTGTAGTCCACTATGCTTATGGTCCGTAAATATTGAAAAACAACATTTTTCTATGTGGACGCACATTTCGCCCATCTTGGTCCATTTGCTGGGGCAGTGCGAGAACGAAATCGCAACATATGCGCCAGTCTTCGGGGGCTGTAACCCAAAATATTGGATCATCCCAGATTTGGATTGTAAGAAAACATGTTTTATTCCTGCTGCGAACCAGCATTGCCATTTGCAAGCCATTCCTCAATGGAAATGCTCTTGCAATGCTTGGCCACTCCAGCCATTCTCTATAGGGAAACGAGGAGGTGATTGATGTTTGTGCTGACTGATTTCCCCATCGTCAACATTGGTCAAATTATACGTATAATATTCCCAATTGTTTTCGGTGAAGCACCCATGCTTGTTTCTTTAGTCTTTTACTTTCGGAATCATGAATCATCCAGATCGATTCGGATTCAATCTCCGTAACTTGTTTTTTGTCTATCCGGATCTATGAGAGACGTGACCTACTCAAAACACCGATTTCCAACCGATTTCTCTATGGCCAACACCTTCCGATGATGCCAAAAAACTTGCCACAGGAGGTGTGGGCGATGGAGGTGGAGCTGTCGGTGTACAGGAACCAGTCGGATACTGTCGGTGAGGTTTTTCTGGGTGATGTGAACCTTGGTTTATAAACACATGAAAATTAGCTGTAATTAGTTGTATCATGTATCCCCCATAAACATCCATAAACCATAGTTCCTGGAGTTAGAATCCCATCAAAAATCCATGAAAATCCATGAACATCCCTATTGAATCTACAGTTATATTCCCCATAAATTTGAGTTTGAAGCCCAAAAGTTCACCAAGGCTGTGCCTCAACTTAACGAGCTATCGGCCAGGCCTCACCGCCAGTACATGTACTGTGTGGTGGGGCTGAAGATGGTTCACCCTGGAGTCGGATTCATCGACAAAAAGAAGATCCAGCATCCTTTCGAATCAGGAAACGTCGCTCAAAACATCCCAAACACATTTCCAACATCCAGAACAAGAGGTATTTAACATCTTATAAAACTTACTGGTGTTTAGTAATGGAATAATATGGAATGATCCAATTTATAACCACTAACATTAGGAACATTTTGGGGCTGCAAACACAGGAAAATCTAACATATCTATTTTGTCATTTTGTTGTCATGTTTGGCCATTGTTGCTAAGATTCTCATGACATTGGGAATTTTCGGAATGATCAAATTTATAACCACGGACATTAAGAACATCTTGGGCAATTAACATTAACATTGAGATCTTATCAAACTTACTAGTGTCTAGTCGGGAATGGGGGAATGATCCAATTTATAACCATGAACTCATGAACATCAGGAACAATTCATAACATAATGTTAATATGTATATTAATATATATATATACAATTCAAACCTTGGGTTTGCTGGTAAGATTATCATAACAATAAAAATCATGCCATTCCATTCCCATAACCACCAGCCAGGACCACTGGCAGCAAGCGGTTCTCACCTTGCGAGGCATCAAGGGCGCCTCGCTCCGCGCGGATCGCACCGCGCAGAACGCAGCGTTGCAGAGCGTGGCGCGGCGGTCATCGCAGTGGCGGAGGGCCATGCAGATGATGCGCAACCAGGTGGGTGGGTGGGTGGAGGGGTGGGTGGCGTGGTTGATATCCATTATTCTTAATTAGTGGTATTAATTATGGTTATTTATATAGTAATGATCATATTATATAATCCCATGGATTATAGTTTGGTATAGTCATTCGATAATGCTATAACATTGAAACCATTATTCCATTGATTGCTAATGTACCATAATGAGATTATCTTTGATATCTTCAAGAATGGTAGGATCAGGATGGGATGATCAATCATAACTCATGGGATAAGCAATGGGATTAAGAATGGTATAGTAATGATATGGTTATTCAGATTAATGATTCATAATGGGATAGTAATGGGGTGTGGGAATGACCACCATACATGTACGATATTGGAGACACACTAACTACTAAATGGCCAAATGGTGCGGAACACGGAAGTACAACACAAACATGTTCTATGGTTGTCAAGCGTTGGCACAATCATGGTCCTATCCCGGAAACATTTAAAACATCCAAGTCTGGACTCAGGTGTGTTTCATGATGGATAATCAGTTGTTTTTTGGTTTCAAACATATTGGTTTCAGACATGAGACCTATTTTACAGAGGTTCAAATTTTGCATATGGCAGACGACATGAGCAACCGTGATTTTTGGGGTACATTTCACCGTTTCCATGCCATCAGACGCTGGTGGTATAGTTTTGCATTGGAACAGAGCAACACTCAACGGGATCGAGAACACCTTGAACTTTAAGTTAAGGAATGTCAGCTTTCGTATATCTGTTTATGGGTTCCTACATGAACAAACAACAAATGGTATTCAACATTCAACATGAGCCAGGACAAATTGAGTACGATGGGAACAGAATCGATAAAACAATGAATGTGGTTAAAACAGTGCCATAAACCATCCCCCAGTCATCACCATTTTGATAGGTGCTCTAAACCATTCCCAGTCATGGGTGGTTTATGACATTGTTTTAACCACATTACCCTCTGGTTATTTAACATAGCCATGGGAAATGGCCAATTTGTAGATGGTTTACCTATTAAAAGTGGGGATTTTCCATGGCAAACTGTTAAATAACCAGCTGGTATTTGAATTGGTTGGATCTGGGGATCTGGTTACAGAATCTACTTCTGATGACAGTTGATACTCGGAAGCCCATTCACCTAAGATTGACCCCTGAAAAACCGTGGTTTTTCGGTGGAATAGCGCTATAATGTTTACCCCATCCACAAGTAAACCATATAACGTATTGTAATACCATAATTAATATACAATAATTAGCACCATTCTTGGTACTAAACCATACAATGTACTTGAGCTGTTCATTTTGGAGGCCTTTATGGCGGTGCTCCTTGGAGGATTTTCCCACGGATCGGAAGTGGTTTGAACATGTCCCGGTGATCCCCCTGATGGGTGAACGAACTAAGCTTAACCACTGACTAAGTGGGATGCACATGAGCTACAGCAAAAATTTAGCGTAATGCAAAGTAGTATTCGAGACATCTTTATTTTTTGAAATTGAGCCGGGGCTTGGAAAACGATAATACACTCTTCAAAAAACGATAACATTTGCTATATATTCCCACAACCCGAAAAACGATAATACACTCTTCAAAAATTGATGACTTGGAGCTATATACTAAATATTGACCGTGGCCCACATATTAAGTGGTTTATAACCATACTTATAACTTATATATATAACCACTTATTAAGTGACCATCTTAGTCAGTGGATCATCCCACTTACAACCACTTATAACCACTGACTAAGTGGGATGATCCTCCAAGTAGGGGGAAGGGATTCTTCTTTAGAGGCTGGCCCACAGATCAGATCATCCGTTTTCCCGATTTCGAACGACCTCAACATCGCACCTCAACATCAACGACCCATGGCGGAAGCATATGACAATTTTCCCATCGTGGCTTGGTGACATCATCATCCCACTTAGTAGGTGGCAACATCCTACCATCATACAGATTAGTGACATTATCATCCCACAGATTATAGGTGGCTGATTTTTCAACCTATTGTTTTTTTTTGTACCATCCACTCCTCAGAAAAATCCCCCAGGCGGTTTGTGGGTCAGGTCCCCCCAAGGGGTCACCACCGTGACGCCGTGACGTGGCAAGATTTGTGTCGCTGACCGAGGCCTACGGATACCAACGCCCGGATTTGCTGAGCTACAGTGCCTGGCCTGGCTGGATGGAAAGGAGAGGGATCCCGAGCCGCCACGCCGCGATTAGACAGGGAAAACATCGGTTAGTGACTAAGTGTGGTTGATGTTTTTTCAGAAGCAAAATCACCAAAAAGTGGACAAACAAAAACTAGACTGGGGATGATCAAACTTCAAAAACCACATGGTGATGACGACTTGGGATGTTTTTTATTTTCACTTGGCAAATCGCCACGCAAAAAGTGGGGATTTTCCAGGTGGGGAATCATAGGAAATCCACTTAAATATGTGGGACATTGACCAACAAAATTCGGGGATTTCTGGCTGATAACTAGGTCAATCGACTGGAGGTAGAAAATGCTAGAAACTCATCCTTTATTAAATGTCTTTTGGGACATGGGATTATCTACTACCCAGCTAAGAATCTGTTATTTTTTTGCAGGGTATCTGGCTGATTGGCCATCACTACGATGTGAACAACAGGAGACCAGGGCTTGTTTTTTGGGATTGACCCTGTCCTTTTTGTCAGATGGGTTGGCCCCCTCGGAATTGCTGGCAAATTTGTGCTCCAGCCGGATGACGTTGGAACACGATGTGTGCTCTTTCTTGACTAGGATCGGAACTTGGAACCACCAAACTCCATGATTTTTCGGTCGAAGACATGAGGAGTGATGGAGCAGAGGCTCAAACTAAGTTTGGGAAACATCTTGACATTCCCTCCTGGGTTAGACTTGATTCTTCCAGTGTCACGCTCTATGGTTTCTTAATTCATTGGTCTGTGAAAGCAAGGGGATAGATAATATCATAGAAACAGTAATATCTTTACATCCTACTTAAATGACTATTGAAGGAGTTCCAAGGTCAGCAATGTGCCTTGCAACATCCCACCACTTTGCAGTGTATTGGTGATACACATCTAATCAAGCAGTCCCAATTGCATACAGCAATATTGGACACAGTTTGAGTCCTTGTTGCAGCCAGTGCTACCGGGGGGAACATTTAACAGCAATATCAGCCACCGGCTGAGGAGCGAAAATTGCCCAACTATGGAATAACGAAATAAACTTGGCATTTGTGAAATCACGCATCAAGATGAATTAAGCCATTTCACCATCGCTAGCATTGGCGAAACCATCATCCATAGACATGATTTTCTGCAGAGATGATAGCCCCGATTGTACGAAGGTCGGGGGAATCTCCTCCAATGAGATCCGCTTTGCGAAAGAAAAAGTTGATTCCCTACTTCTAAATGATGTTCCCCAAGAAGTTCCCGCAGATATTTTGAATACATCACTGGCGGTTAAAACATGCGTTTCCTCAAAAAAAATAACTAAACACACATACAGAGTGAGGCCCTCAGTGATGTGAATGTTGGTTTATAAAGCCATGATCCCCAATATAACCTAGTTAGATCAATATCACCAAGTATATAACCAAGTATATATACTCAACCTATAATTCCCAAAAATAGGTTACATAGGGATATGACAACTAGGTTTGGGCTTATGTATCCCCAACTAGGTTATAGTTAGATCCCCTAACATTTACCCCAAGAGTTATTACCATCTGGTAAACAAATATGGACAATCACTATTTTTAATGGGTAAATCCACTATTTCTACGGCCATCTTCCATAGCAAACTGTTGACATAACCAGAGGGTAAGCAGTCGGCAGGTTTACTGTGCATCAACCTGTGGGCACCGCCCAGGTGAAGCGATCTCAGCCCAGGACGCATGGAGGTGCCTCAGTATGTCGTAGATGGAGCAGCTGGTGCCCGAAACCCGAGATGCTAAGACTTAGCCATTCAAAGTAGCCAATATCAATAGTCACTGGGATGTTTTTTCTTAACTATACCCTCTGGTAAACTAACATAGCTATTGAAAATGGCCATTTATAGTGGATTTTCCCATTAAAAATGGTCATTATGAATAGCTATGTTAGTTTACCAGAGGGTATACAATATGATAGTCAAATAGTCATTAATAGTCACTCTATTCATATAGCTATTAACCAGTGCCCTGGTTGATATACGAGTTGCTTGAAAACGCTTTCCCTACGGTTTTTTCTTGGTGATTCAAAATTTGGATTTAAGCATTGAAATATGGAGGGACTTATACTAGCTATTTTACTGGTTGGATTATGATAACTTATAGGAATGGGAAACCGTTTTCAACCTACTTAACGTATTTCTAATGAGATAGGCGATAGAGGGGTATTTTTAATGGCTCAACTTGGTTTATAATTTGCTGAACTCTTTGGCTTTGTGATGAAACTATAACTATACTTACGAACTAGTTACAGTAGGTTGATATAGAAACTGATATTTGGGGTGCAGCACCAAACGTAGCTATGTGATGTGTAAAATACTTGGTGGCTCAGGAATCGCCTGTGGGTGAGTTCACCCCATTGTTTACTGGCTTTATAGTCCACTTACTATTTGGGGTGAGCCGCCAAGTAGGGATATAGTATGATATAGTGGGATTTACCCTCTGGTTATGTCAAAATAGCTATTGAAAATGGCAAGTTATAGTGGATTTAGCCATTGAAAATAGTGATTTTCCATAGTTATGTTAGTTTACCAGAGGGTATAATGGGACTGAATGACTTAATGTGTATAGAATGGGATTTAGCGGGTAGCCAGTGAAATTACGATGGGCTGAAATGGACATACAATGGGGGGCCCCCCAGTTATAAGTCGGTTTGCGTACCATAAACCATAGTTATTGGAGTTATTTGCACCAACTGAACGCTATCGAACGGGGGCCCCACATTGTACCAGCCCAATTTTATGCAATTTTACTCGGGACTTTTTTTTTGACACCAACGGATTGAGGTGCACGGACCATGGTGCACCCGAGTTTTGGGCCCAGCTATACATGAGGTAAACTAAGAACTCGACATCTGGGGGAACCCTTGGATGTTTCTAGTACAACGTACAACTTACTGTTATCTTTTGAATATGAAGATATCATAATATATCTACTCAGCTCAGCTGAGCTACACCATGGTATTTTTGCAGTGTAATCAACTATGCCCTGAACTAAGCCAAGCCGATGTAGAAAAGCCATGGTCCCTAAGAAGATGATCTTTGTCTTACAGGGACGATCCCCAAAAATGTTGGATGCTTTATTTCCATGGGAAAATCCATAGCATCTGGTTATGACTAACAGTTTGCCATGGAAAATCCCAAGCAGAAATGGAGCTTTCGTTCGCTGGGAAAAACATCTATTTCGATGGGCCATCGAAATCCCATGGCTATGTTAGTCATAACCAGAGGGTACTAAAATCAATAGATGATGACTGGGGGTTACCCCTATGACGAAATGGAAACCTCCATGCTGGATGTCTCCAAATGACTTGTGACAAACTATGCTAAATGTTTCAGAACATATTGTAACTACCTCTACGATCCATACCACTTTTGCAACTGGATGATATATAAATGGGACGTACCCTCTGGTTATTTAACGCTATGGAAAATCACCATTTCAAATAGGTCATCTATTTCTATGGGCCATGGCTTTCATGGCTATTTTTCACAAGTTACCCCCTTGGGTACCCCATGCACGAACCATTCATCCTAACGGTCCTAACTTCAGGGATTATCCCAATAAGAGTGGCCGTTTCGAAAACCAGGTGGGCGTTGAGTTTGTTTGCAGAACTCGATGGGAACCTCGTGGAGACTTGGGTTGTTTCATATCGAAGGAGAGGTGGAACAAAATATGGAAAAAGTATGGAAAAAGATATATGATAGAATTCATAGATGATAAGAGGGATAGTTTAATCTAGCGTTTTGTAGGGATAATGATAGGATCATAGTTGGTTATTCTCTTCATCAATTTGATTTATCCCTTGATTTAATGGGATTTGATGGCAGCCATCGAGCCTATGATGTCATATGACCCCCTAATTTATGGAGGTTATCATCTATAAACGGGACATTTTCCAGCCATGTTCGATTGCCGGAAAGTTTCCTCCAGGTTGAAACCCGTTTGCTAGTGTCGGGGGTTTATCATCGCCACAGTTTGGGCAAATCAACTTGCACATGGCTTGAGAGTTGGCTGGCCACAAAACTATTCAACAGGATTTACATCTCGTGTTATTTTCTTATGCTAACTTATGCTCAATTTCTTTCACTTGTCTCAGCCATTTCCCATCAAGAGTGTATCATAAGAGACAAATTCGCACGCATCACATGTGGCCGCGGGCCGTGATCTTCAAACTTGGGGCACCCCTCTACCCTGGCAATGGAAAATCGCCTATAAATGGAGGGAAAATAGTGGGAAGATCATCTAAAAGATGGGGGACTTTCCAGCCACGTTTGATGACACAGGAGGGTATACCTCTGAACTATTGGTTTCCCTACAGGATGGTGCCCCCCAGTGATGTTTGTTGGTTTATAAACCCCATTAACATCCATTAACTATAGTTATATCTGCCATAAACCATAGGTTTAATGGGAGTTATAAACCAACTTAGCTAACTATGGGGCACCACCTTGTATGTTTCCCTGTGCAAAGATGACCAGATGACCGGCTGTGAAAACTTGAGGACACCATCGCGATGAACTCGGTGATGACGGAGATGAGCTGGACAAAGGCGCCAGTTCTTGGGCGGGGCTACCATGGGGTACCATGGGGTACGTTGTTCGCAGTTCCTCTTGGAAGGCTGAATTGGGGCCAGGGGGGCATGTTGTTTGCACGCAGCTTGGCAGCACTGTGTTGGTCAACATTTATGGTCAGCACCGTCCTCAGAAACAATATTTTTTCCAGAATCTTTTCGAACTTCTCCAATCACATGACAATCAACCTTGGGTGATCACTGGGGATTTCAACGAAAAACCAACTGCCTCGCGTCTGTGCAGGGCTTTGCAGAGTCAAGGGGCTCATGTGCTTTTTCCCTCAGATGGTTTAGGAAGCCGATGGGAAAGCCCGGGTATCATCGATTACTAGGATGTCCCTCGGGACTTAAGGAAATATAACTAAGTTATAAGTAACGTAACATATCTTATAAGTTGACTTATAAGTTGGTTAACTAACTAAGTAGGTTCTAAGTTGATCCTTTTTTTTTTTAAGGGACTTAGGTTGAACTTAGCTAGTTGCTAAGTATGTTGCATGTTAGGAGGCATGAACTTAGGATTTACTTAGGTTGGACTTAGCTATTTTTGAAAACATGATGAATTTTGACGTTTTTTTTTTTTTGCGGCCAAGAAAGTTTCAGCATTTTTTGCTTCGGAATTGAAGAAACACGGTCGTGGCACCAGCAGTTTTATGTTGCTGTGGCTATTTTATGGCTTAAGTCTCGGGTTTTGTTCGTGAAGTTTCTTGGCCAATCATGGCTTTGCAGTTAGAACGACATCTGAAGGCCTCGCAAAATTTCTTGGATGGGGTGAAAACCCTCCCCAACTTTAGAGAAATTCAGATTAAGCAACATGGTGAGCTCTGCCGCTGCCCTCTGCCGCTGCCTTGCCAAAGTGGATAGCTTATCCACGGAAGTGTCGGGTCGTCTCCTTTCTCTTCTCGATCATGCGCTGTGGGGTGACTATGCAGATCAGGTGAAGCAAGACATTGTGGCCCGCACTGGAAATGAAGATACGGAGGCTGGGCCCAGGAGGCTGAGAAGCAGGTGTCGCTGCTGTTGGTAGACTGTTGGGCCTTGCGGCAGTGAAGGCCATAGCATGGAGCACTTTGGATGCCTGCGGGGAGAAAAAGTCCTTGTCCGCAAACTGTCCGCGAATGTCCGCGTTTGTCCGCGGCTCTGTGAGGGAGACAAGATGTCCGCGTTGTCCGCAAGCTAAACCAATATATAACTTCAAAAAAAAACATTGGGAATCCGAGCATTTGCCGCTTGTCCGCGGAGAAACCTATGGAACCCGTTGTCCGCGGGACTCTGTCAAACCTGCTTGTTTCCGCTGGTCACGCAAGACTTAAACAATGCCATACCCATGGAAAAAATCGGGCTTCGAGTCCTAAGAGGACGTGTAGGTGTGTCTGACCCAGAACCATCCAACCTTGCAACAGAAGCGACTGAGATGGAATACAAGTGTGTCACATATAGCCGACGCCAATTTGTCCGGCTCTTGGATGGCACAACTTCATGCATCCAATTCTTTCGCGGCCAAGGTGAAACGGTGCAAGTGCATCTGCAACGGGTGACACAAGCAAAAAGAACCAAAGTGATGCCGCTCTTGCAATTTGGAAGTACGTCCCTAGGCGCTCATGAGATAACAGATGCAAAGCGTCTAGACCAAAGTGTTTCACCACATTACTTTGGAAGCAACGATGATGGATCCGTGTGCCTCTTGTGGTGAAAAGAGGCTCCGGCACCAGTGTGAAAACAAGATAGAATCCAACAAAACAAGCTGTACACTGTAAACAAAAATAAAGCAAAACACACCTGAAAACACTTAGAAGAACTTAGCTACTTATGACTGAACTTATAAGTAAGTTATAAGTCCATCAAAAATACTTATACTTAAGTCCACTCTAACCGACTTATAAGTCCATAAGTCCCCAGAGTCATCCTAGCATTTGATTTACAATTTTGACAACTTGCAGTGTGAAGCGCGGGTGGAAAAATTGTCGGACCATCGACCCATGACTTTTCAATTTCCGGCTGTTCACACGGATTGGGCTTCTGAAGTGTTTGAGCTGACTCCTTGTAATACCTACCTCCCTAAATCCCCTGATGATTTGCCACTGTGGACTGCTTTTTTGGAAGCAAAATGGCATACTCAGGAAGAGGAGTGGAATGAGTTTGTTTTCACAATGAAGCAGATGGAAACTGAAACAAGCAGTTCACCTCAGGCTAAGGTGGATCTCATTTGGAAAAGCTTTAACTGTTTTGTCGAGAAGTTTTTGCTCTCTGCGGCTCGGCAGTGCGAAGTCCCGATGCGGGGCACCAAGAAACCCCATCGGCATAAAGGCACAGGTCCCCAGTTCCGGAAAAAAACCTTAGCTGTTCGTCAACCTCATGATTCTGGGACCCCTAAGGAACTTAGGGTCTTGCGTCGTTTGTGGGGACGTTTGGAAGAGTGGGAATTTCGAAAAAATCATGGTCAAGACTTGAAACATGATCATCCTCTTTGGGTTAAAATCACTCGGTGTTCTCATTGGACACCTGGCAGTACTGCTTCCAGTGTGGGACTCAGAGTCAAGAAATTGGAACAAGACTATAAGGTACAACGCTTGCAACAATGGCGAGCACGGCTCCGTGGATCAGAGACGGCCACGTTTCAGTGGTTGCGAAGCAAACCGCAGCGTTTTCAACATGATATGTTTAACGACACGGTGGAAAGCAGCGCTCAAGCGTCATCATCCATGCATGAGGCTTTGGATTTTTTTTCTTTTTGGAATCAAGTGTGGCAGCGCTCAGCAATGCCTGAAGAAGTTCCTGCAGATGAATATTTGAACCAGTGGCAGGTTCCACCGGCCATTAGTTCGACTTGGGCACCTGTGGAATTTCGACATGTCATGAATGCGGTTCATAAGCAACATCATAAAAGTGCGGGGGTTGATGGGTATTCGGGGTCGGAGGTGGCCGCGTGGCCGGTGGTCATGTGGTCGGCGGTCATGATGGTTTATCATACCTTCGAGCGGTTGCAAGCTATGCCATCCAATTGGCAGTGCATCCGTCAGACCCATCTTCCCAAAGCATCCTTGCCCCTCGGCAGCATACCTGTGTCTAAGCTTCGTCCAATCTCTGTGATGTCAGTGTTTTGGCGAATTTACACTAGTGCCAAATTACAGGGTCGTGATGCCTTAGACTGGTACCGCACCCAGCTGTCAGAGCACCAGTGGGGGTCTCGCAAGAAACGGGACGCGCTGAGGCAAATTCTAAGGGTCATGTGATGGCATCCTTGGACTTTAGTCAGGCCTTTGACAGGGTCCGACCAGAAAGAGTCTTGACCATTCTCACCAGGAAAGGGTTTCCCCAGTGGTTAGCTTCGGTGGTAGGCTCCATTTGGGGCAACCAAAAACGAGTCTTGCAGTGGGCTGGATGCAGTCGGCGGGAGGTGGTTGCGGTGAACAGCAGCATGCCACAGGGAGACAGCTTGGCGCCATGGGCTTTGAACGTCATGCTCCAAATTCCATGTGACATCATTCAGCAGCTGCAACCGCGGCTCACCCAGGTGCTATATTTGGACGACAGAAGTTTCGCAACAACTGAGGTGAATGATCTGCTTCAGACTTGGACCCAGTGGCGCCGGCATGCGGCGCAATTAGGAATGTCAGAGCATCTTCGAAAAACACAGTTTTTCTGCAAAAACCAAACCAAACAGAATTTCATGCTGCAGCACCCTGACATGTCTCCCCATGTTACGGATTGTTTGGGAGTCTTAGGAATCTGTTTTACACGTGGTAACACTGAACCAACACCAAAGGAAAGTGGCCGGGTTGCACGAGCCGTCGATGCAGCCCATTAGGTGCGTGCAGCCCCTTTCAAAGGAGCGGTCAGGCATTTTTTTGCACAAAGCACGGTTGGAACTAAGGCCACGTTTGGGTGGCTGCTTAGATCCCCACCTCAGAAACTGATCCTTCCATGTCAGCGGCTGCTGAAGTGGGCGGGGTTCGGTCACAAGATGGCGGCGGTGCCGCTTCAGCAGCTCATTTTGGGTCATACACAAAACATTTCATACATGGCTGGGCAGGCGGCTGTGAGTGCCCTGTGGCGGGCCATGAAAATCATGAATCGTGCCTTGGATGATTGGAACCGCTCGGGCGGGGTCACCTGTCGGGTAAAACGTTTCTTGGCTGATTTAGGTTGGACGGTGTTGGTGCCATTTTGTTGGCAGCATCGAGCCTTGGATTTGACATGTGATCTCAGGCATCACGTTGAGATGCCGGTTGAGGCATTATTGCACAATGTGCGTGAAACTTGGCGGCATGCGACTTGGCATCAGTTCATTAGTGCTGCACGAAAGGACAGTCAGCTGTTTCGGACTACACCTTATGATGCTCAGAGGTGCAAGGCGGCTAGTCGGGCCGCGACAGGGGCTCATGAGGTGGCAGTCTTGACTGGGGCCTTGGTGAGCCCTGCCAGATATAGCGTCATGAAGCAAGGGGCAGTGTCTAATTTGTGCCACAGGGGATGTGGCTGCGTTGGACATTTTCTGCACGTGGCTTGGGAATGCCCTCTTCTCAACCCGTTAAACCTGCCTGTGCCTAGGGATGATCTTCAAAGGTACCTTGGCTGGCCGACCTCTAGGTCGGATGTGGCTTGCCTGAACCATTTGGTTCGTGTAAGGAAACAGGTTCTTGACCTTCGTTGGCGTGGTGCTGACAATGACAACATGGGCAGTTAGATGACTGCACATGGCGGCGTGCTATCGTGTTGCGAGGCTATGTCGCTTTCTACTCGACGACGACCATGGGGTACGTTGAAAATCGTTGAAATCCAGGAGTTTCTACTGGGGATTTTGTTGGATCCAAAAGCTGGGTTATGAAGCACGAAGAAATGGGGATATCAAGCAAGGAATGTATTTTAGGCGGAATTTCCTGATGAAGACTGCTACAACTTGGGGTATCACCATTTTCGGACAAACTCATTTTGGGGCTGTGTGCAAGTACTCAGGTACTGGTTGAAGCTAAGATGTATTTCATGATGTCAAGCAACATGATCAACCCGGATAACCCCAGAATGTTTTGGGTATTCAGTTCATTTCCCAAGACTCTCCCCGCACTGACTGGATCGTTTTGGATGTCCTGGGACAGATCTCTTTCATGACATATACAATACACAATGTGAGGTAGACAACATCGACCATTGCCCTCCGGTAATCAAACATGGCGAGCTGGAAGTTTCGATGGGGACATCATCTATAAATGGCCATTAAAAATGGTGATATTGATATTCCATAAAAATAGTGGATTTCCCATTAAAAATGGCCATTATAAACATCTATAAACATCTATAAACATCATCATCTATTTTCATGAGGGATTCTCCAGCTTGACAATGTTTGACTGACGCTAGGACCGCTAGGATTGCCGTCCCTGGCCCAGGCGCTGGTGATCTTTGGAGAACTCTTCGCACAAGGCGCCTGGCACTTGGGGTGGTGTTTTCAATCAACGCTTTAAATGCTTGGTGCGTCACTCGTAGAACTGTTGGGATCCATGGATTCTGTATGTTTTTATGGTATGAGATAACTACGGGTGGATTTTATGGATTTCATGAATTTCTGTTGTAAAGCAAGCAACAAACATCACTTGGGGGGTACCACCTTGTGGTGATCCATGGTGATCCTAGCTGATCATCCCAGTGATGGATCTATTATCACCTGTCCCTCCGACAGGTGCCTTAACCGCCTGTGGTTTGCCTTAACTTAGCCTGGCTTTGTTGAGTTGGTACCCTCTGGTAAACTAACATAACTATCGAACATCACCATTTTTAATGGGAAAACTCACTATAAATGGCCATTTTCAATAGCTATTTTGACATAACCAGAGGGTAATGTGGAATATTTTCTCAGTGAGACATCCACCATTTGGGGAATCTATAGGGAGCAAATCCAAGAGAATCCGAAGAATTCTGCCTGTTTCCATCATTTCCCCATATACCCACCGCAGAAGGACATATCCAGAATGGCATCCCCCCCAAAAGATGACCAGTTTGGGTCCAGAAATGGGATATACCCCAAGCTGTAATGGGAAAGGTACCCTCTGGTTATTGAACATAACTATGGAAATGGTCCATTTACAATGGGACTTCATTGGTATATCCCCTGTAAAAGTGTTGTGTTATATATTGTTATATGATCATACATTGTACTGACTCCCATTCTTCAGGGTTACGGCCTTTGAATCTCCTCATCTGATTCACAGCATATATATATATATATATACACTACATATATTATATTATATATACGTATATATATATATATATTATACATAGATTCCTATTATATCCATAGTTTCCATGATCTTCCCATCCTTCAGAATCCCTTTGTTCGGACCGGCCAGGGCTCCAGTGCAGCAGCATCAGCGTGGGCACCGCCATCAGCAGGACCATCACGTCGTCGAAATCGCCGTGGCCGCTGGCGCTGGAACTGCTACGAAGGGCGCTGCGGTGGCAGATGCAGCTGGAGGCGGAACGGCATGGAACGGCGGCGCGCTGCGTTCAACGTTGGTTTCAAACCATAGGAAAACCATAGGAAAACCATGGGAAAATGGGAAAACCATAGGAAAACCATAGGAAAATGGAGGTTAACCCTCTGGTAAACATACAAACAGCTATGGAAAATCACCATGTTTAATGGGTAAATCATTTCTATGGGCCATTTTCTATAGCTATATGTTGAATTACCAGAGGCTAATCATGTTTAATCATCAAACGTAATCTGAAAGGTACCATCTGGTTATTTAGGAGTTTGCGAACTGGAAGCCATGGCTCATTCAGTTCGATGAATGATGATTTGGAGGTTTGGAGGTCAGAACCGGATGGGATGTTCCATGAGATTTTCCAATATGTGTTTGTGTTTGAAAATGGGGAAATCATCTATATTGCTGGATATGAATGGGGATTTCATGGGGATTTGAAGCAGATATATGGGAGATATAGTGATATATATATAATTATATATATACTGTAGATGTAATATAATGTGTCCAATGAGACGGGCATTAACTGACACGAACTGGGTAATTATAACCAGCGATTTTGTGGGGATAGAATAGGGATGAATAGGGATGAATAGGGATATATTGGGGATACCGTGACATTCATACTGGGATATAGTGGAATATATAACTTATAGCCAACAATATATATGATATTTGGGTCAGAACCCATATATTTTCATGTTTTTGATAGGTGAAGCTCATGTTCTATTAGGGTTTTATCGTCATTTTGTAGGGTTTTCCCAGGTCTTTCCACATGAGTTCCGCTGGAGGAGTCCAGCTTCAATGCGGCCATCGGAGCCTGCGAGAAGGCTGTCGCGCCGTGGGGCGATGGAAAAAGTGATGCCGAGGTCGTTTCGGATTCGTCCGGAAAATGATGGGAAAATCATGGGAAATCACGCAAAAGATGCAGGATGGGCCCCCCAAGATAGCGTTCAGTTGGTTTATAAGTGGCTGAATTCGATGGTTTATGGTAGATATAACTATAGTTAATGGGGATTATAATGGTTTATAAACATTATAAACCAACTTATAACTGGGGGGCCCCCTCCTGTGGGATTCTAAAGTAATCGCTTCCCTCTTTTTTGGAGAAAGTTACACCATCAAGATATCTAGGCATTTTGATGGGATCGGGATTTGAATAGATTAATAGATTTACATACCCTCTGGTAATCAAACATGGCAATTGAAAAATTCCCTAGGTTTGGATATTTTTTCATGATGGGATGGCTGATTTAGCATTGCCAGGTTTGACTACCAAATGGTACTGTTTTTTTTGGATAAAACATGGCAACTTCGATCAGGATACAGGATACCCCAAGGTGTGACCTCCAAATCCCGTTTTTGTTTTTTTAATGTTGAAATCCCCATATTTTTTTTTTCAAAATGTATTTTTGCTGCTAAACAATCACGAAACATCCTCAGATTTCCCAAGGATTCACCGATTTTTTGGCGGAAATCAAAGCCACACATCACAGTTTTTGCTGGTGGAAATCCTGCCAATCTCCACCGAATCTCATGATTTCTGCCGGTGAAGTCCTGATTTTCCCATCGTTTTGCACCACGTTTTCTGCCCAAAAAAAAGGTTGTCCCGGAATCATCGTCTAAGGCCATGGATCTCAGTGGTGTGGTGAGCTTTTGGCGCGTGCTGGAGCTCGCGGACGCAGGAGACTTCATCTGGTTGGAACATGGCTGGATGATGACTTTCCATATATATTGTTTTTGAATCAGGTATATGTAACAATAAAGAACATCTAATTTATATATAATTATATATATATACATATATTATTTGGGTAAATTTCATCACGACCTCACTGTTCTCCCTCACTGGAATCATGGTTAGTAAGGGAAAATATCCCCCAAATAGCCTTAATTCAGGTTAGTGAATTATTATAATTTACCCGGATATATTTGGAAATCATCCCAACTGACGAACTCATGTTTTTCTGTCATCATCCCAACTGACGAACTCCATCATTTTTCAGAGGGGTGGCTCAACCACCAAGCAGTAATAATTGGGGGAATAAGTGGTCAATAACCATAGCTTGTTCACTTAATAAGTGATTATAAGTTATATATATAACTATGGTTCTAAACCACTTGATATTAATAAGTGGTTAACAATCATACTTAATTCACCCACTTATGGATGGGATAATCTTCCGGGGGACTTACAATCACCGAGGTTACTAACCAGCTACTCAGTGGTATGATCCTCCCAATATGGCTTTAATATGCTTTAATTAATAGGGATTTCATTATTGGAAATGGTGGCATGATGGATCACAATCGAATATAATTGGTAAGATTCTTACTATGCAGTTTTATAGGGGTTTGAAAGATTATTTCCTCTAATAATAGGCCATTCTATTCTGTTTTCAGGGTCTATGTCAGTTGGGGTCATGGTAAGTTTTAATTGATTGGTTTGAGGGCAGATTTATATTAATATTATATAGTAACCCACAAAAGTTTCAGAAGAGGTTAATGTACCATTATTTTGGGATCGGAATTCAGTTCTATCTTTTCGTGGGTTGCGAAAAACGCATTGACTCTGAAAGAGGCACGGCCCCAAACAAAAAAAAGGCTTTATTAAGGCGTAATTAACCAACATCAAGACTTCATAACGTGGTAAATCCCAAGAATAAACCCTACCATACTCTGTTTATATCTTTCCAACATTGTACTCTGATGAGATCTTTGGAGGATCGGAAGTAAGTCAATGGCCATTGATCCGATTTCTACATTGGAGGTACCGATTCCATATATGTTTGGCCTATGGTAATTAGGCCTATGTTTCAGGGAATATCCCCAGAATTCATATGGCCATTTCAATATGGTACGTTTACGTACCTCCAATAAATCGGATCCTGGAGATCTCCCATTGAAATAGGGAGCTTTTTTTCTGCTTGCCCCATTCGATGGCGAGTCAGTTCGCCAGGTGTCAAGCTGGCGTTGCAGGGCAGCCTGACGTTGGCTGAGACGAGTAGCTGGGCTGAGCACTGCAGTGGGTCCCCAAGCTACAGGATGGGGCCCCCGTTCGACAGCGTTCAGTTGCCGGATATATAAGTGGCTGAATGAACTATGGGAACTATGGTAGATATAACGAACTAGTATTCATGGGGGTTTTGTTATGGTTTATAAACCAACATTCACATCACTGGGGCCCCCATCCTGTATGGGACCATTTGTTGATAAACCACTATAGTTCGATATGCCTCCCATTTTTGCCAACTTAGCCGTCGTTTAGGGACCCCCACCTTGAAGGAATATAACAGATATCGAGGAAATCATCCATGAATGGGGATACAAAGGGATAAGACACATATTTCATCATATTTCCATATCGGGATTCGTGTGTATAAATATTCATCTAACTATATAAATAAGAATACGTAACACCATATAGCCAGCAATATGATTTAGTTGGCTTTGTCTCTTTGTCCACGGCCCGTATACACCGTCGGAAGATGGGACCATGATGACAAATCATGGGACCTTCGTCGCCGAATTTCAGACACAGCTGGAAATAGATATGTTTTGTGTGGAGATACCCGGCCTGGTAAACGTTTACTATGGAAAGTCACCATGCTATTAATGGGAAAACTCACTATTTCAATGGGAATTTTAAATAGCAAACTGTTAAATTACCAGAGGGTATAATATACAACTGGATCATCCGATCGTAACTGGTTAGATCAACGATATTTATAACCCTAGATCAATGGGATAAGCCCTGGGGACTTACGGACTGTACCTAGGGCTAGTTATCACATGTTATCACTTACCCCGGGATGATCCTCCATGTTTTTTATCCGAATTTTGTGGTTCTGAACTGAGAAACTGAGGACCAACAAATTGATTAAGTCTATCTGGTTGGTGGTTTCAAACATTTTTTATTGTCCATAATATATGGGATGTCATCCTTCCCCTTGACTCATATTTTTTCAGAGGGGTTGAAACCACCAACCAGCTATGTTTTTTGCAGATTGAGACAAGCCAACGAAGCAGCTACTGTAAGGTGGAAGCCGCAAATTTCCCAAACCCTTGTATCTAAGGAGGTCAAGTTCTGTCTGGATGTGAAGTATAATCGGAATGGTGAAGCTTGTAATCCAATCCCCGTATTATAAACCAACACCCCCAAGAAACCATGGTTTTTCATAGGGGATTCACAGATATTTGGGACTAGTTTGGGTTTTTTTGGGGCAATGGGATTCTTTCTCTATGGAGGAAAATGATTGGGTTGACATGGAGCGTCCAATCATTTCCGCACCTTTAGACCCTTTGCAATCAGCAGGTGGTTTCCCCAAAAACCCACTAGTTGATAAATAGGGAGGTGGCCACCACCAAGCAATAGGTACCCTTTGGCGATTTAACATGGCTAGGGAAAATGATTCATTTGTGGATGATTTACCTATATTTACCTATTAAGAATGGTGAATATCCATAGATATGTTAAATAACCATAGGTTAAATTATGATCGGATGTTTTCTTGATCATTGCAAACTCATTCGTTCCAGACGATGACTGAAACTGACTGTGATTTGCAGCATCTTATTTCTTTCATGCTTGCTGCTTCTACTTTATGCCGCCCAACCATTTTGTCGAGATTTTCGGCAAAGCGTCAGGTCGACATTCTCCCGTCCTGGGAGAGTTCTTGAACGCCAGCTATTTGTGCATCCATCCACAACAGCAGGTCGATTGGGGGTCAAGGGGACAGATAGGTTTGGCCGTCATGATCTGTGGTCCATCCCAGGAATAGTTCGTGGGTTAGTTATAACCACTGTCATGGACATTGCCCCTACTTACCTACTGAAAACTGGAGTTATACCCTACTTATCCCTACTTACTAACTGGGATGAACCACCAAGTGCCGGAGGGACCACATTCTCTGGTTGGTGCTTTGGAACATTTTTTATTTTTCGATAGATTGGGAAGAATAATCCCAACTGACTTTCATATTTTTCAGCGGGGTGGCCCAACCACCAACCAGTTCTTATTACATCCCTATCAAAAACCACTACTTTGTGTTGCTTACATCCCCATACGACCATGACACCCTGTCTCGGGCTCTGGGCTCTGATCTCAGGCGCAGTTCATTGCCTTGTCCCAGATGGGCATCCACCAAGCACAACGTGGGGACACCAGATGTCGGATGGGGTGGGGATTGAGCGAAGCTTTCCGTGGTTACCCGGTTACCCTTTGATCATTTAACAGTTTACTATGGTATAGATGGTCCATTTATAGATGATGTCCCTGTCAAACATGGTGATTTTCCATAGCGAACTGTTAAATTACCGGAGGGTACCAATGTGGATACTGACTTTCAGATAGGTATTTATGTACAGTAATGTCAATCCTGTAGGAATGTTGACCCTGTGACCCTGTGCTGTTGATCATTGACTGAAAAAATTGGGGTACCCGACATGATTAACCAATCCAGGTTTAATCTGATTGGTGGTTTGGAACATTTTTTATTTTTCCATATATTTGGAATGTCATCATCCCAACTGACGAACTCATATTTTTCACAGGGGTAGGTATACCACCAACCAGTAATACATCCGGGGTTGACATTAGTCACAGTACTTTTGATTTTAAGCACATCATCCGGATGATGGGGCTGGAAATGATTCGCCTATACTGGGAGGACATGGACAATAGGGGTAGTGTGGAAAGCCCATCAATAGACCACACCGAAAATTTTACAATACCATTTCTGTTTCTTTTTGTAAACCTTCAAAATCATTGAGCTTCATGTTTTCGCACGTTTTTGCTTGAACACATTGAGGGGGCTCATACTTGCAGCATCATCCCATTTTAGTGAGGGGTAAGTCTGCTTGTATCCACGGGTAATGGGATAGTTCTAATTGGAAGTCTTGTTGATGTATTGGCCAACTACTACCTCAAATGATCCTGCAGATACCCCAAGATGCTGAAATTTGCGGTAGCCCTTTTAACCGATGATATATTATTATTGTTATCCAAATATACTATCATAAATCATAGTCATATTATATCATACCATATTATACCGGAATACTAGGTCATTTTTGGATGGGTACTTTACTCCTTTATTCTTTTGGTATCAATGGCATTATCTACGTTCACCAGCTAAGAATTTGTCATTTTTTGCAGGGTATCTGGCTGATTGGCCATGTATTCAGCATAGCTAAGTTGATCTATAAACCCCATTAATATTATAGTTGATAGGTATCATAAGCCATAGTCATTGGAGATATACACCAATAATATTGTCTAAGATTGGCCATGGTAATGGACGTATAAACTAACCAAATCATCCAGTTATCATCCATTTATAGATGAATTTTCCATGAAAAAAACCATCCAACAAACTTAGAATAATGGATGGTGATAGGATATTGGCTACCCATGATTACAATAAACATTTGGGTACCATGATTTATCCAACTATGGTTTTTCACAAATAATGTGATACTCAGATTTACTCATGATTTATTGTAATAAACTATTTAGTTTTGGGTACAATAACATTTAGTTTTCCAAATCATCCAGCGATTTCTGATTGGTGGTTTGGAACATGAGTTTATTTTTCCATATATTGGGAATGTCATTATCCCAAGTGACGAACTCCATCAGTTTTCAGAGGGCTAGGCTCAACCACCGACCAGATAGGATATTCCATCATATACCATACATCTGTATTATATTAAAGATATATTAAAGATGTATTACGGTTATTAAACCATAGAACCTAATTTACCATAGGTTACCCTCTGGTAAACTAACATAGCTATTGAAAATGACCATTTATAGTGGATTTACCCATTAAAGATGGTGATTTTCCATAGTTATGTTAATTTACCAGAGGGTAATAGAAAAAGGTTATTAAACCAACCAGATTTGGGTCCCTATGATTTCCCGTTTCCCACATCCGAAATCGGCTTTCCAGGTCAGGGCGGCCTGGTTTCGGGGCCCAAGAAGTTGGAACTGCAGGAGGACCAAAAAAGCGGAGCGAACTCGCGAAAATCCGGGAGATTATAACTTATAGCCATTTATTATAGGGATATTGAATAGGGATAATGAATAGGGATACATAGGGATATTGAATAGGGATATATAGGGATATTATTCTGGTTGGTGGTTTCAAACATGTTTTATTTTTCCATATATTGGGAACAATAATCCCATTTGACTAATATTTTTCAGAGGGGTTGAAACCACCAACCAGCATTTATTATAGGATATTGAATAGGGATATAACAGGATATAAGACGTAGATATACATATAATCATATATAAATATATACATAAATAACCATATATGTATATGTAAAACTCTATATATATAACCAACTTGATATAAATAAATATATGGGATTTAATGATTGGTATTTATGAGATTTATGGGATTTAATGGTCCTAAATCTCATATCTATTTATAAATATATTTAAATCATGAATTCCCGTATATTTAACCATAGATGTGGATATTTGTTGAGAAATTGACGGGATTTAACGACTTAACCAACAGTTTAATGGTAATTTACTGGGACTTAATGAACTCACTATCATCAACATCTGGGTTTCAATCATGGATGTGGATGCACTAGTATAAATATGGGACATGAAGGAACATGAACTGTGTGAACATAAATATGGATCCAACATAGATACAACAGTTGAATTCATGAACCATAGACCATAGATAAAATGTATTATTTGCAGGGATATTTTTCAGGATGAACTCAGAAGGGAACATCGATGTCTAATGGGATATGTCTATGCTTAGATATTTTTTATCAAAACAAACTCCTGTAGCCTAGCATGGTTAATATAAGGTTACAGAGGGTAACATAGGACAGTTTAATGGAAAGATATGTGAGGAGATTGAACAACAACTTGCGAGTTTTAGCCATCAACATAAGGATATGATTTGTATAATCAAATTGTTGAGCCATTCAACGTATATATACGTCTGTTGTTTAATTTTTGGGTATTTTACTAACTGTAACTAACTGGCTTATTGGGAATTATAAGCCAATCCATAATCAAAGGTCAGGTTGGTATTGATTGACCAGCCAGTCTATACATATATATATATATATATCCACATATTGGGATGGCATAGGTATTGCATTTCACAAGCTCCTGACATGGGTTTTCTATGTTTTCTGTATATTCAGCTGTATCCATACTGCTCCATGCTCGCCCATGCACACAGAAGGAATTTGTTTGAGAATTGGAAGACCGGAAAAATCAACAGTGACTGTAATCTTTCATTATGTTTCATTACGACACATTTGAGCCTGCAAGATTTAAACATGCCTTTGTTCATGTCGATACAACAGCTACAACAAAGAATATGGACGATCTGACTAAACCAACCTGTAATTTCTTACACTGTGATGGATGTCTCATGAATCCTGGACTGTGGTACTCACGACGCTGGAGACGAAAAAAAATGTCATCGCTGCAGATGGCAACTGTCATGCATGACTGGTTGGTGGTTTGGAACATGAATTTTATGACTTTCCATCTATAGAGAATGTCATCATCCCAAGTGATTTTCATATTTTTCAGAGGGTTCAAACCACCAACCAGATATGGTTTATTAGGTTTATTGATGTTGATCGTAGGTCAACCACCAACCAGACGATGATGGAGAAGAGATTGACCTAGATAGTTCGGGGAGGGAGACTGTAGCTCGATCCGTTGGCGGTACATGGCGGTACTAAAGTTTTAAAGGGCACCGGCATTGAGTATGAGGGATTATATTGGGATTATAATGGGATTATAATGGGGTTTAATGGGATTATAATCCACTTCATGAAATCATACCCTCTGGCTATTTAACATCGCCATGGAAAATGGTCCATTTATAGATGATTTTCCCAGCTAGATACCTCCATTTATAAGGGATGTTCCATGGCTATGTTAAAAAACCGGATGGTATATAAATCATCAAAACCCCAGAGTATGCCGCATAGGAGTCTTTTTCATGTAAAAATATGTAACATAAGTGACCTTGAAGTGCCTCAGAAGTATCCCACAACTCAACCGCTCGTCAATGTCACTATGTAAATACTAGGTGCAATGATAATTGGCATAGGATACTCGGGTTATACTTTCCCAAACAAACGTGAATCCCTTATTTCCTTGCTTAATCATTTGTGTCAACTTTATATTATACAGTATATAGTCATTTTGCCCCGAAGTGATTTACTATATGGTCCCTTCATTCTAGTTATGACCATATAGTAAGTTAGGAGACGGGTCATAGCTTGGGGAAGCAACACTTCTGTTCCCATTCGTAGCTGTAAACGATGCAAATTACTTCTATCACTTCTGCATTTCGATGTTTCCAATTCCAATGTTCTCTTCAAAAAATAATGATGTGTTGGTTAAGTCCAGAAATCCTTCATAAAATCCCAATGTTTTCTGGTGACAGAATAGTTCCTCAGGTCAATGCAACGAATTCCTGAACTTCCAAAACAGCACCATCATGTTTGTGCATAAGTCCCCAAATGTTCTTCACGGAATCCGCCTTTTAATGTTTTAATAAGTTCATTTTTAGAATTTTTTGACATCGCATATCCCAAATGCTCCATGTATAGTATCTTCACCTAAACTGAATGATTTATGGGGTAAATGTTGGTAACTAGTCCAGCACCCCGGAGCATTTGGGTAATCCACGGACACCTGGGGAATCGGACTCCCCGTCTGACTCTCGGATCCCACGGCAAGTGCAGGACGCTGAGCCGTTCTCCCAATGCTCGCAGCCGATCAGCTTGGAAGCCCTGGCAGAAATGGAGAAAATCACAGGAAATACCCTCTGGTAAACATACAAAAAGCTATTGAAAATGGTGATTTATAGTGGATTTTCCCATGAAAACTGGTGATTTTCCATAGTTTTTTGTATGTTTACCAGGCCGGGTATCTGATGGAAATCTCCTGGAAGTCCCGGAAAAACATCGGGGGGATTTTGATATCACAAACTCGTGGGATCTGGTTTGGGGAAACTCGAACTGCTGGAGATCAACGGGAAAAACCACAGGTTCGCATTGGAGCAACCTATGTGGATGATCCCAGAAATCATATTTCTTCAATGGTGTAACCAAGCCTAGTTAAAACCTATGTGGATGATTTCCTGTGGGGTGGACTTCAGTATTTTTCTGTTATGGCATTCAGATTATCATTAACATGTGTGATCATTGTTGGTTATCAGCTATCTCAGATGGCTATCTCCCTGAAATTCCGCAGATTCTGTTGATTCTGAAGACATGGGAAGACTGGCGTTTCTCTCCCTCAGATCGGAATCACTTCGAGAACACGTTTGCATCTTCGTCTTGTTGTTGTCTATTGTTATGCTATTCCATCATCACCATGATGATCGTCATTTCACTGGTTCGAAACCCATCAAATCCCATTATATAGTATTATATGGATGCTATATCCGTTAAATCCCATTCAACATTCTAAATTATCATTATGCTTGTGACATGCACAACATTCATACTACGAGTACCTGAGCACTTCAGATCCGAGCAGAAACACCAAGGGATTTTGCCGTCGAGGTGCTTCCTTCAATCCCTTTTTCCCACATCTGTTGGTCGTGGCGTACGCCGAAGGCGCCAACTGATTGCCTGGATCTTTGGCGTGAAAATGAATGGATGTAGCTTTTTGAAGCACCCATTGTGATGACTTCATAACAGATTTTAGTGTTGGTGAACAGGACTTCAATCATTTTGGTGAATATGACTTGAATATACATCTTTTTTTATGGAGGGGTTCTGTGCCAGTTGCACTTTTAAAAGATACATAAAGGTACCTAGTGGGGATGGGTTTGTGCTCTACGGAGCTTTCGGCCGACGAGAACTTTCCCTCCAACTCAAATAGACTCTGCGACCCATGGGGCTTGGAAGACTACATTCCCCCCCAACAATGGTTGATTCTCAGGCTTTCTTTTTTTGTTGCGAGGATGGTGATCATCCAAATATTTATTAGTTAAGAATCAGGAATGAATCATTCCTACTTAGATTGAAATGATACCCGTTAGTGACTAGCGAGTCACGGTCACTCATAAATGAGATGAGAACCCAAGTCCGAGGACCTATCAACCAGGATCGAAGAACCATGTGGTGATGTCTCAAAATTCGGAACTCATCCCATAGGATTACCTCATTTTATCCCCATTCAACCAGCCATAAATTCTGGGTGAATCTCCAAATTTGAGACAAACCCAAGCTTGGTATGGTTGCTTAGTTATCTATACCATTTATGTTGCTCCCTTATATGTGTCATATCCACATTATTGGCTGGTTTTCTACCACCTTTCTGATGGCTTCAAACCCCATATTTCCCGCAAAATGACGGATGAGTATCCCCATCTGATCACATACTCCTTGCACTGGTAATATCCTTCTAAAAACCTGTATATATTACAGTATATACAGTATGCATATGTATATATATATACATATACATAGCCATATTTTTTTGATTTCCTGCAAGTGATGCCATATGCTGCCACCACCAGTTATAATTGTTTCATAAATTGTTAAACCCAACTATGTGTTTCCATACAAATCATAGATCCATGCACCAACCGCCTAGTTCAACCACCTGCCTAACTTGCATCGAAGTCGCCGACCAGGCGATATCGCTCTCTTTGATTGCTCCCTATGTGTGCCTGTGACCCACTGGGCCTGTGCCGTGAATCAGGTGCGTGCAGAAATTCCAAGCGCGGAACAAAGATATTTTCAAAGTGCCAACTTTTGGTAGTTGAGTTCTATATTTTTTTTTTCAAGAAAAATCTAGAATTGGTAAGTACTGTATGCCATTTTCGATGACCATTTTTTTCGATGACCATTTTAGTTGGTAAGTACTGTAGCCTTTTTCTTTGAATTGGTAATTATTTTGATCAAAAAATGGGGATTTGGACGTTCAAAGACCCCACGACAAATCGCGGATTTTCGTTTCTCGAAGGGTGATCCCCGCAGGCTCCTGGTGCTCGTATCTCTGTGGCGTGGTCCACTCGAAGGCGTGATCCCCGTGTGTAAAGGATGAGGTAAACCAAGTGGTGGTAGCCCAATAAATGTGATGATCATGGTCCATTTATATCCATTTATCCATTTATAGATGATTTATATCCATTTGTATCTATTTATATTCATTTGTATTCGATTATATCCATTTATATTCATTATAGATGATTTACCTATATATATATATATATATTTGCACATATTTTTAGCTATTAAATCATGGATTATGAATGATTAAAGTGGGACTTTGGATGACTAGAGGTATTTTTACCATCCCGTGACCGGGTTATACACCCATGGCAATGACCCAACTTTTATGATGGGAAAAGATGTGATGATCATTGAAGTAGAATGATTTTCCATTGCTGCCCTCTTGTAATTTAACAGTTCGCGAACCGGAAAATCACCATTTTTAAGAGGTAAAAAATCTACAAATGGGTTTTTCATGGGCCATGGCTTCCATAGCTATGTCAACGTTTACCAGAAGGAATGTTAAATTCGAGGGTAGCCAGATTCGTCGAGTGTGTATGCTTGTGAAAAAATATCCAAGTTGCAAATCGGAGAATCCAATGGCTATTGAAGCCATGGCCCATAGAAATAGTGAGTTTTCCCATTAATAGCATGGTGATTTTCCATAGCTATGTGCCTGTTTACCAGAGGGTAACTATGGAAACTAACATAACTATTCCAAACCACTATCTTCAATAGGTAAATCAACTATTTTGACGGGGCCATGGCTTCAATAGCTATGTAAACGTTTACCAGAGGGTAACGAAGCTGCAGTGCAAATCAACCTCGTTCGGTATCCGTGGTATCCTGGTTCGAGGGGTTGATCACACATGGCAATCCTGTAACGAGAAGCTGATGGAGAAGCCCTTTGTTGATACCAAAAACACATCTGAAAAACCGTGGTTGTCATGATCAATTACCATCAATTAACAGAAAGATTATGATTGATGATTTCCAAAAATTATAATTGATAATCAATCATGAATCATAATCATTTGATTGGTAATCCATACAATCTAATGTATGATGTAATCCATTCAATCATCTTTCTCCCTTCCATAGAGTATGATCAACTATTCAATCCACTTTATTGACTTTATGGAAGTATGGATACACTATGTCCAGAAATAACCATCCACTCTTGTTATTATCCACTAACAATTTCTAACAATCTATTACCATTCCATATGGATTAGATTATTATTACCATTATTATTACCATATCTATTACCATTTCATATTATTATTTATTACCATTATTATTACCATTATTATTACATATTATTACTCGTACCATTATTACCATTATTATTACAAAATAGATGGATTTTCCATTTCATATATGGGATGTCATCCTTCCCATTGACTTTCATATTTTTCAAGATGGTTGTATAAAACCACCAACCAGATTCCATATAGATTATTGTTCTATAATAATGAATGTTACTATCTAACCATTATCTCTACATGGATTACCACTAATTGCTATATTATTATAGTAATGTTCCATAACATGATTATTGCCATCTAATCTCCAAGAACAATATTACCATTATTATTACATATTATTACATATAGACATAGATTACATATTATTATTACCATGCTTTTTACCACCATTATTGTTACTTATGGATTATTGTTCTATATGGATTATTATTTGTTATAGATGTGACGATCACCCGTTTTGTTCGATGCGATGTCCGCCTGTAAACCGCCCTGATGGCGATTTCTTCGCCACAAAAAGCTGGCGGGCTATTTGAATCTTACATGGTCTAACCATCCAATATGTCTTGTGAACCCATCCTATACTGCATATATCTATACATATATCTAGGTAAATTATAACGACCTCACTGTTCGACCGAACCCTGAATCATGGTTTATTTTAGGGAAATCATCCCCAAATGGCCCAACTATTCAGGTTAGTGAAGTATGATAATTTACCCATATATATGTATATATACATATGTATCTAATAGATCCATATAGATCCATTCAGATACAATACGTATCAATGTCTATGGTATATATGTATATATAGTGTCCAACACATCGATATTATCCTTAAATTTGTTGCGAATTGATGGATTTTTTATCGTCCAGGCCGTGTGTCTTCTTCGTGAAATGTGGCGATGTCTTAGATGCCCGGCAACCCAAAACGGACGACCCATATGGATTTGCCATGGTGACGTTCGTTGGAACGAGAAAGAATTGGGAATGGGAAAGAAACGATATACAAATATATATATATATACAAGGTGGTGCCCCCTTTCGATAGCTAAGTTGGTGCAAATAACTCCAATAACTATGGTTTTTGTTGTGATATATCGAACTACATACTTAATGGGCTTACAACCAATTTATAACTGGGGGGGGCACCACCTTGTATATATCTGGGTAAATTATAATTCATTTTCGCAGGGGTTAAATATGCCCCAGGATGTTTGGAATCTCTAATGATAATGGGATGGCCATACACACATATCACATGAATTCATGTAGTGTACGTATACGATTTGATGTAGATATCATTTGTAATATATAATTCATACGCTTTTGTCAAAATTTAGCCGCAAATTCTTCACATCTCCTCTCTCTCACATGTCGAATTAAAACCCTACGTGATCACGTGTAAATATGAGACATGGGGGTTTCCTAAAATGGGGATACCCCAATAGTTGGATGGTTTATTTCCTGGAAAACCCGAAGATACAATGGAACAAAACATAGATACTTACTACTTGGTGGCTCATCCCACGGCTCGTAAGTGAGTTATAACCCCAATTATAAGTGGATTAACCCTACAAAAATCCCATTTATAACAGGGGTTATAACCCACTTACGATTCGTGGGATGAGCCACCAAGTAGGGGTACCCCTATGACTTAGGAAAGCTCCATATCTTTGCTGTGGGAATGTGGGGATGTTTTCATCGAGCTTCGATAACTTGATATCTGCTTCCCAACTTGCCAGGCTTCGTGGCCAGATGGCCAGGAGTTGATGGTCCCAAGAAGATGGAAGAGTAAAATCCGACTTACCCTCTGGTTATGACTAACAGTTTGCCATGGAAGCCATGCTCCATTTATAGATGGTTTACATTGGTTTACCTATTAATAGCATGGTGATTTTCCATGGCAAACTGTTAAATAACCAGAGGGTCATTGATTAGTATTAATTAATCACTATACATAAGTGATTAATTAATACTAATATATACTAATCAATTACCAATTTAATGACCCTTCTCTATCTTTTTTGGGGTTACCTGACCTGGGAATGTCTACTACAAAACCACTTCTCGGGAGATCCCAGATGAGTTGGACTGCCCAACCATATCGACCGGTGCACTGGTCCAATCTGGAAACAACGCCTCTGATTTTCATGGGAAATCATCCAACAAAATGGTGTTCCATTGTTACGTCTGACACCGGAGGGATTTTGCTGATGTTGACAGGTGATGTTCCTATTGAAGATATTGAAGATGGGCATTTCCACGGGTTTTTTTATTGTTTTTGAGCCGTGTCAAACCAGAGGAGATCCTGATCCACTGGTTTTTTATTGTTTTTGAGCCGTTTCAAGCCAGAAGAGATCCTGATGTATCCTGAGGTTGGAAGATGACTCCCCACTCAAATTTCTCAGACTGTCAGGGTCAAAGGGTCAAACTGTTGATTTACTGGACACGTACAAGGTGAGGTCCCAAAAGGATAGCTAGGTTGACGCAGATATCTTGGTGAACTAGGGTGACCCATTTACCCTGTGGTAAATTAACAGTTCGACCCCGAAAATAATCAATTTTGAGTGGAAACCCGTCTTCCAAGCTCGAGAACTGCCAGGGTCGAACTGTTCATTTACCGGAGGCTACCCATTAAAAAGGAGGATTTTCCATAGCTATACCGGTGGCCATCCCACCGTGGAGACCTCATCTTCTCATCATCTCAGAGCTCTGGAGACCTCCAAATTCAGCCCTAGATTCGGTGTAGAAAATGGGAAGTGATCCAATACTGACTATACAGGATGAGGCCCCCAGTCGATAGCGTTCAGTTGGTTGAAATAAGTGGCTGAATTCTTTGGTTTATGGTAGATATATGATATAACGAACTAGTATTCATGAGGATTATAATGGTTTATAAACCAACTTATAACTGGGGCCCCCATCCTGTAGCTGATAACTAATTGTATAGTTCCAATACTATATAGCCAATTAGATCATCTAGATATAAGTTGGTCTATAATGTGGGGCCCCCAAACGTTATAAGTTGGTTTATAACCCCATGTGACTAGTTCGTCATAAGTACCATAAACCCCATAGTTATTGTAGTTATGTTTACCAACTTAGCTATCGAACAGGGTCCCCACATTGTAGAGCCAATTAGATCTAATTAGTTCATCAAAGTTTAGAATGACTTTTTAGACAGCCAAAATGGGTTTGTTTGAAGATAGGCTAGTCTGTCAAGACCTCACAAAGTTCTTGAGAAGTATCCAATTAGATACTTGGCCCTTTCAGGATGCATGAAGCAAATTCGGAAGGTTTTTGAGTCAATACGCACCGGGGCGGTCGCTGATGATCCACGGAATGCATCGCCAGCTTCCATAGATTGGCTAAGGAGGTCACTGGTGAAACTGTGGCTGATGGTTGACAACATCTTGTGGGGTCATGCGCCTGTCCTGTTTTTTAATTCCTTGGGGACTGAGCCCTTATGTTTGTTTGTTATCAAAAATCCAAGTGAGGCATTCTGAACTTTGGGGGGGGCCTAAATCACCAAAATCAAGCCAAAAGCAACCGCCCCCACCCCACAGGGGAAGAGGGGGTATCCCTAAATCCGTAAAAATCATCAGTACCCCATTTTCGGACAAACCCAGATATTACATGATATTACAAACTTGTTGTTCAATGTTATGATTTTATCCTCCGATCCAAGTTTTGTTGCAGATCCAGATGTTCCCAGCTCCTGCCCTCAGCGCTAAGATTTTTCAGGTGTGGGACCTGTCGGAGCAAACCCACACGCCTGTGAAGAGTGTCTCCTTGGAAGGCGCAGCAAGGGGGGTCGGGGATTGATCTGGGATTAAACCAAGCATCTTACTGGGATACAACGATGCAACCAACAAAAGCTTATTTAATATGTAATTGGATACAGCTTACTATAAGGATATAACTAGATGGATAAACCAATAGAAATAAACTTTACAAACATACAACTATACTATTTCTTTTTTTCCCAGAATCTTGGAGGAACTGTTTACTGACTTAGTTGGGCTCAAGCAACTGTTCCTAGTTGGGTTGCTCCGCTTGCATCTCCAACAACGATGGGCTCATCCGCCTGAGAGGATCATGATCATAACTGGTTAGCTGGGTTCGAAGCTAGTTACATATGACATACCCTCTGGTAAACGTTTACATAGCTATTGAAAATGGCCATTTATAGTTGATTTGCCCAGCTATAAAAGGCTGATTTTCCATAGTTATGCTAGTTTATTAGAGGGTAACCCTAGGAATCCAGGAGTTACTAACCAGAGAGTTACTAACAACTTACTAAGTGGGATGTATATGAGATAACCCTAGGAATCGGGGGACTAACCAGAGTTACTAACCGTTACTAACCACAACCACGAGCACAGTGGGATGATCCTCCAAGTAAGAACACTGGGTACGTTCCAGAAAGGATGGGTGCATCACTAGTGAAACAGACACGTTCCACAACTTTTCGTGATCTGCGAAACCGAGAACATCGCGAGCAATTGAGAGCAATTTTTTTCCGGGACTTATTCACAAGTACTGGGTCCCCAGGGACCCCAGGGTTTTTTCCCTCACGGATCTTGATCAACTGAGTCAGGGATCATCCCCAATGGGGACGCATGGAACAACAGTATGATTTTTTTGGTACTTTATGACAGGAGGATAGTCCCAAACTTTCATGAGAAGTTCTGGAACTTGGAACTTGGAACTTGGAACTCGATGGAACTCGGCCATTGATTTCAGATATTTCACGAACTATGAGCAACTGCAAATATGATGGATTGTAGTATTAAACCCACGGTGGCCGACGTACCTGTGTTGGTATCATTTCACCACTCCAAAAAATCCAGATGTAGGACGTCCATGTTCAGTAGCTAAAGCCTTGTTGGTATCATTGTGTCAGCTGCGCCGTGCCCGTCATGCGCATCCCGTTTCGGCTTGCAACCTGAATTGGAGTTGGAGCCTATGGTGTGACAGACATGAAGCAGCTGCCCCATGGATTCTTCATCTCAACTCGTCCCGAGGTCTCTAGAGGCCAAGACAGAAGATCCCTAGCAGAAACTCTGTAGCTCCAAACAAGACCAGGCTTGGCTTCCTGATCCTGGGCTTTCGGACTTGAACCCCTCTGCGATCTAGCCAAAGTAAACATGAGGAGTGAGAAAAGTACATCAAAGTCACGGAAACTTCAAGTGCTTTTTGATGCTTTTTGGACATCTACAGTTGATGTTTGCCCATGCTGCGCGTGCGCCATGCGCTCTCTGGAAACGTCCTGCTTGAGATTTCCCAACAGGACACTAGCCTCGGCTGCACTGGGTGGATCTATTTATACACTCAATAGACCAAGACCACCAGAGTCTTCGTGGCACGTAATATGTCTGGTTGGTGGTTTCGAAGATGAATTTTATGTTTCCCATAGATTGGGAAGAATAACCCCAACTGACGAACTCATATTTTTCAGAGGGGTTGAAACCACCAACCAGATGTATATGTAACACTGATTAATCATGATTAATCATGTATGTTTGGAATTGTTTGGATACAAAAGATCATTCACTCCCATATGCTCCATGTATGGTATATTTACCTACATTTGGGTGATTATTAGGGCAAATGTAGGTAAATATACCATACATGGAGCATATGGGACTGCTTCCAGGATGTCACGATGTTTGCTCCAAGAATTTCCAGGAGTTGGGCGAGATACCCATCGCACGACTCAAAGAACTGCTGGAGCCAAAGTGAGGGGAACCCAGGAGCTGAGGGAACCTGGCGGATCGTCCCAGGATGGGCGCGTCTCGTGACTATGATACCATGGTTTTATCCGAGTTTTTGTATGTTCTCCAGATTTCTGGGGTGTAAACCTAGTACGGGATCGAAATTGTGAAGTCTTACTCTGAAATTGGTTTCTCAATCCAATCCCTCTAATTAAATACCATCCCATATTGTCCCCCCACATGAATAGGACCAATACCAAACCAGAGTTCCAAAAGGATGTTTAAGAGATTGTTCATACTGAAATCTGCCATGTAAAAACTACATTTCAAGGTCAATCTTGGATGGTAGAAACTAATCCTTTAGTCTTTTGGTATGGGATTATCTACGTTCACCAGCTAAGAATTTGTCATTTTTGCAGACTATCTGGCTGATTCGTCGTGATATTACATGTGATTATTGTTATGAATGGTTCTTAATGGTTATGATTACGATTACTATTGACGATGACTATCATTAATGGGATGATTCTGGGAATGTTTGATGATTAGTATGTGATTAAACCCCATGAATACTATAGTATATTAGTATATAGTTGATAGGTATCATAAGCCATAATCATTAGAGATATACACCAATAATATTGTCGAAGATTGGCCATGGTAAAAAAACTACATTTGATTTCCACTGTTCATTCAAGCAACCAATGACCCGTGGTGAAGCCGAAACCATCAAACCAAGCCGGAAATCTTCATGCTGAATGTTTCTGACATGATGATTTTATGAATGTCTAGACCAGGTGTCTTAACACACTTATGCATATTTTATTGGTGATGTTTCAAGTATTTAAGATTATTCAAGACTTTTAAAAGTATATACAATCATCCTGAAGTAGATAGAATATCTAGATTTGCGTACAATTTCCATTTTTGTGAGGATTTTGTGGAGTATCAATATTCTATCTACTCCAGGACGACATTTCTTACTCTCCATCTCAAAACTCAAAACACATATCATATGTATATATATATATATACATACATATCATATAGATACATACATACATGTGTAATATATATATATACATATACATTTGTTTTTGGTTTTGGTAATCCCTTCCCCCTAATATTAAACACCCCCTTAGAAACCATGGTGGATGTAGGGAATTTCTACATAATTGGGACAATTCATGGGGCGTTTAATATCAGGGTGATGGGATTATTATGTGATTGCGAAATCCTGCACCAGTTCATAGGTGGTAAAAATCCCATTACTTCCAGGCTTTCTACCATCCCAGGTGGGGATTTCTGCCATCCACAGTATCATTCTCCATCTCAAAACTGAGATGGCCCAGGTGTCTTAACTGCCGCGCTGCAGCAAGGCTTGGGGCTTCCATCTTCCGACAACGGCTACTGAACCACCAGAACGAGGTGGGCCACGGTGGGGAGTTGGGCTCCGGAAAAACTTGGCGGTGGATGATGATGTTCGGTGGATTTTTGCTGAATTTTCCTTGTTGGAAACGGCAAGTTTTTTTTGGGATGCTGAATGAGCAACAGAAAACTCCATATATTTGGCGATTGGGGGAACTGCTCGCAGCCATGATAACCAAAAAACGCTGGGTAGATGGGTATCGACCAACCCTTGTGAACCGGGTAACCACATGAACCACAATTCGCCGGCATAGGTCTTGGATGGCTTAGCTTGTTTAATGCTTTCATCATCCTTGTTCCGTTTCGATGGGGGAGTCATTCCAATACACATACGTATGATGAAAGATGGTGATAATTCGATTCTTATGGGCATTGCTATACTCTACTCTTGGAATATTTTATAATTTATCTATACAAGTTATCCTATCTAAGATACCCTTACCGGGTAAACTAACATAGATGTGGAACATCCACAATTTGTAGATCATATCTCCCTTGGGAACACTTGGGAACCATAGGTTTTCCACATTTAAAATGTGTTAAAAATCGTTGGGTCTCTACAACGTGGGGCCCCCATTTGATAGCTAAGTTGGTTTATACATCTTTATAACTTTATAACTTCAATAACTAGGGAGAACTAGGTAGTTGGATCGAACTATAGTTGGGGTTATAAACCAACGAATATAGGTTTTTTGGGGCCCAGATTTTTCAAAGTAAAGATCTTTCGCGGCCAGGTGATCTCCACCCTTCCAGCCGACACGGAGGAACTGCAGGTGGGGGTTCCATTTGTTTTTAGCCTGGGATGGACCTAGAAATCCATGAAAATCCAAAGAGTTGAGGTGAAGATCCAAGGAGTTTTGAAGTGACAATTCGTATGTGATATTTTTTTTCTAGATTTTGAGGCTGAAGATCTTCAGAGATTTTTTTGCTGGAAAATCTATGGATTTGACAGAACATCCTTGAATTTCGGATGACAATCTGAGGATTTCAGGTGAATTTCAGAATGATTTTTTGATATAAGAACCTTGAGACTTGAGGTGAGGGCAGGCTTGTTGACTCACAGCGAGATTTGGCTGTGATTTCCATGAGAAAACATGGGTGAGTTGATTTTGGGACAGCCAGTCTTTTCCCCAAGATGTACAACCAGAAACTAGCCTCACACTCAGAAATACGTCGGCTTGGGATGTCAAAAAAACATGGCTTACTGTCCACAAACTCTGGTGCAGACTGCCAATTGAATAATTGGCAGCATCCTATTTTCTACAACAATCAAGGTTGCTGAGATTCCACTGGATCAACATGTCATAAACATAATAATAGTGTATAACATATTATCTGGGTAAATTATAACGACCTCACTGCGACCTCACTGGAATCATGGTCAGTAAGGGAAATCTTTCCCAAATGGCCTTATTTCAGGTTAGTGAAATATTATAATTTACCCAGAATATATGTATGTATACAGTCATCCTGGAGTAGACAGGATATTTCAAGAAATCCTCACCAAAATTGGAATACTGTTGAACATCCCATATTCTACTCTAAGATTATATGTATATTAGCTAATATATATATATATATACCCTCTGCTTATTTAACATAGCCATGGAAAATCACCATTTGTTTTTATAGGTAAACCGGTAAACCATCTATTTCTATGGACCATCTATACCATGGCAAACTGTTAGTCATAACCAGAGGGTATATATATATTATTATTACACATATGTACACCCATTATATTTCTCACGCAAGTTGGATGAGCTTGGAACATCTTCACACTGAGGTCGTGGTTGTGCCCTTCTGCCAGGTCGCGGTCGCGGTTGGGTCCGGAGTTCCGGGGCCATCTTCAGTGGTTTCTTGGGTGGTGCTTCATCCCAGGAATGGTAAGTGGGTTACAATGTAACCACAGTTATAAGTGGATTACCCTCTGGTAACTCAACAGTTTGCTATTGAAAATTGCACGTTTATAGTGGATTCACCCATTGAAAACGGAGATTTTCCATAGTTATGTTAGTTTACCAGAGGGTAACTGTCCCTACTTAGCCCATGTATAGCTAGCCTTACAAGCTACTTGTTAAGTGGGATGAACCACCAAGTACATTCCGGGATCGATCTACAGTAGGTGTGAAGTGCCAAATTTTTTTGGGGGATGAAGATCCATAAACAACGAATATGTTTGGGACTCACATACGTTCACGAAGCGGTGTTTTGACCCATGTGGTTTTCCATGTCGAAACCTTGGGTTCGGAACCTTGGTTTCGTGGCTTACCTTTGGTCATTTTCCTCGATCGATGTTGGCTTTTGTATCCCCTCTAAAGCGCTTGGATGACAATTCCATAGAATTCCTAGGTCAATCGCCTGGATGGCTAGAAACTAATCCTGAATAGTCTTTTGGAATGGGATTATCTACGTTCACCAGCTAAGAATGTGTCATTTTTTGCTGGGTATCTGGCAGATTGGCCATGCCCATCTGAACCAAGTTGAGGCATCCTCGAAGGTTTTCTTTCTGCTACCCGCAATTTCTGGGTCCTGCAGAAAGACAAAGATTTCAGGAACCCGTTGCGAAGTATCCTATCTGGTTGGTGGTTTGGAACATGAATTTTATTTTTTAATTGGGAGGTTCATCATCCCAACTGACTTTCATATTTTTCAGAGGGGTTGGAACCACCAACCAGCCATATGTGCATGTAGTTTTAGATTAGAATGGCTTGGAAACCGTAACTGCAGTGGGTTTATCCCATCTGGAAGTGCAGTTCCATAGTTCACCAAGTGGACACAGTTCACCATAGCTATGGATGATATATCCCAACTTCTGGCCTGCACCCTCAAGTGATACACAGGGTGAACAATCCCGTTTCATATGTGACATATTCCCAGGATATCCCGATGACATACCACCATTGTTCATGGTTACATCCCATTCAAGTCGCCATTGAAGTCCCATTCAAGTTGCCACTAAAGTCGCTATTCGAGTCCCATTATATATATATATATAGATAAGTTAACCATTAAACTTCCCATGATTCCCATGATATTATATTCCCATTAAACATTCCATTCACGTCCCATTAAAGTCCTGTGAAGCCGCCATCAAAGCCACAAGCCGCCGTTCATCGGTGTTTCACAGGACTTTGGAGAGGAACTCTTGGCTGCTGCGACCATAGGCACCAACCAAAATTTGCGCAGTGTTCAAAAACCCTGGGTTAAGCATCATATATGTGGGGTTTATGGGAGTTTAACATGGTTTAATCATTAAGCATGTGTGGGGATGTCGTTGATAAATGATGGTAGATGATTAATTCGGGGATTATACTACCCAAATACTTTTTTTTTGGGGGGGGAGTGTCATAGTCCACGAAGTGGGAATCCCGTTCTTAACCAAGCAGGATTAAATGGAATGACATTTCGAGATTTCGAGTGCAACTTTCAGTGCTCAAATTTAATCAGCACCCTCCGGTAGTCAAACGTAACAATGGAGAATCCTCGAACTAAATGGAGGTTTGAATGGCAAAATCATCGAACTAAATTTTAATGGGCAATTGTCCATAGCAAACTGTTTGTTTACCAGAGGGTACGTGACCAATTTGTTCATCAGTACGTTTGGTTTTAGAAACATGAACATACATTAACCTGTTTTTTGGGGTGGCATTCCCACTCTTGCCTGTGAAGCAGCGGCTACAACCCACTAAATCAGAATGGCCTGAAACTTATTAACCTGTTGTTAAGGTTTAGCTTCGCCTGGATATGCGCTCCCTTTGGCTAACCACCCTTGTAAGATGGCCAATTGCGACTAACTACACCTCAACTGGCAGCATTTGCAGAGGGGCGGTTGAAGCTGCACAGTAAATACTGCATCGCCCTCACCCCCCCCCGGCCGGGTTGTTCAACCGCAACTTTGGGCATTTCCCTAATAACAGTCTATTAAGGATTTCTTCAAAAGTAGTCGAAAGGGTCACCAGTCAGGGCCACCCAGATTCAATGAAGATGTTTTCTTTAATAGCCTTTTAAGAAGGGTTGTGGCCTGTCTCATTGCATGGGTCAAAGATTTGGTGAGCTGCATCGCCTCTAATAAGAGTCTATTAGCTATCAAATACAAATTTGCTTGGTTTAGGTAATAGAGTCTTAATAAACCATTAGCAGCAACATATTGATTGGTAAATAACTTCCGCGCAGATTTCCAGCAGATCTCTTCTGAGGGGGGGTCCTGAGGGGGTGGTTAGACATTCTATGATATTTAGATTAAGTGATAGACTTGAGTGATTAGAACCAGTGATAGATAATGATTAAACGGTAATGATATGATCATAAGAGCTCGTTTGAAGTGATAGAGTTCTAGAACTAGTGAATAGAAGTACCTTTGGTTTAAAATGTCTGTTTCGATGCAGTGATAGATTTATTTCATATCATATCCAGAAAAAGGTGCTGGTTATCAAACATATGGGGATTTAAAGAGAAGTCTGTATATAGCTTTAACTATGAACAATACAGGATGGGGCCCCCAAGATAGCTAAGTTGGTTTATACGTGGCTTAACAATGGTTTATGGTAGATATAACTATAGTTAATGGGGACTATAATGGTTTATAAACCAACTTATAACTGGGGGCCCCATCCTGTAGGTATGTAAATGTATATACTTAAGATCAATGATAGCTGGTTGTTGATTAGTTCGGGGCTTATGCTCGGTCAATTGGCGTGGCGAAACGCTAAACGAGAGCCTTTTCGGCTGTGCCCCAAACGTCACAGCGGCGCAACGTAACTAAGACTCCCAACTTCCATTGGATTGTGGTGGAGATTGATGGGTATTAAAACTACCCATATCTGACCTGACAGTGATTTTGGATTATGGTGGAGATTGGTGGACATTAAACTAACCATATCTAACCATATCTAACCTAACTAACCATTGATTTCAAGTTCGGAACTGCAAATTTCAGTGGGATCGTAACAGCTATGGCTCTACTTGGTGGGAAAAACCGTGGATTCTCTCCGTGAAAGTAGACCGAGTTGTGAACTCTTCAACGGGGATTCCAAACATGAGGATGCTACCATGAAAACATGTTTTCTACCATGAAAACATGTGGATTTTACCATGAAAAATTAGGATTTTACCATGAAACATGTGGAATTTACCATGAAACATGTGGATTTTACCATGAACAATTGAGATTTCACAATGAACAATTGGGATTTCACCATGAAAAATTGCGATTTTACCATGAAAAATTGGGACTTTACCATGAAAAATGGTGATTTTACCGTTAAAATTGCCCAGGGCCAAAAATAATGCAGTTCTGCAGTTCGCCTCGTGGATCCGGTAGGATCAACTTGGCCACGATGACCAAGGAATTAATTCAAGGATAACGTTAATGGATAAATATTAACTACCCTCTGGTTATTTAACATAGCCATGGTTTATAGGGATTTTCCATGAGGTTGAATTGGGATTTAATGGGTTTTAATGGATTATAATCCACTTAATGGAATATACCCTCTGGTTATGACTAACAGTTCGCCATGGTATTGATGGCCCTAATCGAAATAGATGGTTTACCTAGCTATAAAATGGTGGATCTTTCCATGGCAAACTGGCAATGTCATAACCAGAGGGTATGTGGCGATGGAGTTCACCGAGGCCCAAATCATCCAAATATGGGGGGCAAATCATCCCATCACCCAAGGAATTCATACATATCACTGGGATTCACCGGGTAAAATGGTGAATTATCAATGGGAATTATCCATGGGAATTATTAATATTTTGGATATTCACTAAGCATATTGATCTGTTAATTATCACTGGGTAAATTTCATCACGGCTGAAGCCTGTTCTCCCGAAGCCTGGAATCATGGTTTATGATGTTTATTTTAGGGAAATCATCCCCATTCATGGCCCAACTATTCAGGTTAGTGAATTTTTATAATAACGACCAAGATATCAGTGATTCCCTAAAATATCATAGAATTACTTAGCATAATTATAATCATGTAATAATGATCCACTGATTCAACTACCAAGTATTTAGCCAGATATCAGTGAATTACTTGGTACTTGACCAAAGGTATCATCCTCTTATATTATGATTACCAATTATATGATGGTATTACCAAGCAATGGTACTACATATGAGATTTTCTTCATGGTATTACCCACTTATCTAGTATTAGTTGGGGATTTCCCATTGTGGGGACTTTAAGTGGTTTCGATCTAAGTGGTTTCACATATGAAACAATAGTTCAGTATAGAAACCACTTATCAATCGGTGCCGGATTTCCCAACCATCCAAAATTCATCACTCCCAGTTTTCGCACTTCGATCAGTTTGCATATGATTTTGGCACAACCGCGCTAAAGTTTGGCCATTTTAAATAGCCACTGAAAAAATCATGACATGAGCCATGGTCATATATCTCATGATTGCTGCTCAGTTCTCTCCAAGCAGCTCCACATCACCTTCCTCCAATCAATGGGAGATCTTCAGGACCCTAAACTGGAGGTACTGTACCATGTACCGCAAAAGGCCATGTTTTGGAGGTATATCGACTGAAATTTCGACCTTAGACCAAACATAGGTAGGTACCTCCAATTTAGGTGACACCTTACGGGGGGATGCATCCCATGTAGCAAATGGATGATATATGGAATATTTGGGATTTTAGAGGTGATATATGGATTATAAACCACTTCCAAGCAGCTCCACATCACTCTCTCAATGGATTGGTTTAAGGGACAAATTACAGGAAACCCCATATTTCATGAGAAAATCCATAGTTTCCTCATATTTCCTGTACATTTTCCCAAGAAAACTCCATATTTCATGGGAAAATCCATGGTTTCCTGTGGAAAACCAATCCATTGACTCTCCGGCAGGCCACGTCCCTTCCTTGCGCACCATCTTGGAGAAGCCGCAGCACCCAGACGGCGGGCCCGGGGCGCTGCATGCGGCCGCGCGCTACGGGCATGCGGAGGCGGAGTTCGGGATGAAAGTTGGTGGGATTCGTGACCTGGACTGGAAAAACCTATAGTTGATGTATATAGATATCTATGGTTTTTGTATCTAACATAGGTTTAATCTATAGGTTGTATATGCCGGCCTAGGATCCTATATAGGTTATATGTGGTTAGATATACTTTATAGCTATATCTATGTGGTTGGTGGTTTGATGTATATAACTTTATATAACCTATATATATATATGTGTAGATACAAAATGATACAAATATATAGATTATCATTGGTTATATATAAGTTATCTATGTGAGATATAGTGGGCCTATAGTTTTTTTTTTTAATGATCATCGATAAATCTATAGCCAACCATGGGAGACAGATCTACAGGATGGGGCCCCCAAGATAGCGTTCAGTTGGTTTATAATTTATGGTAGATATAACGAACTAGTATTCATGGGGATTATTTCATGGTGTATAAACCATGATAATCCCCATGAATACTAGTTCGTTATATCTACCATAAACCATTGAATTCAGCCACTTGTTTCAACCAACTGAACGCGAACTCGACTGGGGGCCCCATCCTGTAGAGACGGCAAATTCTCCATTCTCCCAGAGACCGAGGCGGTGCGTCTCCTGCTGCAAGCGGGCGCCTGGCAAGACCAGCCCGGCAGATACGACGCCACGCCTCTGTTGGAAGCGGCGGAACATGGGACTCTACAGGCCTTGGGGAACTGGGGCCAACTGGTGATGTGTCAAAACCTTGTACCTCTGGTGAACATCAAAATAGCTGGGATTTATGGATGTTCATCCCACTAAAAATGTATCTATAGGTATTGACCCATACCCAACTGAGCAGTGTTCAAAACCCTGGTTGGTTGATTGGTTAGGGATTCTTTTCTACCCGGTATTCAAGAACGGGGATTTTTTTATAAACCAAGCAGGATTGGAATGATGGCTAGGGTGGCAGCTTCATGGTATGACCGTAGTATGACCTGATAGGATCTCCCCACGGAAATCATGGCTTATCAACGGATTGATTTCTGGGATTTTTCGATGATTTTGGGGTGAGATTCAGAAGATCATTGGATATGTAAGTTTTTAAGCCCTGAATTGAGTTGATTTACATGGAAAATAGCTTATAGTTTTAATAGAAACTCATCTTCCAAACCCGAGAACTGCCAGGGTCTATGTTAATTTACCAGAGGGTAACTATTTACATTGTTTATATTGATTTAACAATGGAGTTTTCGAAATTTAGCCAACAAAAATGGGGGGAAACTCGCTGGTGACTTTTGTGAGTTCGGTTTAGTACAATGAACAATTGTTTGCCATTTTCATGGGATATTGGTAACCGGACCAGCTACACGTTTGGTTGTTTTCTTGCAGGGGGTTGGCAATGGGAAGGGGACATATTCCACACATGGGAAGTAGATGAGCCAACCATGGGGCTGACCCTCCGCAAGAAAAGGTATCTTAGTTTGTAAGTACACGACTTGTTGGATTTATGGTGAATACATGTTGAGTTTGATGGATTGATGATTTATATAAGGCAACAACTCGGGGTCCCATTTCGTCACCACAAATTGTCCCGGAAATTTGTGGGATCCTTGACGATGAACCCAGCAAATATGGGAGATTAACTTCTCAACAGCTTGGTGGAGTTTTGCGGTCAACATGGGGGAATAGAAGTAAGTACCTAAAAACTCCATTTCTATTGATTAAGCAGGGCAGCAGGGGTCTTTTTTGTATAGAAATTCATGAATATACCATCTGGTTATGATTAATTAACAGTTAGCCATGGAAAGATCCAGCATTTTATAGCTAGGTAAACCATCTATTTCGATTAGGGCCATGGCTCTACCATGGCTAGCCCTGTGAATGTCATAACCAGCTTGGGTTATCTGGCGCTGGTCCATGGGGGAAGTCACCAAGCATGGCGGATGGAGGAGTCGACCACTGCTGAGATGAATCAAGGCGGTGGCTTTCAATCAGGTATATGTAACAATAAAGAACATCTAGTTTATATATAATTATATAATATATCCCTATGGATCCAAGTACCTTCTTAGGAAGTGTTTGGGGTATAATTTACTATAATTTGGAGGCTTAATTACTTTCTCAGACAGTGTTTGGATCCATAGGGTATATATATATAATACACATTATCTGGGTAAATTATAACGACCTCACTGTTCTCCCTCACTGGAATCATGATTAGTAAGGGGAATCATCCCAAAATGGCCTTAGTTCAATTTAATTCCGGTTAGTGAAATATGATAATTTACTCAGTAATATGATTGAAATTCACATATTCACGTATTTGTTCAGTAATATTGGAAGAAATCCTGCACAAATGTTGGTAGTAAACCAGAAACAAATCATAACAAATCATATGATTTACGGTGTTTCATAGTTACCAATAGTTACCAACTGATGTTTCATGATTTCCCCTCATGTCACGTGTCACTTCGTGGGTGTCTTCAGGTTGCGCGGATCTTGGTCGATGCTCAGAGCGACTTGAACCAGCCTCTTGGTAATTATGTAAATGGGGGTTTTAACATGTTGAAAAACCATCAGATACCATGGGGATTTCTGGTGATATCAGGATCAGGATTTTGCTTGGAGATTAATGATTGATTAATGTAACCAACTGGAAAATTGACAGAGTCTGGTTTCTGAAACCGACCAGGGTTTCATACTGAATATATGCACATTCATTCATGATAAGGTATCCAAATCATATACAAGGTGAGGCTCCATACAGTAGATACTAGTAGCTAAGTTCACTTATAACTTGGCTAACTGTTGGGTTTATGGGGGATATAACGTAATATAACTACGGTAACTAACGACATTTAAATATGTGGAGGGCGGGCCAGACCGCGAGGCCCCGGAGGTAGTATGAAAGACCAGTTCGTATATTTAAATGTAGCTACCTGGTTGGTGGTTTCAAACATTTTTTATTTTCCATAGTATATGGGATGTCATCCTTCCCATTGACTTTCATATTTCTCAGAGGGCTAGGTCAACCACCAACCAGTAAATGTAGCTACCGTATAGTACTGTAGTATTCATGGCTTTATGAAGCAACAAACATCACTGGGGGACCTCACCGACAGCTGCTGATGTTCAGCTTATTCAGCCAAATCACTGGTCCCTGCTTTGTTTTGGGGCTCACGGCTTCAAAAGCTACAACCTGATTCGATGCAATGTAGTAAACATCAGCATTTGCATTGTTTAGATATGTTTATTGTTTATAGATCCCTGGATTTTGTTGGTTGTGAAAAACCCGTTTCGGCTGGTGCAATGCGACATTTAGTTGATTAGATCCCAGTATGTCTCCTATTTATCTCCCTAGCTTAGTTGCTAATCTTGCATTTACCCTCTGGTAAACGTTTACATAACTATGGAAAATCACCATTTTCAATGGGTAAATCCACTATTTCTATGGCCATTTTCAATAGCTATGTTTGACATAACCAGAGGGTACCAGCTGGTCATTTAACATCGCGAACTGGAATATCCCCATTTTAGATCGGTAGATCATCATCTATCGAACCCAATGGGCCGAAGTGCTTCCAGTTCGCTCTACGAAAGAAGTGGCGCGGAGTCCACAGATCAATGGCAGATTTTCAGGATCCGATTTATTGGAGGTACGTTCGTACCATATGGCCACATTTTGTGGAGATATGAAACTAAGGCCTAAAAAATAGGCCACACATATATGGTAATTAGGTACCTCCAATGTTTATCGGTTTCTGAAATGGCCATTGAACATATAAGTGGCCTATATGGTTATCAACCAACCACTATCACAAAGCGGCATGATACTCCATCTCCCATGTTTATCTGGATAAGATACGTCCATTTGGGAGATAAATACAACAATTATCTGGATAAGCTGTTTGATCTACAATCATATATTATGTAGATATACATATTTGGTTGTATATGTAGATCTCCATGTTTTATTTGATCCATATATGTACAAAAGGTCCTCATAATCTCCCAATCAATCTGGATAAGCCAATCATCTTCATAATCTCATGGTTCACCCGTTCCAAGAACCCAATAGATCATGATGGGTAATCAAACAAAATAGGCCATGGCTTCCATAGCTATGTTTACCAGAGGGTATCTTCCAATCAATCTGGATAAAATTATATTTACCCGATGAAAGATATCATCTAAATCAGAAATATTATGTATCATGAATATAATCTTGATAAATTCCTATATTATTAGTTTATCTTACTGACAACCAATCCCAATAACCCAATAAATCGTGCTGATCTCGCCACTTTTTTCCTGCACCCAGGATGGGTTTGGGCCGCACCACGCCCTTGTTGGCCGCCTGCGAACGTGGACATCTGAGCATGGCGCAGCTCTTGGTGGAGCGAGGTGCTAACAAGGCGCCAGTGTGGATGAGTTTCATGGGATCTTTATGGGTTTTATGATATATATATAATATATGTATATATATATACATTTGAATTGGCTTTTCATGGGGATTTTTAAGGGCAATATATGATGGTGTTGGAAGCGCATTACCACTTCGATGGGAAAGGAGTGCGCTGACGCGCGGGGCGTGACGCCGCTGCTGGCGGCAGCCGGCTTTTGTGGCTCGCTGCCGTTGGTGGAGCTGTTGCTGGATGCCAAGGTGCACCGCTATGGGTCCACCCATAGCTGGTTGGTTTATTTCATGGAAAATCTTGTTAAATAACAGGGATAAGAACTATAGGGGTACCCCCCATGACTTAGGAAACCTCCCTATAATTATATTTCTATCCTTATGAACAACCATATAGTCGCAATCACCAGACTTTTTTGAGTTTGGATGTTATATTTTTGACCAGACACCAAAATTATTCATTTTAGCATGTTTGCGCTAGGATCAAAGATCAAAATCATATTCATCATATGAATCACATCATGAATATGAACGATTATGCCTATGCTACAGAAAATTATGAGATTGGTTTGATTGCAGGTTTGATGTTGCAAAAAATAGCAATTAAAGGATCAGGATGGACGAAGATGATTTTGCTATTTAAGTAATCTTAATGAGTGAACTATCTTCAGACGAACTTAGTGTAGATTGTGCAATAGTTTATGTATATAAAATGGTTGCAGCGAATACTTACCAGCTCTTACCCTGAACATCGGTCAGTGATGTTGGCTTGTATATATATATATACACACACCGCAAATGGCAAATGGAGCATATGGGTAATATAATTTATTTCAGTTTTGATGAGTTCTGATATCATGTACATTAGATACAATAACAACATAGATTTGTTTTAACAATAATAAGAACGTATAGCAAGTTACATAAGTACAACATGTATCATCATTGCTTTAGATCTTTCTTAAATTCAGATTGGGAAGTTTAAGCAACACCTATTCGTTTTCGTTAGTATTCTCATATTTATATGTATGTAATCGAAATGTAGGTTTAGCCAACAGAAATTGGAATAAAGAATCAGAAGTCGTCAGTAACCCAACAAGAATGCAGGGTGAAGAAAATAAACAAACAAACATCGCAAGGTGGCGCCCCGATAGTTTGGTAAGTTGGTGAACATAACTTCATAACTCGGCTTCATGGTATGTCTGTGATTTATAGACCAACAAACATAATTAGGGGGACCCTCTTGTGGAACTGTACCTGTTCGGCAGTTTCACGCCATGGATATCATGTCACCATGTCCCATCAAATCCATGTCTAGATGGTCGCTGCGGTGTGGCGGAAACCACCAGCAAGACCACGTGATCATCAAAACAGCGAAAAAAAAACACATTCAAAACTTAAGTGAGTGGAACACATTCAAAACTTAAGTGAGTGGTTCATTCAGTCATCCAAACCTTCAAACAGTCATGAAATCACTTTATCATCAAAATCCACCCTCGTTTCCAGGCTAGTTGCAATGTGCTGGACACAGATGGCAAGACACCTTTGAGACTGGCAGCAGGCCGAGTTGATGATGGAGACATATGGAGACGTGGCACGGCCCAGTGGGGCAGCCACATAAAATTTAGGGGTCCAAACAACAAGAACGACATATTGCTAGGATGTCATAGATGATCAGGAAACCTCATGAAGCATCATTATTTTGCAGATGTTCAACTTTTCTACCTATGACTTGACTTGGGGGTGCTATATATAGTTATAATATATCAATATCCACAAACATGTTTGCAGGAAATGTTGGTTTTAACGTGGTTTTAACATTGATGACTCAAATTGAACACAATGAATCATAGCCAAGAACAAATATCAATTCTGCTCATGGATTTTCACATTGAGGAAACAAGCGAAACCATAAAAACCAACAGATCAGATTGCAATTTGCCTCAAATGATCCAGATTCAGAAGTGGCTATTTTTCAGACAAATGGGGGGTTCAAGGCTCAACAGCGCAAGACGCATTTTTGGGTTGTCGAAATTTCGTATCAATAGGTATCAAAATCATCCGAGACAGGTATGTTTACCAGTAAACCATTCTGGTTGGTGGTTTGGAACATTTATTTTTCCATATATTGGGAACAATAACACCAACTGAGGAACTCATATTTTTCAGAGGGGTAGGTATACCACCAACCAGATCAGTAAATGAGAAGAAATGGTGTACCAAACCGACCCCTTCATTTTTTTGTCCAATTTGGGATAGCATTATCAATATATCATAAACCATCCCAAAGCTACAGGTATTTTTACCAGTAAGCCATTGTTGCTTGGGGATGATAGCAGCAATTTCAAAAAAACACATCCCCTATCTTTCTACTGTCTGAATCAAAGATGCGTCTGAGAAACATCAATTTCTAGCCATATAAATTTACCATAGGTTTACTGGTTGGTGGTTTCAAACATATAATCGTATTTTCCATTTCATATATGGGATGTCATCCCAACCCCATTGACGAACTCCATCATTTTTCAAGATGCTTATTGCACCACCAGATAGTAGCATCATTTCAACCATAGTTAACTATAAATTGGTTTATAAGCCCCATGAATACTATAGTTACTATAGTTATTTGCGTGTCATAAACCAAGTTATGAAAAGAAAAAACCAGAGGTTTTTCTGGCTGTCTGAATGGATCCCCAGTCTGGATGCTGAGAGATCTCCGGTTCACCCCATGATGTTTTCGCTTCGCTGCAATGAATCACCCGATTTTTCTGAATGTCGCTTTAATTAAAAGTGCCCGGTGCCCAAAAAACGAAAAAAGTGAATTCTGAGTCTTTAAATCTGCAAATTAGCCACTTCATGGTGCCTCTCTTAGCTGAAAATCACCATTTCTGTTGGTTAAACCTTCATTTTCCCAATAAAATCTGTAAAGTTTCTGTTGGTTGAAGATTTAGCACCTTTCACCTCTTCATTTTTCCCATGGAAAACCCCTGACGTTTAACGTGGGACACCGGCCAGGCATGGGCCACGCGGACGTGGTCCAGTGCCTCCTGACCACCGATGACGTCGACGTCGACGCGCGCGATGCGCTCGGTGCCACGCCGCTCTGGGCGGCGGCGCGCAACGGGCGCGTGCGGGTCACGCAGCTCTTGTTGCAGCACCGGGCGGAGAAGGACGCTGGGAGGTTTTATGGAGGTTTTATGGAGGTTTTATGGAGAGGATTCGGGTCATCTTTTTATTCCGCCATAATTAAATCTTATGGATTTTGGGAATAATTCCGCCATAAATCTTGGATTGATTTGGGAATAATTATTCAATATTATTCATAAATCAATATAAATATCAATATCAATATCCATTAATAACAAATGTTTGGGAATATCAATATCCAGAAATCTTCCATGGTTTCAGCGGAAAATCATCCCGAGCGGATGCCCCAAGGTGTACCAAACCGACCCCGTGATTTGTTTTTTCCAATTTAGGACACTATTAATATACCCTCTGGTAATTTAACATAGCTATTGAACATGGCCATAGAAATAGTTGATTTACCCATTGAAAATGGTGATTTTCCATAGTTATGTACAATGTAAACGTTTATCAGAGGGTAAACCATCCGGAAGCTACTTATATTCGTCATAATGCAGCTTTGCCAACTGGGGCACCAGCATGTAGCTAGATTTTGATTAATCATGGACGATCATTAAGCACGAAGGATCATTAACCACACATTTATTGGAAATGTCAGGACTGATTGGGGATTTGGATGGGAAACTATTGGAAAATTAATTTTATTATGTATATACCCTCTGGTTATTTAACATAGCCATGGAAAATCCCTTATATATGGAGGTTTTAATGGGAAAATCATCTATAAATGGGCTATTTTCCATGGCTATGTTTAATAACCAGAGTGTACATGAAAAGGTACAACTTGTGATTGAAGCGGCAAACCCTGGGTGGTTCAGATGGGCAAACAACAATTTAAATAGTCAATGACACACACACACAAAATGGTGTTGAACTACGGTTGCAACTTAAGCTCAAAAAATGAAATTAATATCAACAAACTTGATCACCATCCAATAGACAGTAGAATCATGTAGAATCAACAACTGACAATGCCATTGAGATGATTCATTATAGGTTAAAGTGGGTATACCATGATCATGGTATACCCATTAACTGGCATAGAACTATATAAATCCATTGCCATTTACGAGCCATCGTCTATGATAACCAGCAAAGATCGGGTTTACTCCTGATATTTTGCGTGACATTCCATTCTATCCCTGTTGAATTGTCCACGGCTCAAAATTAAACCCTTCCAAATCGGCGTTGATCCACCATTCGGCGGTATGGGTCCGAATTCAAGGGCCCAGCAAAAACCAACGGTCGGTGGCCGGTGGTTATGTTCACAGTAGTATGAACTCTATAAATCTGATGTTGTGTTTTTTTTCTTTCTGTTGCTGTTGTTGTTGTTGTTGCTGTTTATGGTCGGCTTGATGGTTGCTGTAGGCAGACCTGAGAGGTGCGTTGTGATCGTTGTGGTTGTGCTTGGCCGTCGTGGAGATGCAGCCGGAGGGCGTTCTGATCATGTTCGAACCCTTTTTTTCCACGGAATTCCAATGCCCATAGGATCCATGGTGCTGGTATATATGCTAACATGACTGGGGTATATTGATGGGATCCATGTTACCATATATACCATACATGGATCCTATGGGATGGATTACTTTGCCATAATGACCTCACTTTGCAACGTACTTTTGCGGCGTTCGCCGGTTGGCATGATTGGTATGGCATGTTCGCTGCCCCATGCTGCACTTTGGGGCCCTGCGGTGATCAGGTACGAGAAGTGGCTGATGTGTTTGGATGGTTTTGGTGTGTGTAATGTCGACCCTGGATTAATCAACCCCAAACGGCTGTTTAATTGGGAGGGTACCATTTAAGTACTAGATTCTGACTATTGGAGGAGTACCCCCCTAATTAATAAACCATGGTTTAGTCTCATCCGGGGTTGACATTACCTGACTTATCCCAATTTGTGGATGGGTCAAAACCTTAAAAAATGCCATATATTTGGGGAAAAAAAACCATCATTAACCATGAAAAAAATGATCCATAACCATCTGACCCCACATCCATGAATTTTCGAACCCCTCATCCAGATACCTGGAGGTACATCCCAAGTAGAAACCCACTTGGTGAAAATAAACCCATGGTCATAATATATGTATATATATATATGTATGTATATATGTAATTATATATGTAATTATATATATATATACATATATATATATATATTATATTCCCCATAAACCCAACGGCTAACCAAATTATGTGCGTCAACTAAGCTATGGTAAATGGGGCCTTACCAGATCCCTGCAGTAAAAAAAACCATGGCACTTTTGGAAATCCCTGAACTACATGGAGGCTATTAATGTGGTTACAATAATAAACCACCCCAATTTTGATAGTTTATACCACCCATTTATGGTGGTTTTGGGGATGGTTTTGTTATTGTTTTACCATCTGGTTATGTCAAACATAGCTATTGAACATTGCCATAGAAATAGTGAGTTTCCCGTAAAAAATGGTGATTTTCCATAGTTTTCCCATAGAAATAGTGATTTTTCCCGTAAAAAATGGTGATTTTCCATCGTTTTCCATAGTTTTTTGTATGTTTACCAGGCCGGGTAACCACAACACACACCCCTTCGGCAACGCATCCAACGGAGCAGACCAGGACGCCAGAGATATCGATGGCGAGACGCCACTGTCACCGAAAGCTGCACAAAGATCGGGGAATTACCGTCTGGCTATGGTGAGTTTAGTATAGTTTAGTTTAGTAAGTACTAATAATAGATGCACTTAGATACTTTAGTTTAGATACTTTAGATATGTCATATACAAAAAAAAATGATCGGGAAATTACTTGGTGGCTCATCCCACGGCTCGTAAGTGAGTTATAACCCCAATTATAAGTGGATTAACCCTACAAAAATCCCATGTCAATCACTGGGGTTATAACCCACTTACTAAGTGGGATGAGCCACCAAGTACCCTCTGGCTATTTACCATAGCTATGGTATAGATGGCCCACATATAGAAACATATGATTTTGCGAACTAAAGCTCCATTTATGGTGGGGATTTTCCATGGCAAACTGTTAAATAACCAGATGGTACCTTGGTGAAGGTGATAGCATCAAGTATAGTTTAGTACTTTCATCTGCCATAAATTTCAATGAATAGAACCTTTTTGCGGCTAGAAACTAGAGCAACGCAGGCTATCTAAGATGCGTCTTGGTTATGACTGCACCAGTGCTTTGACCCAACGCCATAATTGTTTGTCGCATTTTCGTTTTTTTTGGGTGTCCCCATGATACGAAAACTTGACCGTGCACCTGGTGCCGGCACACACGACGAATAAATCGGACTTGACATTTGATGCAAAATCATCCAAACATGTCATGATGGCAAATGCTTGGTGAGATGTCACTTTCACTCTAACTTTGCCGGATGAAACGTGTTCTGTTAATTAAATCTCATCAAGTCATTCTGCTCTAGGATGGAAACACCTGTTGGTGATTCTCTTAAACTTCCCAAATCCGACCTAGTGAACGGCGTCTTTTTGGGCAAACTCATCTTACAGAAAACCTTCAATTACCATAGGATCCATGTATGCTATATATGGTAACATTTACCATCAATATACCCCAATGTTAGCATATATACCAGCACCATGGGTCCTATGGGTTATGGATCTATAAACTCGTCTTTGGCACTGAAACTCCTCTTACAGTGAACTCATCTTTCTCAAACCATGGGAACATCCATGATGGATGAAGAACCAGAAGTCTCATCCAGACATGCGTTATTTTTTGGTTTCCCAATGTCCAAAACGACTTGCTTTGCCCTGGGGTAATTTCGTAGTGGTTAAGTCTAGAGACTTCTGCATGTCCCATAGTGACTAGAAGTCCTAACCACTCATGTATTTTGGTTATATAATCATTAAATCTCAGAATCTTACATGAACATCTTGAAAGTTTCAAGCACTTCGAACAAATCACATATTTTTTTAAAGGATTTTCAAGGTACCACTCATAGTTGGAAGATGTTGGAAGCAGCATCAGGTGCTTTCCTGATGTTGTTTTTCCAATTTTTCCTGATGTTGGTTTCTAATTTTTCCAACGTTTTTCAGCGGATGTTTCTCCCTCGAACATTCACCAGGCTCACGGCCGCGGAGACAGGGCACCTGCAAGTGGTAAAGACCTTGTTGGAAGCCAGGGCTGACAAGGTGAGGCAAGGAGTTGGTTCAGGGTGGTGCAATAATGTTCGTTGGCTAAGTTGGTTTCTAAGTCCAATAACTATATGGTTGATTGATGTTTATTGGTGATATACCCTCTGGTTATTTAACATAGCCGTGGAAAATCGCCCATTTATAGATGGTTTACCTGTGTTTACCTATTAAAAATGGTGATTTTCCATGGCTATGTTAATTTACCAGAGGGTATATCTATAGTTAATGGGATTATAACCCATAAAAATCACTGGGACCACCATACGTTGGTGACTGTAAATCACGGGTACCTGCAAGTGGGACCCCCGAACTCGATAGCGTTCGCGAATGGTTTACAAGGCCATGTAACCGTTATACAGTATACTATAGTCATAAGTAGCATAAACTGCCATAAACTGCCATAAACTGCCATAAACCCCTAGTTATTGTAGTTTATTATAAAAAAAACTGGGATTTATTGGTATAACGGTTAGTCAGAAGTAGTTATTGGGATAATCCACCACTGATAAACCACTGATTATTGGTGGATTTTCTTGGATTTCTTATTGTTTGCAGAAATGATGGCGAAACCATGGTGATGTACCCGTGGGGATGAGAGTGAACACTTAGTCATCACTTGATCCCAAATGGCTTTCATCCAGCACTATACGAATGGTAAACATACAAAAAGCTATTGAACATGGCCATAGAAATAGTGAGTTTTCCCATCAAACATTGTGATTTTCCATAGTTTTTTGTATGTTTACCAGAGGGTATACGAATGGACTTACAGCTGAACCGAGTTCAGCATGATATGAACACCAAACACATGACAATCCCCTGGTACAAGGTGAGGGACCAGTGATGTTTGTTGGTTTACTAATCCATTAACTATAGATAAACTACAGTTAACCAATAAATAATATCCATTAACGGTTGATGGATATGAATTGTTGGTTAACTGTATTAACCCATTAACCATCATTAACCATCATTAACTATAGGTAACCCATTAATTATATCGCCCTTTTTTCCCCCAGTTCACCGTTCGGCAGTGGCCAGGAAGCCGCAGATGGGGAGGGCCGCAGCCCATTACGTGCTGCGGCAGAGCATGGCCGAAAGGCCGTGGTGGAATGTCTGCTGGAAGCAGGTGGGGCCGCAGTCGTTGGAGTTGTGACTTTTGCGATGGGCGACAAAAAAAGGGGGGATAGGCCTTAAATGGGATGATTTACTATTGAAAACAAGTTTGACATATATGGGTTCGTCTGAAAATAGTGTAGCCCTACACCCAATATAGTTCATGATATCATTATCCCTACTTTTTATGGCTATAATTGGGGGTATACCCCATTTTCAGATATACCCATATGTTAAAACATCTTAGAATACTGGAATGATCTGCTTCTGGAACCCCAGTCGTCACCATGGTTGTTTCACTCTAAGTCATGGTCATCCATGACGTTGAAAATTGGCGGTGCCACATGGTGCCGCCATCTTAGGAAACCTCCATATTTCATCGATTTTCATCATTCCCATACTAAAATCAATGGCCATTTCAGGAACCGATTGATTGGAGGTACCTACCATATATAAGGCCTATGTAAGGGCTATGTAAGGGGATATACCCCCAACATATGGCCTTATATGGTACAGTACCTCCATTTTAGGATCCTGGAATTCCCATCCTAAAATCATTATTTGAGGGTATGCCCCCGCGTAGACCCCATATATCCTCTGACATGCTCAAATCCCTGCGTAGGGCTAGCCTTTTTTTATTTTGCACAACCTACAAACCCTAAACCCTAAACCCTAACTTATACCTTCTGGTAATTCAACATAGCTATTGACCATGGCCCAGTCGAAATAGTGAATTTTCCCATGAAACAATGTGAATCTTTCCATCGTTTTTTGTATATTTACCAGGACGGGTAACCCAGGAGCCTCGATCAATGCCGCCTGTCTCTTGGGTCGCAGCGCCTTGTACTGTGCCACATGGAGTTGCTCGGCAAATGGCGGGGTCGTTCCTAACCATACCTGGATGCATGGGGGGAAATCTGAGAGAAATCTGAGGGGTCTTTAGAGTTTAGGGTATACAATGTTTTTTTTTGTTTAAGTCCGTTTTGGATTGAAGTCCGCAAACCCAAAGGTTGGTGATTTGTGGATGGGCAAAATTGGGGGGGTGAACTTATTGAATTGTCAGAATTGGGGGATTCACTCCATGCTAGATGGGGATGAAAAATCCTGTGGGGACTATGACCAGCAGGATCCAGCAGGATTCGGATACTTCTTGGACCAACTGATGGCATGTCGTCATCAACTGCATGCTGGTTTGCAGAATGGATGATGAGGATGGCCAGGCCATGTAGGCCCCATTTGAAGGAATTGAAGCATCGAGTTGGTCGGGATCTGACTTAAAGTCGAAGGAAGGGAGAAATCTCAGGTGATGGCCGTATCATATTTTTCCAAAAACTATGACAAGCTATGGATTTTTTTTGGGGGTTCTAAAACTCATATGATGTTTAGTATGACCCCAAAAAGATGCCGAACAGTATACGTTTTCCCCATCATTTCTGGCTTTCCAACCAACAAGGAATCCCCTGAATTGATAACGGGACGAACCATAGGCCGGCGAATATCCTGAAAAATCCCACGGAACTTGACCCTGACAAAAAAAAACAAGTTGGTGCCAGCAATCCTTAGCAAAGTGAGTAAAACTAACTTGGTTAAACTCTTGGGTTGATGATCGGGAAATGTAACTACGTATATATTCAACGCTTTTAATAGGTTTATAAACATATAAACCAACAAACATCATTGGGGGAGGTACCACCTATGGATAAATATGTATCTGTATATATTCCTATGATATTAATGTGGGTAAAACAACAATAAACCATCCCCCAGTCATCATCATTTTTTGTTTGGTGGTTAGACTTACCATTCCCAGTCATGGGTGGTAGGGGTGGCAGCCAGTTTTACCCACATTACTATATCATCTATATCTTACCCCATGGTATCCCCATTACCGGTGGGTTTCAACGCTCGATACCATGCCGATGCCTTAGGTGGGCACAAGGAGTTGGTCGAAACTTTGCTGGCGGCTCGTTGCGATGCCATGCAGGGCGACGGCGGCGCGACACAGATGGGTGAACTGTGGACGTCATGGCCCTTGAACAGATGGGAAATGATGGGATAATGATGGAAGATCACTATAAATATGTTAAATGAGATTATAATTCCTATAACGTTTAACTAGTTGGTTATGGTGAAGCGTGAATGATGTATCAATGTGGACAAGCCAATCATAAACCATCCCATATATATAGATATATACACATATATATCACATGTTTTTCATAGTAATAACAGCAACCCAACAATAACAGTGATAGAAACTCCAACCGAACTTGGCCGGATGAATGAGTGTCTCTTGAAATGATTGGTTATTTGGATTTCTTGTGGATCGTATAGAGTATAGAGGCAAATCAAAAAAATGGTGATATTTAGATCATGGATAAGATTATCTATTCCCTATTTATGGTCAGTAGAAACCAGTTTTGGCACATCTAAAGCCGTGGTTGATTTATCATATGCACTGCCCATCCCCCAAATCGTGTGAATTCACATTTTCCTGGAAACTTGCTTCATGTTATAATGGGTTCCTGAAAAAGATACATCAAAATGGCTAAACAATCCTTAAATGACCATACTAAACGTGACGGTATTTTGAGGACACACCCGTTTTTTTCCGATATTGTTTGTTGTACCACTATATCCCATATTATAATGCCCAATATGCAAGGTTGGGCCGTAGCAACCCCAACCTTGGATAAGGTACTTTAGCCTTCAGTTTTTTGCTATGGAAATAACCATAAGCAGCTAAGGATTTTTTTAATCATGTTTTCCCACAAGGTGGTGCCCCATAGTTAGCTAAGTTGGTTTATAACTCCCATAACTATGGTTTATGGCAGATATAACTATAGTATTCATGGGGTTTATAAACCAACAAGCATCACTGGGGGGCACCATCCTGCATCACTGTCCAATAATTTTCCCATGGGAAAACCCATGGTTTTCCCATGGTTTTCCCAGGGTTTTCCCATGGTTTTCCCAAAACCGTGTGGGGTGAACGGGTGAACCACAGATCCCAGGTGACGACGTGTTGCCCTTGCACCTCGCTGCCGGGAAGGGCCACCTGCCGCTGCTGCCGCTGCTTTTTTCGTCGGCGCTGGAGAAAGGCGACGCGGACGGGGCCACGGCGCTGTGGCGCGCGGCGCAGAAGGGGCAGCTCGAGGCAGCAGCTTGGTGGATGAGGATGATGATGCAATGTGGTACCTCCCCAGTTATAAGTTGGTTTATAAACCCCATTAACTATAGATATATCTACCATAAGTCCTACTTATTGTAGTTATAAAATGTTATAAACCAACTTAGCTATCTATGGGCACCACTATGTGGGGCCGAGATATCTGTTGAATTAAGACATTTCCATGATAAGGAAACAAATTTCAATGGGAAATATGGGAACAATAGAGAAATATTGTAGACATCTGAAACACCATAGAGCATCATAGAACTAGGATTCTTATGAATGGTGTTTGATTTTCCGTATATTTCTATTGCTTTATGGTTCTTTATTGATGGGAGATGATGGCTAAGATATCATTGATGGGTCCAACCATGGGAACATCCAAACTGGTCCTTATGAACATGGTTTAAGTATGACAAATAGAAGTTTAGCTGCTGAAGAATGGAATTTGCCGCCAGATAGTTCTGAGATGATAGCTAAGATGCCAATGCTATGTCAATGCTATGGGGGGTAGATGAAAATTCGACAGCGGTGAAGGTGGTTCTCCGAATGAGATGTTGTATTGTACTATTCATTGGATTGGTTTTCTTGGAAAATCAAAACCGGACACGGGTTTTCCCATATGAAATATGGATAAATATGGGGTTTTCCTGTAAATCTTTCCAACCAATCCAATGAACTCTATATTTTTTCAATGAAGATTTATTTCGCGCCTCTCACAGACTTTCTGGCTTGGGATGTGGGGGAAATCCGATGGATCCCACTGTGGGTTTGAATCACTTGAGCAGTGGCTAAAATTTCTACCGCAGGGTTGATGATTAGTTGGGGGATCAAAAACTACCGATTTTACATCTTGGGCTCTTGGGGATTATTTCGTAACTCTAGTAATCCAAGAACGGGGAATCCCTTTCTTAACCGGGATTTAACCAGGAATGGACACATTTGTTTCGCAATGCTCACTTGGAAGTTCCAGTGAAATCACTGGATATATTTCACCATAGTTTTCGGTGACAAGTCCCAACTTCTGAGGCGAATTCCCATTGGTGCCATAAAAGTCAACTCTGGCCTGCACCCAGTCCGAAAAAAACAGCCTACAAGTACTACAAGTACTACAAATACCACAACTTCATCGGCAAAAAAACAGTTTTAGTTAGATTTCAATTGTAGCCAATTGAAATCCTTACTTAAGTGAGGATTTTTTTTCCTGGGAAGAAAATATTTGACTTTCCACTTTAAAGAGAGTACAGCTATTGTTTAGGGGGGGAGGGGGGGGACAGGAACCAACATTATGGCTTCACATGCGAAACCTTTGTGGACGACCAACCACCTGAAAGCAGTCTCGAAGTCTCGATCAAAGAGATCAATCGATAGTACAAGTCGACCATGGGGAGATTGTATCAAATATATTCAAACATTATGTATAGATGATATATATAAAACCATCTATATGAATAGAAAGGCAATAGAAGGCATATTGTATATATAGATGTTCTATAATTTTTGCTGTTCTTTATTGTTCAAACATTAATATTAATATGGAGGTCTCCTAAAGTGGGGGATCCCCGAAATGGATGGGATGGTTTATGATGGAAAATCGGAAAATATAATGGATGATTTCGGGCTACCCCCATTTTGGGAAACCTCCATATAATATCAGTGAAAGATTATATAACGTTTGATACAATCTCCACATGTATAATGTTTGATAGAAACATTTGTGTATAATGTTTAATGTAGATTGTATCAATAAAACATTATACACACACAAACACATACACACACACACACATCTGCAGGAGGCATATATATATATAACCGTCTATACTGTCGGGAAAATGGTTAAAACACACATATAAAACTTAAATATACAATGAGAATACTTCTGATATAGATAGTTATATAAGTTATATATATATATATGTATTATAATATTCCATGAGATCCCCATGAATGGGATGAATCTGGCGGGTCAGCTGTCAAGGTGCAAGTCTTGGTTTCGGCGCGAGCCGATGTCAATGCTGTTGACAAAGGCGGCAATTTTTTAACAAAGCAAGGACTTTGTTGATCTTTCAAAAAATGGGAATACAATGGGGATACCCTCTGGTAATGACTAACAGTTTGCGAACTGCAGTCGAAATATTTGATTTTCCCATTAATAACATGGTGATGTCCCATAGTTATGTGGCTGTTTACCAGAGGGTATTTTGTTTCCTGTAAACCGATGTTGTTGGAAAAGTTTGGTTGATACCCACTGGGCAATTTAAGAACTTGCTGAAGCCAAAATGCGGATAGCATGGGATATGATAAAAAAACATGTAGCCATCTACAAGATCAATAGATGTATTCACCTTCCGGTAAGTTGTTTTTGTGAACAAGAAACCATGAACCATTTATATAGTTCCATGATCTACTTTCTTTCAAGAACGGTGATGTTCCATACCTATGTTAAATATTGTTAAATTACCAAAGGGTAGACATCACTGAATCACACTTTCCAAGCACAGAATGGACTGCCACGTAAGATGTTTGGCTACGTGTATTTGTTATTTAGGGGGCTTCTTTGTGAGTCACACCCAAGTAGCTCTGCAGGAATTCCTGTCTGCATTCCCTATAGATCATTGCTACTCAAAAGCTGCTCAGCAGCGGCTAGCAACTACATTTCCACCCCAGTTGCCAATGGAATAGCCCCAACATTGGGACTTAAAAACATGTTTACTACTGCCAGTACGGACGATTCTCAGTTCATTGTCCAGGTAGCAGGTAGCATCCAGCTAATAAAAGAGGTCCAAAATCATTCAAAATGCATCAAGCGTTGCTGTTCGTTGCAGGTAATCAAACACCTCTCCAGATTGCTACAGCCAAGTGCCATCATCAGGTGGAGGGGCCGGCACGTGGTTTTTCTCGTTTTACTACTGTAAATAGGGTACCATTGGTTGGGTAATTTCACTCTGTTAATCATTTTCCCAATGAATGGCCGTAAATTGGGGGTTAAAGTCTCCCATACTTTTGGGCTACGGCTAAGCCAAGTTTTGAACTTGATGCCTATGGGACACAAGGAATGATACCGTGACCTCGGTTCTCGTTCAATCAAAGGGTATTGTTGTACCATGTTGTACCTGTCTCCGGGGAATCATGTCTTGCACTACCAAAAATTTTGCCGAGACATGTTCGGTCTTTAACACCATTGATGGTCTTGAAATCTTGATCGCCAACTTTTTGTTGGTTGAAAACAGTGTCTTGTCGATGAAAGCTCCCAGTTGTGGTGAACGGCAACATGTCCCAGCTTCAATGCAGGTATTGGCTCTATTCTCATCTGGTTGGTGGTTTCAAACATTTGGATTATTTTCGATAATATTGTATGGGATGTCATCCTTCCCATTGACGAACTCCATCATTTTTCAAGATGGTGAAATTGCACCACCAACCAGTTATATATATATAGGTATCTATGTTACATATCCAGGTTAAGCTATCAACATATATCAACATGTATGTTACTGTAGATACTAGGTCAATCGACTGGATGTTTTGCCATGTTTTGCCCCTGATTTTCATCGTCCTGGAGCTCCATCCCCCATCAAAATCCCATTTTCAAAGGACGATTTTGTTACAGTATGCCCGGCCTGGTAATGACTAACAGTTTGCGAACTGGAAGCCATGGCCCAGTCGAAATGTCGGTGATTTTCCTATTTTCATAGCATGGTGGATCTTTCCATAGTTATGTGACAGTTTACTATGGAAAACACCATTCTTAAAGGGAAAGCCAACTATTTTTCATAGACATATTTCAATGGGAAAGTCCCTATTGGGAGGGTACCTTTTCCATTTTCAGACACAGCCTGCTTGGACCAACTTGGACCTCCTCAGGTGGTCAACTTCCTCCAAGCTGAAGCTGAACCGTTGGCGAAGCGGCGTCGCCTTTGTGGGTCGAGCGAGACATAGCGAGGCGTAGCGGCGTAGCCAGCGACGCGCCAGTAGCGGAGTAGCGTAGAGGGCCCCGAAACGACAGACGTGGGGGTTGGTTATCTGTTGGGATTATGGCGTACGTAACTGTAGTATTCATGGGGGTTATATGAGTTATATATATAGTTATATGAGTTTATCAACCAACTTGGAATTCGAAGGAACCACATCGTATGTGGTTTTTTATTGAAGTCATTGTCGACCAGAAATACTGTACAGTTTGTTTGGTGCCCATGAGGCCCGTGTGCTTGACTTGCAAAGATCAAGTTGAAGCAGGGGCTTGGTCTGGGTCAAACGTTCAACTGATTTTGTTGCCCAGATTGGCAAGTGATTTTGTTGCCATGAATCCGTGATTTCTTGGTGGGTACAGTGAAATCATGCAACCCTACCAGCAGTTTGGATCACGTTGTTGATCAGATCAAACAATCTACTTGTTTCACATGGAAGGTGTGAAATTTCAATATACCAAACTGAGATCAAGGGGATACCAAACTAACATCAGCCTTGAACAGTATGAACATCTAGAAGGTTAGAACCAAACGGAACTATGCTCCGAGCTCGAGTTTAGACTAGTGACTAGAGAAGCCTCAATCGGTTTAGGAAGGTTCTCTCACTTCCATTCAACGGTCGCTGAAACTGGATCAAAATACATAGATCATCATAGATCCCATTGGTTGTTTCAACCTGCGTCTCATATTCAGATTGTCCTCCATGTTTGGTGATCTCCTAATTTTCTTGCTGACCTCCTGGTTGCCAGTTTGACCCATACTGACATCATTGAACTGCCCAGCTCGTTGGGCGTTTCGCAACTTCCAAATCTTCCCGACCCGCAAATGTTGACAGGTGGTATCAGGAAACATAATAAACATATGGAAACTGAACTGCGTAGTGCCAGAACTGGTTTAGCGATGTGGCTGCTAAGTCCATGGTTTCCTGTAGATCTTCAACTAACCCATGGGCAGTAGAAAAAAACACCATTTCTCGATCCGGAAACTTGAAGCATTTGTATCCCAATGGAACATCTACTGTGCGATCCACATTTACAATCGCAATCAATTCTAAAAAAATACGGTTGATCAGATTCTGGTTGGTGGTTTGGAACATTTTTTATTTTTCCAGATATTGGGAATGATCATCCCACCTGACTTTCATATTTATCAGAAGGGGTAGGTATACCACCAACCAGGATTTGATCGTGCGTTTTTTTTTTGCGGCACACCTGGAAGCATCAGCGGGTTCGCATGCATCTTACGCTGATCCGGACCATTGTCTGGGTTTGAATTCGGACCCTGCCGCGCAGCAAGATGCTGCCGGAGAAAACTTGGCAGAATTCTCTGGTCGAGAAAATCGACGAAGACCATCGAAAAAAGAACGCAGAAAAAAACATGTTCGGAGACATCCATGGGAATTTGTAGACCTTCATTTCCATACTGTAATCTTCCCATATTCCTAGATTTAGATTCTAAGCTTAGTTGTGCTATTGGAGACCGGACCAGGTGAGATCCTATGGGCTGGAAATTGGCAGCTGGAGTTTTGGAGGGAATCCCCTTGTAAATTGGAGGTTTTAAGGGGAAAATCATCGATACTCGTACATGGTGGATCTTCCATTGTCATCTTGGATTACCGGTAATCAAGATGATGAGTGAGAAAAAATGCGGATCCAATCCAACTGGTATAGCTGAGATGATGTGGTATCAACTGAGATGATGTATGAATCATTGAGAGATCCTTTTAAGTGGAAATACAGTAATATTATTATTGTGCAAAATCCTTTATATACGTACCCCAGACATTCTGAGTGATTAATTGCGGTTCTCCTCCCTGGTGGCGACGGGTTTGGTCGGAACTTAGGACATGCTCTAGGAAACTGGACGAAAGTTCTTGCTGTTGTGGTTTGTTATGTGGTAGAGGTCGCCATTTAAATTCGAAGATTCCAGTTGCCACATGGCTCGTGGCGCCTGCAACCAACTAGTTGGATGTACGGACCTACTGAGTGGTTCACCCCAATCAGTGGGTAGCCCGGGGTTTTCCAGTGCATTAACCCCACTTCTTCCACTTGAAACAGGGATATGACTCGATATGACCCACACTATTTGGGGAACTCGATTTTATTTTATCTTAAAACCAAGCTAGTAATCTCACTTGGTAGATTCTCCAGATGAACCTGGATTTACCAAAGATATTGAGACGTTGATTTTTTGCATGGTTGGGATGACCATAGTATTGGGATATACCATGATATACCATGATATACCGTAATATACCTGGGCAAACCCAAATAACATAATATCATTGGTTACCCTCTTATAACTTAACATAGCTATTGAAGATGGCCCATAGAAATAGTTGATGTTCCCATAAAAAAAAATGGTGGATCTTTCCATAGTTTTTGGTCAACGTTTACCAGGCCGGGTATCGATGATCTACCCATCAAAAATCCCCAGGTCTTCGTCAAATCCCTCGATGACGCGAGGGTCACATCCACCATTTCTCGAGGCTTTTTCCATCTTTTTCCGTTTTTAGGAGATTTCCCGACCTGCGACCTTTGAGAAAAAGGGAGGCTAGATCCATGAAAATATGCCATTCCCATGAAAATATTCCACTTATATTCTCAAGATATGGGGGGTTTCCATGGCCATGGGGATACCCAATAGCTGGATGGTTTATAACGGAAAATCCCTGGCTAAGATGGATGATTTGGGGGTACCCCATTTATGGAACCCCCCATATTAATCCCGAATATCTTCTCAAGATATATCCCTACTATAACTAACAGATATATCATATCCTTAATATAACTTTCATTTTCTATTGCTTAAATCTCATAAAACCATGGCTGCTTCTTCGCCGCAGGCGAAGCTCCTCGACCTCCAGGATCGTTGGTGGTCAATACCATGCCTTGCAGCGAGTTGATGGTAGGCGCGCAGTGGGTACCAAGCGCTTTTGATTTGAAAGATCTGGGTATGGATCAATACCTATTATATAATACCATTTTTAGTGGGATGAACATCCATTTACCAGCTATTTTGATGTTCACCAGGGGTACAAGGTTTTGACACACTGCCATATTATAACGACCTCACTGCGACCTCACTATAATCATGGTTAATTGGTACGGTGAATCATCCCCAAGATAGCCTTATTTCAAGCTAGTGAATTATCATAATTTACCCAGAAAGATGCGCAAGGTATTGAAAATGATTGAAAGGTGAACAGAGTTATGGCCCGAAATGCTAGCTATACTAAATTTATAACCCCATTTATGGAATGATAAGCCCATTTGTAGCCCCGTTTTTGACTGGTAAAGAGCTTTCACTGCAAGGTGTTGACATATATGTTCCATATGACGTCATGATGTGATATGATGTGGTAAGGGGTCTTATGATATAAAACAATACATATTCATACATATAATTTTATATGAAATGATACATATAAGATGTATGTGCATCATTGTATATATAGATAGGAGATATACAGAGAGGTAGAGAGAGAGAGATATAGATAGATAGATAGATAGATAGATAGATACAGTCACCGACAGAATTATGGAAAAAAAACGTTTCAATTTACAGGCGCCGCCTGTCTATGATAGAAAAGTTACGAACCTTTTTTTTTTTTCCATAATTAATGTTTCCATAATTATTTTTTTTCCATAATTCATTCTGTCGGTGACTGTATGTCGATTCGCAATTTGAATGCATTTTAAGGGGGAATATTGAATTATAGAAAATTTGTGTCTAAAGATCTGGTATATGCCCCTAAGTCTTCCATTGATATACATAATATCATGTGATGTTCGCAATTTGAATGCATTTTAAGGGGGAATATTGAATTATAGAAAATATGTGTCTAAAGATCTGGTATATGCCCCTAAAGCCAGAATTATGGAAGAAATAATTATGGAAAAACCGGTCAATCTGCCCTAGCCCCCTGATTTCACAGGAAAAATCAATTATGGAAATAATGGCCACCTCCAAGAATTATGGAAAAAAAAAAGGTTCGGATCACTTCCGGGATATTTTGAACCCTTATGGGGAAAAATGCAATTATGGAAAAATCGGACGCAGGCGCCGCCTGTCTAAGTTGAACGTTTTTTTTTTTCCATAATTCTGTCGGTCAGCATAGATAGATAGATAGATAGACAGACAGACAGACAGACAGACAGAGAGAGAGAGAGAGAGATAGATAGATAGATAGATAGACAGACAGAGAGATAGATAGATAGATAGATAGATTGATTGATAGATAGATAGATAGACAGACAGACAGACAGATAGATAGATAGATAGATAGATGAAAAGACACCATAGATGGAGCAGTTTATTACATAGCTCACTCTTTTTCACGCTCAATCTCTGGATGAGGTGACCAGTGAAGTGTTGGTCAACGGGTTTGCTTGCATTTTTTGGTCGCAATTTCAATGGAGACAGAGTCATAGATGGAAGATACACCACTTCTTAACCTGGGTTATGGACATCCAAATTAGAATATAGTAGGTAACCAGTTATAACCCACTAATTATATTAACCAGTTAATATAGTGGGTTTATAACCAGTTCTTTACCTTATTTTCCAATTTCCCGAAGTAGAATATCCCAATGAAGCTTGATAGGTTCATTGTGTGACCCTTTAGCATCGAACAAGTCTCCCAGATGTTGGAAAATGTTAAAAAAAAGGGTGCCTGCGCTGAAGCTGGAAAGCAAACAAACATCCGGCAATCTTTACACGATGGTGCCCCCTACGAAAAAAAATGGTTTATAACCTTCATCAAGTATAGTTACATCTACCATAAACCATAGTTAAACCAGTTATAAGTTGACTTAGCTATTTTTGGGGCCCCATCCTGCATTTTTTTCCAGTAGAACATGATGTTTGTTGCTTCAGGGGGAAGTCTCTAAAACAAAATGACGACCCAAGTGTCAGAGATGGGACATCACTGGGTACTCGATTTCTTGACCATTCGCTTGCGCTTCAACGTGGATTGGTTTGGTCTTCTCCCTTGCTGATAAATCCACATGAAATCCTTGACGCAATCAGAACCAGGTCGTTTGGCTCACGCACAGATTTTCAACCACTCATTTGGCTGGAGAGAAATAGAGGGCTGTCCAAAAGGACCAGGCGTTTCCAACTTTTATCCGATTTCAGGCTTCCTGAACCCTTTTTAAGTAATTGATTTTCCATGATTTGCCATGATTTGCCATTCTTAGGTGCAAAACTTAGGCTTTCTCCTCTATCTCCTCTTGACCTATTAGCCCCCCTAACAAATTCATCGGATGTTGCCTTAGGCATGGACGGGCGTCCTATGGTCTCCCTGGGTGGTGGGGCATCCCAGGTCCTGGTGCTTGGGAAGCCCTCAATCCTGGAATGCTTCGTCATTACTATCCTCATTACAAAGATATAGGTGATCAATGGATATGAGGATAGTAATATTCTAGCTGATATTTCATGAGGATACTATCCTAGATTATCCTAGTAATATTTAATATCCTCAGATCATAGGTTATATCATAGCTGATATCTGGTTGGTGGTTTCAAACATGAATGGATTATTTTTCCGTAATGTATATTAGGGATGGGATAATGGGATATCATCCTTCCCATTGACTCATATTTTTCAAGATGGTTATTGCACCACCAACCAGTTATATATAGGTATCTATGTTACATATCCAGGTTAAGCTATATCAACATATATGGATAATGTTAGATACTAGGTCAATCGACTGGATGGGTAGAAACTAATCCTTTACTGTAGTCTTTTGGTATCAATGGGCCGCGTGGTATCAATCGGACTATCTACGTTCACCAGCTAATACCACTTTAGGGGTATACACCGTTTTCAGGCACAGCCACGTTCTAGCTGGGAACCAGATCATCAAAACATTTTTTATTGTATTTGTATACGTATGTGTACACATTTACACAAGCGAGTATATCCCAATACATAGAACTGCATGGGTTCTGCCCATGGTTATGTGAATAGCTGTTGGCTGTTTAATTCACTCTCATGAGCCTGTGGTCCAATTCATAGTGCAATGACGTTGCTCCTTTGCAATCCAACTTCTGTGCTTGAATATGGCACGCCAACCCAGTACTACCTAGAAATACCATCATTTATTTGGGGGTTTCCTAAAATAGGGGTACCCCCAAATCATCAATTTTAAGAGGCTTTTCGATTATAAACCATTCATTTTGGGGTAGCCCTTTTTAGGAAACCCCCATTCCAAAATGATTCTTCCTCAAGGATTGGGAGGTGGGAAGTGACCATGGGGGTCCTTTCGTAGGAGGTTCCTGATTTCATGCAATAAGTATACAGGGGTCTTTAACTTCCATAAACGTCCATCATCTGTTTGTGTGGTTACAGTAATCATAACTATCATCACTTGAAACTGTATGTAAATCATGACTACGAAATAAATAACCCTCCTATCATTGGGAATTCCTCGAAATATCACCGACTCCAACCATCTCTGTCCATTCAACATCAAAGCTGCAGCGATCGCACCAAGCTGCAACATCTTAAAATTTCACCATGTCCTCGGAAAACTCATCCCCACTACGGTCCTACAATGTCCTACAGCTTCCCCGGCCCAGTCGACTTCACGGAACAGCCCCCAGGTTCAGTGATGCTGTTGGGCCTTCCCAGCAACTTCACCACGCCCATGCAGAGCCTTCCCACCCGGTGCGCGGAGGACTTGTTGATGGGGAGATGATGGGCCAACCATCACCTGGAGGATAGTGTAGTGTTTACCCACTAAAAGCCAAGTACTTCACTGGTTGGTGGTTTGGAACATGTTTTTTCCATAATATATGGGATGTCATCCTTCCCATTGACTCATATTTTTCAAGATGGTTATTGCACCACCAACCAGTTATATATATATAGGTATCTATGTTACATATCCAGGTTAAGCTATATCAACATATATCAACATATATGGATGTATGTTAGATACTAGGTTCATGTTGTCATGCAGACACTACATAATGATTGGAAACCATTGGATCTATGCTTAGGGGTCAGCTATTGGTAAGCACATTTTTTATGGGACAATATACAGAGCCCAGTTGCTGTCCAAAATCACTGGGTAGTCTAGCAAATGTTGGCAACCTGAATCTCATAGCACTGCAGAAATGCTCTAATGTGTGTAGAAGAGTACAATCCTACTATATAGACTAGTGGCAATTTAGTAGGGTTATGGCAGGATTGTACTTTTCTATATACTAGATTATATTATTATTATCATATTATCATATATATATTCTTTTATCCTTCTTGTGGTTATAATGTGATGTGATGGGCGATGCTTTGATCGTGCATCCTGCCACAGCATGTTTTTGCGCTAAGAAGAACCATTGTGGCTTTGATCAGGGCTTGGTGAATGTCCTGTCTGATTTTAAGAACATCCCTCGAAAATTCATTCTTTCCAGTTCCTATATGTTCCTATGGGAGATTATCACCAATCATTGGGTGATGTTTCTTTAGGGCTGACCCTTGATGATTAGATTGTTTGAAACATACCCTCTGGTAAACTAACATGACTATGGAAAATCACCATGTTTAATGGGAAAATCCACTATAAATGGCAATTTCCAATAGCAAACTGTTTGTTTACCAGAGGGTAAAGGTTGACCACCACCAGCAGCAAGTTTTCTGTTGCGACGGAGAATCGACAGACGTTCACAACACTGCTGCCATGGCCCTGAAATCAGCGGCAGGTATAGCGGCCAAGATCGATCCATTGATGAGCTCTTGCTGCCTGGATACGAGAAGGATCAGGCCGTCCCAAAGGGGGCACGCCATGCCTGGGAAAAATGCTGTTTTTCGTGGAGGGAAGTTGTGGTGCGCTTTTGTAGAATTTCCGTATGGGATGAACAGCCATAACTGACATAACCCATAACTGACCACAAGGTGAGGCCCCCAGCTTTCCTCGTTGGCTTATCATTCCTTGAATATCCTGAAAAACTATAGTTATATCATGTTATATCGCATAAACCTGAGCTAACCAAGGCAATTGTGCGTCAACAAAACGTTATCTATTTGCAAGGGGGTTTCACCGGCCGCAGCTATGTTGATATTCATGGGTTTGTTTAAGGTGATTTGGCTTATTTTCCCAATGGAAAATCCACCATGACTGGGGAATCTATAATGAATATTTTTAGAAGGTGGGAAATCAAATCCAAGAATGAGCCATCACCAATAGAGGTGCACTTTATCTGGCTGGTGGTTTGGAACATGAATGGATTATTTTTCCATACCTTGGGAATGTCATCATCCCAACTGACTTTCACTCCATCATTTTTCAGAGGGGTAGGTACTGGTATACCACCAACCAGACAACTATTTGGGATGATTTAAAATGATCCCAGTCATGGTTGGTGAACTGGATGGTTTATAAGGTATAACATGTTCATCGGGAGTACCACAACATAAAATATGAATTATGTTGGCATACTATGTTGATAATCCCAATTATAAATGTTGGTAAAATTTGATATGAATTATAAATATGCATCCTATTACCAATTGTGATTATAGTCTATTTTGGAACATGCAATACCTGATAGTTGTATATTTACAGATTGTTGAGAATGTCATCACACTATGACATTAACGTATTCAAGATGAACAAAATACTGCGTATTTACTAGACTTTCCCCCAGTATTAAAACCAATTGAGCCATGAAACATCATAGATGTCCTTTTCCCATTGGTTGGTTGATGAAAATAGAGGGCTTTGAACGTTTACCCCTTTAACAACAGGTAAATGATTTATTCATGGTATACCAGCTCCCGGCCCAAACCTATTTTTACCAAAAGATCAAAAGGACATTGTTGTGAAAAAGTATCTGATGAAGATATTAAACATAAAGATATTTACTACTAGACTTTTCCCCATTAAAACCCATTGAGCCATGAAAAAGACCTCTTCTGATTGATCATTTTTTTGTTGGGAATCCCCAAGCATGCGGAGTTCCATGTACCAAACAGAACCACGATGGGATGGCGCTATTCTTTATGGCCCAGTTGCGATTCTGGGGATCCTCCAAGTAGAGATCAGAGATCATCGATGGATTTTCCGAATTTTCCCAGCAAACATCCATGGCACGGCGGAATTGACGATGGTTTTTTGGGATGTTAAGGGATGTTAATTGGCTAAGACTCCAATTTCCCGCATTTTTCTGTGGGATTTTCTGTGATGTTGACATAAGAAAGTGACTTCGCTTCAAGGGACGAGGTGAGGCTAAAAACGCGCGGAGCCAGATGCAGATGACCCAGGAGCTTCAGAGCCGTGGCCGCACCTGCTGGATGGTTACAGCTCCTCAGTTTGCTGAAGAGGCCACATCTTCAAAGAAGCGGAAGGAGCGCAAGGGCGTGAAAGATGAGGCTATGCTGGTCCAGATGAGGAGACGGCTGCTTGGATCCAACGAAAACTCTGAGAAATCCCATGGTTTTAGCAGCATTCTAGCACTTACCCTCTGGTAAACTAACATAGCTATGGAAAATTATGTTTTTAATGGGTAAATCAACTACAAATGGCAATTTTGAATAGATATGTTAAATTACCAGAGGGTCTAAGTAGGAGAACCCCTAAACTCGTGGAAAACATTTACCATCTGGTTATTTAACATAGCCATGGACAATCACCAGTTTTAATAGGTAAACCCAGATAAACCATCTATAAGTGGGCCATTTTCCATGGCTATGTTAAATAACCAGAGGGAAAACATTTTGAGCATCTCCAGCCACGCTGAGCCATGCGGCCAGGTCTTCCCTACGTTGTCCAGATACGTGCGGAACGCCTCTTGCCGAAAATAGCTGTGACGACTGTGACGACTGCACTTCTGTGCGGGTCAGAAATTGAAGGTGTTACAATAGGTACAATGTGGGGCCCCCGTTCGATAGCTAAGTTGACGCAAATAACTACAATTTCACTAGGGTTTATGGTACGTATGACGAACTAGTTACGTGGGGTTATAAATCAACTTACAACGTTTGGGGGCCCCACATTGTAGACCTTTTGGTAACGTAGTACTTTGGAGTTCCAGTCATGGTGGTAGGTGAAAAAATGTAGGAAGGGATTAAACTGCATGCAAATGGAGGGGAACCCAATTATATATTATCCAATATTATCCATACACAATGATTCTAGTATCCAAATATGTCAAGACTACATAACATATTCTATTTCATATCTATCTTAAGACTTCCCAATTATTCATATTATCCAGTTGCATCGGCGCGTTTTGTCCATATGTTTTTTGCTTCTGAGTTGGGGTCAAAGCCTGTGAGACCATTCTTGCATCAGAATGGAGATGAACGTGACATTTACAAAGAACTATTTGGATGTCAGGGGTTGGTAATGGTTGGTACAGTGTTGTTTTCCTTTTTTTAATGAACATCACTTGAACAAATATCTGATCAAGATATTAAACATAAAGAGATTAAGTTGTCCTGTCTACTGGTCGGTTAAGAACGGATTTTCCCATAGTTCATTGTGATAATGGTATAACTCTCCCATTTTGGTATAAACATAACTTATCAAGATATTTTAATTTTAGGAAACTCCCATTTTGGTATCATGTATTTTTAAATATGATAACGGTTAGTTAACAAAGTAGTTGTTGGATGTTGTTGGTATAACTCCCGAAGCCATCATCGACCGGTTTTGATCACTTCGACTCATATGACCCGGAATGAAACGAGGAGTTCTTTCGGGAGGGAATGGGGGGTTTTGCGATGGTTGGACGGGAGCTTGAAACAGCGCTCGGAGCAACTTCTGTTTGACAAGATAGATCTTTCCTGAATTGCATGGAATCAAAAGCCTAAGATTCAAAAAACCAAACCCAAATTCATTGGTGGTTTGGAACATTTGGATGATTTTTCCATATTAATTGGGAATTTCATTATCCCAATTGACGAACTCACTCCATCATTTTTCAGAGGGGTAGGTGAAAAACCACCAAGCAGTAATAATTTGGTTAATAAGTGGTCAATAACCATAGCTAGTTCACTTAATAAGTGGTTATAAGTTATATTAATAACTATGGTTATAAACCATGGTGGCGAAAAACCACCAACCAGTAATCCACTGGTGGTTTTTCCTGCCCGGCCAGAGCCTGGCGCGACCAAATCCACTGGTTGTTCATCATGTTCCCCACGTGAACTTGCCATGTTGAACGGTACCATCTGGTTATGACTAACAGTTTGCCATGGAAAATGGCCCATTTTTAATAGGTAAACGGTAAACCATCTATTTCTATGGGCCATCTATACCATGGCTATGTTAGTCATAACCAGAGGGTACATGTTGTACAGTTCTATTCCATTTATGGACTTTTCGAAGTCAGGTGTGATTTTGCACCAACTGTACTCACCTTCAGTGTAGACCTTTTTGTGGAAACAGAAGGCAAACGGTCAACAGAAAGTGCGAGTCTGCGAGGTTGAAATCTCTCCACTCTTCATGCTGGAGCGGGATGTTCTCAGGTGCGTTGGTGTGTTTGGAGACTTTGGTTTTCATCATGAAAGTTTCCATAATTTTATGGGTACCCCCAAATGGATGGTTTATAATGGAAAAGCCTATTAAAATGGATGATTTGGGGGTATCCCCATTTCAGGAAACCTCCATATGTGCGGAATGTGTGGGTTGCTGTCTTTAAGGTTTGGCGCACAAGCAAAGGTTATTTAACGGTTATTTGTTGTTTGAGATCACTTGGGAAGATTGATTGAGTGACACTCACGTTGGTTAAGTGGATCACGGCAACCACATGGCCTATCAGTATGCCGCAAATTCCAATGAAACCGAACTTCGTACACTCCTGGAATCTCCTGGAAACGGGAGCATCATGTTGACTAGGCTACTGTATCAAATTGCCAGAACTTTCTCCTTCCGCCAACTTGTTTGACCCTGTAATTCTGGAGTGGCTTAAAACCAGACAGGTCGGTAGCAACCAATAATGGTGCCGAACTGCGCGATTTTGCCACCGCAACCATGGTGCAGATAGTGCTTATTTTGTGGCAAACATATGCAAAAAACATAGCAGTTGGGAATGATCACCATCCATTCATGGTAAAAAACAAAATTGGACCTGGTTTATGGGTCCCATGATTCGCACGTGTCTGAAAACGGAATCAAAAATTCCCTGAAAAATGGCCATGGATAATAAAGAAAATCTGAGAAAATGATGATTTTCCCATTCAGAGGTACCCTATTTCATCCTATTTCTATATTGTACAAGGTGGTTCCCCATAGATAGCTAAGTTGGTTTATAAGTCCGATAACTTGGGTTTATGGGGGTTCTATCTCTAGTTAATGGGGATTATAAGCCAACAAACATTACTGGGGGGTACCACCTTGTGGGATTGCCCACTTTTTTGCCACGGATTCTCGGCCAGACGTGTGGTGGCTGGTATCAATCCTATGCAGGTTTCGGATGGGACATGGTGTCAATGGCTCTTTCAGGAACCGATAAACATTGGAGCTACCTACCATATATAAGGCCTATATAAGGCCTATTTTTTAGGCCTTAGTTTCAGGGAATATCCCCACAAAATATGGGCAAACATATGGTACTAACGTACCTCCATTTTAGGATCCTGAAGAGCTCCCATTGATGGTGAGACTTCTTGGGCCCACAATGAGGTGACTGGAGTGACTTTACAAGGAAAAACCACTGGAAAGCCGCAGAGACTACAGGTTTTCATCCAGCAATTTCTGACTCATTTGATTTGATTCATTGTTAGCTATAGATGCTTCAAACAGATTCTGCAGTATATACCATTTCCGGAATCCATCGTACACATTGTCTTGTTATTGTTTGCAGAAATCCAGCCAATTTCTGGGTAATTACACAATGCTCAGCCAGATGCTAAATGAAAGTTGAGCTTTTTTTAATGATTGCAGAACGAAATTGTTGAAGGGACGTATTTGCAGGATACCCTTCGGACTTGGCCGACATGGTGTTTCCATTGAACGATTTTCCCTTATCCATTGAAAAAATGACCCCTTCAACAGAATCTTTACCCTCGGCCTGACAAGTTGATGCTTTTTCTGTCACAGTTTACTGTTCGTCTTTCATATCCAACTTTGTTTCCACACGGCGGTGCCCGAGAAATGTACCAAAAGCAGTGTGTTCAAAAGTTGGAGATGGCCGGCCGTGCGAAGTCACCCGGACGCTGAATGATCTACCCTCTGGTTATTTAACATAGGCTATGGTATAGATGGCCCATTTATAGATGGTTTACCTATTAAAAATGGTGATTTTCCATGGCTATGTTAAATAACCGGATAAATGAAATTTCAGATGATTCCCTATCCCATGTCCTGTGCTTTTGTTAGAACGATACTCCAGGATGACATGGGATAGGGAATCATCCTCCAGTGGCAATCGAAGAAAATATGGATATTTAGAGGTCACTGGCCAGTACAGGTGAGGATGGACTATTGGGCAGTTTACTGCAGAAGAACTCATTAATAATGGGAATATAACGGTGATATAATGGTGATAGAGTGGTTCTAATTCATCTGGGTTAATTATAGAGACCTCACCTCGTGACTTCACTGGAATAATGGTTCGATTGCGGGAAATTATCCCAATATCGCCTTCTTAAAAGCTGTGTGAATTATCATTTGCCCAGATTCATCTTCCGTGGTTCTTGCGGATGTTTTGAGAGTTGCAATAAGTGATACCCAGCCACATAATATGGGAAATCACCATGCTATTAATGGGTAAATCAACTATAAATGGCCATGTTCAATAGCTATGTTTGTTTACCAGAGGGTAAGCAGGATGTGTCCAAATCTTGGTCAATGGTCAGTCCACTAGTTTGATGTGCCATAAACGACCATGGCTAGCAGTTCTCCTCCGAGAATCAGCGATAAATGGCAGTTGAAATCCGATAAATGGAAGTTTCAAGGTTTTCCTTTTCTATACTGGTTGGTGGTTTCAAACATGTTTTTATTTTCCATAATATATCTGATAATCCTTCCCATTGACTAATATTTTTAAAGATGGTTAAAACCACCAACCAGTATATATTTGATTACAGGAGGGTAAAAACATGTATAAATATTTTTTCAAAATGTCAGGTATACATGATTTGCCTATAATCCCTTCCCCCATTCATATTCAACACCCCACGGAAACCATCGTTTAGTCAGGGGATCAAATTTGCATATCTGGGACCATTTCGGGGGTTCTTAAAATCAGGGATTTATTAAGTCAGCATGGATTTCAATACTGATCTGGTCATTCATGACTTGGATGACTTGGGGGTATCCCCATGACTTAGGAAAAGTATGGAAAAGTTTATTTACCCTCCGGTTATTTAACATAGCGATGGAAAATGGCTCATTTACAGATGATTGTCCCAGCTAGAAACCTCCATTTATTTTTTGGATTTTCCATAGCTATGTTAAATAACCACATTGTAGGCGTGTTTAATATTGGGGGGATTGCCTATATTCCACCCCTGCGTTCGCCACATCGCCGCCGCAGGCATGGGTTGGAGGAGTGGAAGAATACAGGGAATACAAAGTCGTACCCCCGCCCCCTAGCTAAGTTGCTGCAAATCAATGAGATAACTAAGCTGTACTGTCACAAAATAACTTTACTTATATTTCATTTTGGATTTTATACACCAACTTATACTCATATTTACTGATACTACTTGAAGCTAAGCTGGGTATAGCTGTTTATGGTCATAACTATCGTTGCGATTTAAGCAACAAACATCCCTAGGGGGAGGGGCACCAGCTTGTAGCTCTCCGGAGGTGAGGGACACTGCAGAGCTGGGTGCTGGCTAAGCTGTAGATCGAAGACCACCATGGTGTTCAATGTTTCAGGGGATATACCGATATACCCTCTGGTTATGTCAACAGTTTGCTATTGAAAATGGCCATTGAAATAGGTGATTTTCCATAGTTATGTGGCTGTTTACCAGAGGGTACCCCCCAAATTTTGATAGTTCGGTTGACGCACACAATTTGGTTAAGGGGTGACCCATGGCTATTTCAGGAACCTAAATTGGCACTGTACCATAGAAAACCAAAAATCTTGGGGTAATATCTCCGGAAATTTCGCCCTGGTTCTTGTTGCATGGACATTGAATTGAAGTATGGTCCCAAACACGTGGCAAATTCCCCATTTTCCCTACGAAGTGAAGTTGATGCACCGTTCACGGTGAACTGTGGGATGGGGATATCATGATATGATATGGATCTGTGGAGGGGTGCGAAATCCGAATCACCAGTTGATAGATGGTAAACATCCCATATTCTTTCATTATTTTCTATTGATAGGCTTTCTACCATCCCAGCTGGAGGATTTCGCAAGCATCAGTACCCTCTGGTAAACTAACCTAGCTATTGAAAATGGCAATTTATAGTGGATTTACCCAGCTATAAATGTTGATTTTCCATAGTTACGTTAGTTTACCAGAGGGTAGTTCATGAGTTTATCAACAAACATCACGTTTTCTTGGGCCCCACCTTTTTTTTGGTTTCTGTGGGGATTGATTCCAGGGGACCCAACTGTTGGTTTTGGTTAGGGCGCGTTTCGGAGCTCAGTTAGGATCCAAAAAATTCCCTGAGCCAGTTGGAGCTAAGCTTCCGTTGCAGTTGAACACGTAACAGTTCTAAATTTATACATGATACGGGGTAAATTTCATCACGACCTCACTGTTCTCCCGAACCCTGGAATCATGGTTTATGTCAGGGAAATCATCCCCATTCATGGCCCAACTATTCAGGTTAGTGAAATATTAGTCGATTTACCCCAGATGATACTGTAGAAATGGGTATAACCATGACAAGTTCATCCCCCATAAGTTCGGATATGAGGCCCTATAGGAACTATGGTGAACTATATTCACTGGAACTGCACTTTTGGAAGTAAGTTATATGCCACAGCCCCTCTATTACCCCCATGTAACGGTCATTGTTGGCTTCATCTGTTGAACCGCTGCAAACCCAGCTCAGCGTGTCTGCGGCTGCGTTTCACAAGGGTGCAGTGTCATTTTTTTTTCGAGATCCGCTAAGAATGAGACGCTGCTACTGGGAAGAGCACAACTGAAGCTACTAGAGTTATGGCCCTTAGGAGTTGTAACTGGCTTATAATGACATCATATGACATATAATAAGCTTAGCCATAGGAGTTAGAATTAATGCCATTTATCACTGTGAAGGGCCTTAACTGTAGACTTTGGAATGGGTCTACCCCACGGAAGATGTTTTTGATCCGAAAAACACACAATTCTACAGCAAAAGGAGACTAGAGATCACTGGTTTTTCATGGTTTTTCATTCATCTTGATTTACCCTCTGGTTATTTAGCACAGCCATGGAAAATGTGCCATTTATATCCATTTATAATGGATTTACTCAGCTATAAATGGTGATGTTCCATGGCTATGTTAGTTTACCAGAGGGTAAATCAGATGTTCATTGTTTTTGTATGTGTTTCTGGTGGAGACCCTTACAGGTATGGCCAACAATGGCACAATGGCACATTGAAATTCGCGGATCTGCAGGAAAACAAGCAGAATTCGGTTGAGAACATGAAAAGCGACAGGAAATGGATTTGCAGATACTGCATCTACCCTCTGGTAAACCAACATAGCTATTGAAAATCACCATTTTTAATGGGAAAACTCACTATTAATGGCCATTTTCAATAGCAAACTGTTGACATAACCAGAGGGTAGACTGAAGAAATTGCACTATGACTCGACTCTTCAATCCCATCCTTCAATATTAAACAGCCCCAAGAAAGCCATAGTGCCATAGTGGGGATTTACACATGTGACTGGGACTAGTGGGGGACATCTCGGGATCAACATCTCATCGTGAACACCTCGATGAAAAATGATGAAGCAAGACTGACGCTGATTCCATGTGGGATGATGGCCCGGAATAGCACTTATAAATACTTCTAAGTTATAAGTCAGTTATAATCTGGTTGGTGGTTTGGAACATGAATGGATTATTTTTCCATATATTGGGAATACTGATCCCAACTGACTAATATTTTTCGGAGGGTTTGAAACCACCAACCAGTAATCCTATTTATATGTAATGATAAACCATGATAGCACCAATTGTATCCATTTATAATATTTAATAAATTTATAATTGGTAAAGGGTTTTAGGATGTTTTGACTGTGTGGGATGATGTTCGCAGTTAACAACCAACTTTTTCTTCGGAGGATTTGTTGACTCAACCACAAGAAGAAGACGCTTCCAGTCGCCGAGAAATGATGCAAGCGCATGTCGACGAACTGCTCAGCCTGTCAAAAGGTGCCACAGGAAGGGTGGAACGTGGGCTAATCTGTAGGACGGATTGTGCCTGTTGATCTTGTTCCAATTTATTTATCCATTTTATTATCATTTTATGATTGATAATATGTTATGTGATAATATATATATATATTACTGTAGTATTATGATCATAATATATGTTATAAGGATAATATATTATAATGTATATTGATATGTTCTGAAGACTATCAAGACTGACTGGAAGTTGTTGGTTCGCCAAAAAATCAGCCACCAAGAAATGGCGGAGACAGAACCGAAATTTTCGAGTTTCGGGGGATGGTTTTGTATTTGATTTTTCAAGATGGTTAAAAACCACCAACCAGTTATAAGTTATATATATAGGTATCTATGTTACATATCCAGGTTAACCATGGTTACCCTATATCAACATATTATGGATGTATGTTAGATACTAGGTCAATCGACTGGATGGGTAGAAACGAATCCTTCACTGTAGTCACTGTAGTCTTTTGGTATGGGATTATCTGCGTTCGCCCAAGAAGTCGTCATTTTTTGCCGGGTTTCTGGCAGATTGGCCATGTATCCCTCACAGAATTGGAGGTTTCCTCTACAGGAAGCCCCGAGATTTGAGGGTAAAAACCAGGCGGATGGTTTCCGGTGTGTCGATGAAAAGCCAAGAAAACCAATCCATTGAATCTCTGGAATGAGATTACCCTCTGGTACCCTCTGGTAAACATACAAATAACTATGGAAAATCACCATTTTTCATGGGAAAATCCACTATAAATGGTGATTTTCCATAGTTATGTTAGTTTACCAGAGGGTAAACAATAATAGACCATCCATATTTTGATGGTTTATTCCATTTATGGTATAATTTTGGGGGATGGTTTACTATTGGGTTTACCACAGCCATGTATTTGGATAGCCTCTGGTAAACGTTTACATAACTATGGAAAAGCACCATGCTATCAATGGGTAAATCCACTGTTTCTATGGCCATTTTCAATAGCTATGTTAAATTACCAGAGGGTATGATTTGTTTCGGGATGGGGTTGAACTAGTTGAACTCTCAGCCTGGAGCCTTCTTTGTAAATTAGTTTAGAGAGTGCATCCTGGAATCCTCACAACTTTGGTATGGCTCAGGCATGGCTCAAGTGGAGGTCCATGTAATCCTATGGATATAGATGAAATTCATATAATTCCTGGTTGGTGGTTTCAATTATTTTCTATTTTTCCATTCAGTTGGGAATGTCATCATCCCAACTGACTAATATTTTTCAGGGGAGTAGGTATACCACCAACCAGATTCATATAAAGTACACGATGGGATGGGGGTTCATATAGGATTCCTACATGGGCCCCTGAGTTTGGCATGTTGTTCCGCCCATCTCATGAGATTTGGTCACAAGGTGAGGCCCCCTAACGTGATGTTTCTTGGTTTATAAACATTTATAAACCCATGAAATGAACTAGTTCGAAATATATTCCCCAACCATTCAACCATAGTTATTGGACTTATAATCCCCTTTAAAAGATCCATCATCATCCCTAAATCTAGTTCCAAACATATCCCTCAACCATTCAACCCAGGTAACCAAGGCAGTTCTGTACGTCAACCTGTCGCGATTTTGTCTCGGGGGAAACTCACCTTGTGCACCGACATCCCCTTCGCAGGAGGACACGGAAGAGCCAGGAGGGCGACACGGGGGGAGAGCTCTGGGAATTTTTTGGCGACGCCGGTGCTTCAACATGGCAGGGAAATCCCATGTTTTTGCTGAGAGAATCATCTGGAACTAGATATTTTATGATATTTTGCTGGGTGCTCTTCTGTATTTTATTTCTGATTTAAATATCTACACATATCTACAAATATCTACACATATCTATAATCTATATTTTTTTAGAATGATTGATGTGTGCTTGCCTTTGTCGCACTGCACCTGTTTTCTTTTCTAATGGGCCCCTTCCTCGGGGGAGCTACATTGGTGCTTGCCTCACCTGTAGTGCGGAACGTCACTCTTGCCATAGCCAGACTAGACGCTTACAACCACTTTGGAATTGGAAAGTGAGAAACCCTATGGATCAAGTGTGGGGACTTAGGAATTATATCGCCAAGACTTCTCTGTCCGCCGAAACCAAATCGAAACGTGCGCAAGCGCCACAGGAATGAATGAATTTCTGAATCTATGGTTAGATAACCAAAGACAAGATCCTACTAAGACAACATCACCCTGGTTAATCTCAAAGATGTAGGTTGGAGTTCATGAGATTAGAATTTCAGCGATGATGTTTTTGTTTTTAGAGATGTGCACTTGGATGGAACATGGACCTAGTTGAGTGTTCTTTTCAGGCTTCAACGCATTATTTCCCAGTTCCAAGGGGATATGAACCAGCTATTAGATGCTATTAGCATATATATATATATATATATGGGTATGGGTAAAACCAACTATGTTTATTACCATAGGGGGAATAACCATCCATGAATTTACCATCTATTTTATGGTACCATCCAGGTGTGAGGGGTTGACACATATATATATATATACATAGGTCGATCTTGGATGGGTACTTTAATCCTTTAGTCTTTTGGTATCAATGGGATTATCTACGTTCACCAGCTAAGAAGTTGTCCTTTTTTGCAGGGTATCTAAGATTGGCCATGATATGGAAGTATAAACTAACCTGACCTTCCACTAACACTATTTCTTGGTTTGTATATGAACCATATTTTGATATTTTGATGGTTTATAGTAAAACAACCCCACATTTACCATAAATGGATGGTATAAACTAGAAATACTATAGTTGATAGGTATCCTATTGGGGGGCCCCCATTTATGGAAACCCCCATATATGTACCAGTTCACTTGCCATCGAATGGGGCAGGCGACACGCAGCAGATACCTGCCTTTCCCAGTACGGAGGCAGTGGCCACGGTCGAAAAACTCGTTGGCTTCAACGGTTTGAGTCACAGACATAGTTTGAAGAAAATAATAAGCAAACACATGTACAATAGTTTGATTTTAATATCAATAGTTGTTATGTAATTGTTTGATAAACAAACTATTGTGTATTATAATGTAGAATAGTTGGATTTTAGATTTCACAAGCAAAGATATTAGTGTATTATAATGTACAATAGCATTATATTATATATATATACTGGTTGGTGGTTTGGAACATTTTTTATTTTTCCATATATTGGGAATAATCATCATCCCAACTGACGAAGTCATATTTTTCAGAGGGGTAGGCTCAACAACCAACCAGATTATATATATATTATGTAGATTCTAGATCTATGGTCTTTTGCATCCCCAACTCAGCTCTGGATTGTGCCCCGTGAGCTGATTCTGGTGACCCAGAGGGATGGTCATCGATGCATTAGGGTGAATGGCATTCTGCTCTGGCAGGCTTGTCTTCAAGAACGCGGTAGCCCTTCCGGAAGTCAATGTGCATGAGGCGATGGCCCTCGAGGCCGAGTCACTCCGTGATTGCCCGGTGGTGCTCTATGCTGATGACTTCCATTGTGGTGGAACACAGCTGATACTCCTTCGTTCCGATACGTTATCAACGAGGCGCCGATCGCTCACAATGACCCCGAGTTGCAGCTGTGCATGGTTGAGATCTCGGCTGACAAGTTCGATGCCTTGGTGCGAGCCGATGTCTTTTGCTAGTTAACTTTGCTGCGCTGTTGTGATTAAGCCTGGGGCCAAACTAAGTCATGAAAGTTGGAGCCAAGTCGGCGCCGTGACTAGTAACTATAGTAACTACTAACTACTAGTAAGCAGTCTAGTAACCAGTAGCTAGTAACTAGTATCTAGTTACTTACTTGTAGCTGATCTTGTCACATCTCAGCTTCTCTTGGACACTGTTCATTGCATCCCATTGTCACTGCTGTTTGTGTCATCCCATCTCATCCCGAGAATCTCATGATCATGTCAGATCATTTTTTCACCTCGTCTCATCTCATCCCATCTCATGTCTTCTCTACCTGATTCTACCCACCTTTCTCAGCTCTCCTCAGCTGATCGCAGCTGTTCGCATCTCTTCTCATGCCACCTGAACTTTTCTCATCTCTTCCCAGATCTCCTGAACTCTTTTTCTTTATTATTCTAAGCTCTTCTCAGCTTCTTTATTCTAAGCAGTTCATCTCAACTCAGCTTTTCCCAACTCTTCACCACTCTTGTCCTGTCAGGTCATCTCAACTCATCCCATCTTATCTCATCTCAGTTTAACTCAGCTCTTCTCAATGTAGTCAGCTCTTTCCACATTTTCCCAACTCTTCTTAGTCTTAGTCTTAGCTCTTCTCAGCTCATGTCATGTCTTCTCATCTCTTCTCTCCTCTTCTCACATCTTCTCAGCTGATCTCAGCTCTTGTCAGCTCTTCTCACCTCATCTCAGCTCTTCTCAGATCATTCTCAGATCATCTCAGCTTGTCTCTAGTCTAGACTCTAGACTCTAGGACTCTAGACTCTAGGACTCTAGACTCTAGCTAGACTCTAGCTAGACTCTAGCCGCTAGCCGCTAGCCCCAAATTTGCTTCAAAATCAGATCTCCACATCAAAACCAGAAACAACAAGATTCTGCAGATGTCTTTGCTGTAAGACTTCTTTGCTACCGCTACTACGGGTCAGCTATGGCCATGGCTGCTATAGAAACGGCTGCTGCTATAGCAACAACCATTTTGATGTGAGACTTCTTTGCTGCGGGATTTCTTTGCTGTGAGAATTCTTTCTGAGTTGCAAAACACAAAAGAACTACGCGCAACGGCGTCGGAATTTGCAGCTCCAAAACCTGACGCCAAAGCGAAAAAAAGATGATTTTGAAGCATTTTTTAAAAGAACTTAAAAGGAAAAATACTAGCGCCAAAATTGAGAAAATCTGCTGACAAATCACTATCGCAGCCTTGATGCAGCCACTCCAATACTATTTAGGAGATCCAGCTGCAAAAGACAATAGTATTATGCATGCAGCCGCGGCACCAAGCAACCTTGACGCAGCCATTACAATGCGATCTGCAGAGACTGAGTTGCAAAACGCAAAAGAACTACGCGCAACGGCGTCAGAAATTGCAGCTCCAAAACCGATCTCGACCCCAAAGCGAAAAAAAGATGATTTTGAAGCATTTTTTAAAAGAACTTAAAAGGAAAAATACTAGCGCCAAAATTGAGAAAATCTGCTGACAAATCACTATCGCAGCCTTGATGCAGCCACTCCAATACTATTTAGGAGATCCAGCTGCAAAAGACAATAGTATTATGCATGCAGCCGCGGCACCAAGCAACCTTGACGCAGCCATTACAATGCGATCTGCAGAGACTGAGTTGCAAAACGCAAAAGAACTACGCGCAACGGCGTCAGAAATTGCAGCTCCAAAACCGATCTCGACCCCAAAGCGAAAAAAAGATGATTTTGAAGCATTTTTTAAAAGAACTTAAAAGGAAAAATACTAGCGCCAAAATTGAGAAAATCTGCTGACAAATCACTATCGCAGCCTTGATGCAGCCACTCCAATACTATTTAGGAGATCCAGCTGCAAAAGACAATAGTATTATGCATGCAGCCGCGGCACCAAGCAACCTTGACGCAGCCATTACAATGCGTTTTGCAGCATCACGTCGCAAACCTGCACGTATCTACGCACGTGGCAACACCAGATGACAACAATCATGCAGCCATTCCAATGCGATCTGCAACCACAGGTTCAAGAAACGCAAAGAACTACGCACACAGGAACAGCCACTCGTTGCAGAACACAGAGGAGGAACACATTACATTCGCGACAGAAGCAACCGCCAGCCGCACCCGCCGCACACACGAGGTACTTTTCAAGGCGGGCTGCAGCCACTTTACACGAAAAAAATACAAGGTTTCGTGCTCTGGCTTCCTCCCTAGCACAAGCCCATGCAACATTCATTCAGCCATTACATGCGTTTTGCAGCATCACGTCGCAAACCTGCACGTATCTACGCACGTGGCAACACCAGATGACAACAATCATGCAGCCATTCCAATGCGATCTGCAACCACAGGTTCAAGAAACGCAAAGAACTACGCACACAGGAACAGCCACTCGTTGCAGAACACAGAGGAGGAACACATTACATTCGCGACAGAAGCAACCGCAGCCGCACCCGCCGCACACACGAGGTACCTTTCAAGGCGGGCTGCAGCCACTTTACACGAAAAAATACAAGGTTTCGTGCTCTGGCTTCCTCCCTAGCACAAGCCCATGCAACATTCATTCAGCCATTACCATGCATTTTGCAGCATCAAGTGGCAAACCTGCACGTATCTACGCGTGGCAACACCAGATGACAACAATCATGCAGCCATTCCAATGCGATCGGCAACCACAGATTCAAGAAACGCAAAGAACTACGCACACAGGAACAGCCACTCGTTGCAGAACACAGAGGAGGAACCCATTACGCTCGGAACGACCCCAGCCGCACCCGCCGCACACAGGAGGTACCTTTCATCGCCGTCTGCAACCACTTTACACGGAAAAACGCACGGTTTCATGCTCCGGCTTCCTTCCCTCATCACCACTTCTCTTCGTCACCACTTCCCTTCCTTACCACTTCCCTTCGTTACGAGCCATGTCATAGCCTGTTCTTGTTTTGCGATGTATTATGATGTGATGTATAGTTTCACACCACCCTTCATTGAGTGTATTGTTACGTGATGTATATAGTCTCACACCACCCTTCATTGAGTGTATTGTTATGTGATGTATTGTTATGTGATGTAAAGCCTCACACCACCCTTCATTGAGTGTATTGTTATGTAATGTAGAGTCTCAGAATTCTTTTTGTCCGTAACACGGAAGTATTGCTTCCCAACTTCCTTTGATTATCAAACATTTTGTTCATTAATCACTAGCCAAGGCTTGACCAGTGAATCTGTGGTTAGTCTAAAATCTGTGTGTCGAGACTCGTCAGCCTTTTCGTAGCTTGCTGTTTGATGAATAAGGGGTTCTCACCTCATGGAGTTTGAACATTGTGATGGCGGTATGCCAAAGTGACCCTTCAATGATATCCATAACGGACTTACATGATGTTCTTAAACTTCCGTATTTTTGCGCTGCATCTCCCAGAGAACCCGTGGACAATCAGCCCTTCAGCCCTGTGTTGTTTTCCGAGTTCAATTTTTGTGGTTAAGTCAGCACATTCTTCTGGGTTGGCCAAAATCGCAGCGTGGAGGATCCGGCCAAAGGCCGCAAAGCGGCTTCCTATTGAAGCAGAATACCATCAGTCATCATGGTCCACTGGCCATTTTTGGGGTCAACAAACACCGGACTCCCTGGCATGGCATTAAGCCTATCAACATCCAATCATTCCCGTTGTATCTCCACAGACTGGCGGGTTTTAGTTTCCTGGTTGTAGTCCCATAAAATTGATTAAAACACCCACCTAACATGGTGATTTTCAATATGTCTGATAATACACCAGAAACCATTGGTTTACTATTAGATCTAATCATGAATTGGGGTTCATACATGGGAGGTATTCAATATTAATTATTGGATAGAGCACCCATCAAACACTACTAGTATGGCTGATAGTTTTTCCTGTTTCTGATAGTTAAATCATATAAAAACTTAGTTTCTGATAGTTAAACCATATATATAAAATTATATATATATATACATAATATATATATATAATTATAGATACATAATATATATATATATATACATACATAATATATACATAATATATATATATATACATACACATATGAAAAACCGCATGGTTGGCCGGTTCAATCCCCCATGGTTGTTCCATTTCCCGTGGTCATCCAGGTGGGTCTGCAGCACCTCTTGGTGAGTCGGGAAGACAGCGAGGATGGCCCCAGGTGCTTTTCGAGTCACAATTTCTGGGTTCCGACTAAGCTTAGTAAAGGGATATGGAAGATGTTCAGATATATGAAAAAACATAGTTTAACTGGTTGGCGGTTTGGAACATTTGGAGTATTTTTCCATAATATATGGAATGTCATCCTTCCCATTGACCATTATTTTTCAAGAGTATATGGAAAACTTACTGGTGCTTATATAATAGGGAAAGGATGGGAATGGGGGAATGGGGTTATTATTGCTAGTGATTATGGATCATTCCCTCATTCCCTGCTAAGCACCAGTAAGATTCAGATATATGGAAAAACATAGTTGAAACATGGATGCTAAACTATCCATATATAGTAATGGTAATGTTATGGTATACCAGTCTAAACATGTTTATGTTAAGGGATATGGATATCTATGGGTTAGATATAGTCCATCTACGTTCCATTCAAGGCTGACGTACTATGTCATATTAGGGTAAAGGGATATGGTTACCTTTAGATTTTCTTTCTTGGTTCCTTTATAGGTTATAGGTTATATATATATATAGAGGTATCTATGTTAGATATCCAGGTTAACTTTTCCAGGATTTACCCAATTTACTTACACTCTGGGAAACTAATATAGCTATGGAAAATCACCATGTTAATGGGTAAATCACTTGCAAATGGGCAATTTTCAATAGCTATGTTAAATTACCGGAGAGTAACCTTAGCATTCACTATAAGGTGGGTAAACAATCATAAACCACCAATTTGGGAATGGTTTATAACACATATTTATGCTTATTTGGGGCATGGTTTATGATTGTTTTACCCACATTGCTAAC